ATAACACAATGAAGGAATCATTTCCGACCCTATAAATCATATATATTATTGTTCAGAATGAACAGCAGAATCGATCTAGCCATGTCTAGTGGAAAATAAATGTTTGCATTTTTTTCGAAATTTGAAAAAAGATAAGGGTTACATCATTAAAATTTGCTAAATTCAACAAAAATTGAATTTTTTAAATTTTAAAACGCAGTTTGCAGATTTGTTAGCGATATAAAAATTAGCACAGAACAGCTTTCCAAATTGAAATGAACGCATTTTTAGCTTAGTTATGATGTTTGCAAACACTGAATTTTACAAAAATGCTAGTTTTATACCTTTTTTCTGGTTATTATATTTTAGTCCGAAACTTTAAACAGCATCAACAAACGCAGTATGTAATTTGTTAGCGATATAAAATTAGCACAGAACAGTTTCCGAATTGAAATTAACGCATTTTGGCTTAGTTATGATGTTTGCAAAACACTGAATTTTTACAAAAATGCTAGTTTTATACCTTTTTTCTGTTATTATAATTTTAGTCCGAAACTTTAAACAGCATCAACAAACGCAGTATGTAGATTTGTTAGTGCTACAAAAACTAGCACAGAACAGTTTTCCGAATTGAAATTAACGCATTTTTGGCTTAGTTATGATGTTTGCAAAACAATGAATTTTTTAAATAATTGCCTGTTTTTATACCTTTTTGCTGGGTATTAGTATTAATCGGAAGCTCATAACACAATGAAGGAATCATTTCCGACCCTATAAATCATATATATTATTGTTCAGAATGAACAGCAGAATCGATCTAGCCATGTCTAGTGGAAAAATAAATGTTTGCATTTTTTTCGAAATTTGAAAAAAAGATAAGGGTTACATCATTAAAATTTGCTAAATTCGACAAAAAATTGAATTTTTAAATTTTAAAACGCAGTATGCAGATTTGTTAGCGATATAAAATTAGCACAGAACAGCTTTCCAAATTGAAATGAACGCATTTTTAGCTTAGTTATGATGTTTGCAAAACACTGAATTTTTACAAAAAATGCTAATTTTTATACCTTTTTCTGGTTATTATAATTTTAGTCCGAAACTTTAAACAGCATCAACAACGCAGTATGTAGATTTGTTAGTGCTACAAAAACTAGCACAGAACAGTTTTCCGAATTGAAATTAACGCATTTTGGCTTAGTTATAATGTTTGCAAAACAATGAATTTTTAAATATTGCCTGTTTTTATACCTTTTTGCTGGGTATTAGTATTAATCGGAAGCTCATAACACAATGAAGGAATCATTTCCGACCTATAAATCATATATATTATTGTTCAGAATGAACAGCAGAATCGATCTAGCCATGTCTAGTGGAAAAATAAATGTTTGCATTTTTTTCGAAATTTGAAAAAAAGATAAGGGTTACATCATTAAAATTTGCTAAATTCAACAAAAAATTGAATTTTTTAAATTTTAAAACGCAGTTTGCAGATTTGTTAGCGATATAAAATTAGCACAGAACAGCTTTCCAAATTGAAATGAACGCATTTTAGCTTAGTTATGATGTTTGCAAAACACTGAATTTTTACAAAAAATGCTAGTTTTTATACCTTTTTCTGGTTATTATAATTTTAGTCCGAAACTTTAAACAGCATCAACAAACGCAGTATGTAGATTTGTTAGTGCTACAAAAACTGGCACAGAACAGTTTTCCGAATTGAAATTAACGCATTTTGGCTTAGTTATGATGTTTGCAAAACACTGAATTTTTACAAAAAATGCTAGTTTTTATACCTTTTTTCTGGTTATTATAATTTTAGTCCGAACTTTAAACAGCATCAACAAACGCAGTATGTAGATTTGTTAGTGCTACAAAAACTAGCACAGAACAGTTTTCTGAATTGAAATTAACGCATTTTTGGCTTAGTTATGATGTTTGCAAACACTGAATTTTTACAAAAAATGCTAGTTTTTATACCTTTTTTCTGGTTATTATAATTTTAGTCCGAAACTTTAAACAGCATCAACAAACGCAGTATGTAGATTTGTTAGTGCTACAAAAACTAGCACAGAACAGTTTTCTGATTGAAATTAACGCATTTTTGGCTTAGTTATGATGTTTGCAAAACAATGAATTTTTTAAATAATTGCCTGTTTTTATACCTTTTTGCTGGGTATTAGTATTAATCGGAAGCTCATAACACAATGAAGGAATCATTTCCGACCCTATAAATCATATATATTATTGTTCAGAATGAACAGCAGAATCGATCTAGCCATGTCTAGTGGAAAATAAATGTTTGCATTTTTTTCGAAATTTGAAAAAAAAGATAGGATAAGATAAAATCATTAAAATTTGCTAAATTCGACAAAAAATTGAATTTTTTAAATTTTAAAACGCAGTTTGTAGATTTGTAGAATTAGCACAGAACAGCTTTCCAAATTGAAATGAACGCATTTTTAGCTTAGTTATGATGTTTGCAAAACACTGAATTTTTACAAAAAATGCTAGTTTTAATACCTTTTTTCTGGTTATTATAATTTTAGTCCGAAACTTTAAACAGCATCAACAAACGCAGTATGTAGATTTGTTAGTGCTACAAAAACTAGCACAGAACAGTTTTCCGAATTGAAATTAACGCATTTTTGGCTTAGTTATGATGTTTGCAAAACACTGAATTTTTACAAAAAATGCTAGTTTTTATACCTTTTTTCTGGTTATTATAATTTTAGTCCGAAACTTTAAACAGCATCAACAAACGCAGTATGTAGATTTGTTAGTGCTACAAAAACTGGCACAGAACAGTTTTCCGAATTGAAATTAACGCATTTTTGGCTTAGTTATGATGTTTGCAAAACACTGAATTTTTACAAAAAATGCTAGTTTTTATACCTTTTTTCTGGTTATTATAATTTTAGTCCGAAACTTTAAACAGCATCAACAAACGCAGTATGTAGATTTGTTAGTGCTACAAAAACTAGCACAGAACAGTTTTCTGAATTGAAATTAACGCATTTTTGGCTTAGTTATGATGTTTGCAAAACACTGAATTTTTACAAAAAAAAATGTTTGCATTTTTTTCGAAATTTGAAAAATTTGCTAAATTCGACAAAAAATTGAATTTTTTAAATTTTAAAACGCAGTATGCAGATTTGTTAGCGATATAAAAATTAGCACAGAACAGCTTTCCAAATTGAAATGAACGCATTTTTAGCTTAGTTATGATGTTTGCAAAACACTGAATTTTAAAAAAAAATGCTAGTTTTTATACCTTTTTTCTGGTTATTATAATTTTAGTCCGAAACTTTAAACAGCATCAACAAACGCAGTATGTAGATTTGTTAGTGCTACAAAAACTAGCACAGAACAGTTTTCCGAATTGAAATTAACGCATTTTTGGCTTAGTTATGATGTTTGCAAAACAATGAATTTTTTAAATAATTGCCTGTTTTTATACCTTTTTGCTGGGTATTAGTATTAATCGGAAGCTCATAACACAATGAAGGAATCATTTCCGACCCTATAAATCATATATATTATTGTTCAGAATGAACAGCAGAATCGATCTAGCCATGTCTAGTGGAAAAATAAATGTTTGCATTTTTTTCGAAATTTGAAAAAAAGATAAGGGGTTACATCATTAAATTTGCTAAATTCGACAAAAAATTGAATTTTTTAAATTTTAAAACGCAGTATGCAGATTTGTTAGCGATATAAAAATTAGCACAGAACAGCTTTCCAAATTGAAATGCACGCATTTTTAGCTTAGTTATGATGTTTGCAAAACACTGAATTTTTACAAAAAATGCTAGTTTTTATACCTTTTTTCTGGTTATTATAATTTTAGTCCGAAACTTTAAACAGCATCAACAAACGCAGTATGTAGATTTGTTAGTGCTACAAAAACTAGCACAGAACAGTTTTCCGAATTGAAATTAACGCATTTTTGGCTTAGTTATGATGTTTGCAAAACAATGAATTTTTTAAATAATTGCCTGTTTTTATACCTTTTTGCTGGGTATTAGTATTAATCGGAAGCTCATAACACAATGAAGGAATCATTTCCGACCCTATAAATCATATTAATTATTGTTCAGAATGAACAGCAGAATCGATCTAGCCATGTCTAGTGGAAAAGTAAATGTTTGCATTTTTTTCGAAATTTGAAAAAAAGATAAGGGGTTACATCATTAAAATTTGCTAAATTCGACAAAAAATTGAATATTTTAAATTTTAAAACGCAGTATGCAGATTTGTTAGCGCTATAAAAACTAGCACAGAACAGTTTTCCTTATTAAAATTAACACATTTGTAGCTTAGTTATGATGTTTGCAAAACACTGGAGTCATTTCTGACCCCATAAATTATATTTATTTTTAATCAACAGCTGAATCAATCTAACTATGTCCGATTGAAATAAATTTTCTGAATTTTTTTTTTTGAAAAAAATGATAAGGGGTTACATCATAAAAATTGTCAAAAATTTAAAAAAAAAAAATGAATTTTCTAAATTTTGAAATGGAGTATGCTGATTTATTATCCTAATAAAAACTAACATAGGGCAGCTTTTCGAATTGAAATTAATACTTTATTTTGGTGAATTAAGCAGTTTTTAAACTTTTATTTGCCGAAGTAATTTTCATATAAAAATATAATTAATATGGTCCAAAAGAATTGTATTAGAATTTCAGTCGGAACCATGTTACACATTGAAGGTGTCATTAATACCATCAATATTTTTGAAGGTATTATATTTTCAGCTTACTATGGTACATCCGATTCACACACTTTAATTTACTATTTTATCAGCAAGGACTCCAATTAAGTGCTGTCAGCCCAGTCCAGCATAAATTACTCACCCGCAAACCATTCCCAAGTAAGTCTGGCCACGGACAGTAATCCTTAATTTTCAAATAAATTGCTCGGCAAACATTGGTTATATCGTAGTTAAGGCGCTGCCCTGCCCTGCCCTGCCCCATACCTGAAACCATTATAAATCCAAATTAAAAGACAAGCAGTTCGTGTAGATACTTTGATTTTATTGTTGTAATTTCTTGGAACACTTTACATTTACATTTAAATTTATACGCCATAGATGCGAGACAATAAACGACGACTACACACACATAAACAACTTGACATTAATTGATTTAATTTACGCACCACATTGATACGGATCAGGTCGATCCTACCTCGTAATTGATATCGTGTCTAAGATATAGTCATAGTTCGTAAAGGTACACTTTTGCATATATATGTATGTGTAGAGATAGCTCTTTTCGGCTGCTTTGCTTGCATATTGCTCGTAGCTTTGGTATATAAAATATAAATAGGTTACTGTTACAGTTACTGACAGATTACGCTACTAAATTAGAACGTTGAATTGGGCAAAAAACTTGAGATTCTTGGAGAGAAAACAACACTCAACTAACAACGACGGAGCATCAAATGGGGGGCGTCGAGATCGCCGGCCTCCTCTATCGCTAATACATTTATATTTATATTAATTGTTAATAATAATTTCACTTGTTGCATGCATTCAGTATGGCCAGGGTCGCAATTACACTCGCTGCACTCGTTCAGGATGGCCAGTGTCGTGCTTGAGTTTGTTGGCAGAGTCGGGCTTAGAAGCTGGTCTTGCCGAAGATAAAGTTGCCCGGCGCATTCACGTCCTCGGCGGCAAAGTACTCCTTCCACAAGGCGGCGAACTGCTCCCGGGTGACGTCGCTCTGGCCCTGGGCCATCTTGCTGAAGGCCTCCTCGCATTCGGTCTTCTCCAGGCCGTAGCTGGAGCAGACCAGCGTGAACTCGGTCACGTCGATGCCGCCGTCATGGGAGGCGTCCTCCAGGTCGAACATGAAGTTCATGTAGGCGTTCTGCCAGTCCATCACGCTGCTCGGATCCTTGGCATAGGCGTCCCACATGTTGCACCACTCGTCGACGCTGACCTGAAAGAGTCCATAGATGAGGATGAGGTATCGAGATTGCCCAGATTTATGCATTCCGCCCCGTGCTGAAAAGACCATTAGCAGGCGTCGCCTCCGGCGGAGATTCCCCATAAAACATCACCCTCCATGCCTATTAAGCGGATTCGGTTATGGCTGCTCTGGGGGCGTGAAATTTATGCCCTCCGCTTAGCTTTATCCTCTATCCGCTGCCTAGCGAGGCGATATTAACATTTTCGTAGCTGCCCCCGCCGATACAATGCCGAGCGATGGCAATTACCGCAACATCGACAGTCGCCACCACCTTGACCAACTTGGCTGACCGAGCTCCTTCGACTGCAGTACATCGGTGGCGCATCCCCAGCCCCATTAATTGTGGCCAGTTGCTACGTTTTGGCATGTTTTAATACGGCCATAAATAAGTGCGAGGGTTGTGTCCGACTGACCGGGAACATAGCCACTTGTAATGCCAATTGGCAGCTCACAACTCCCGGCCACTTTGCCCCGCAGAGAGAACTCTAAACAGCAATTCGAGCTAACTGCATATTTTTATGTTTATGTGTCAGACACTTTTAGACACTAAATTGATTGCGAGTCAGGACCCGAATCCTTGACCCTGTGAAAATATAGAGATGCGTATACGCAATCTCAAAAGAAGGTTTGAGTCTGATATGTCTTCTTGAAGGAAAATAGTATGGATTTCTACTTGATCCTTTACTGTGAACTTCTCCTGACTGTGAACTAATAATAATCTTGTAATAAACCAACTCTTTTGTGGATCCTGATTGGACCGGTGTGGATTGCCAAACTTTAGTTCTTGATTCAACTGGAAACCGTGACACGGCACGTGCTCCTCCTTGAATTGCTGTTGGAGGGCGAACAATAAATCTCAAGCTGGATGGTTTAGGGCTCCGACTGCCGACAAAGAAGGACCAACAATGGCAGAGGCTTTTGGCATATTTTGGCAGCAAACTCCGTCAAGTTCCTTGGCCGGTGGCCAGAACTTTTGTGGCTTTGTGGCAGGCGAAGTTCCGCCGCTACCTCATTGGGGTTCGTTTGCGCACAAAATATCCGTAAAGCGGGCCCGTAACCAGTAACCCATAACCTAAAGCCCGTAGCCGTAACCCGTAACCCGTAACCCCATACCCGTACCCGTACCCGTAACTCGGGCGCGCGCCAATAGAATTAAGCCGAGGTTTTGCCGGACTGACATTTCAATTTCTGCTCGCTTTGTATCGCATTGTTGCGGGTTTTGGTCGCCGTTTGTTGATATTGAACGTAGAGTGGAGTGGGTTTCGGATTATAATTTAATTTGCTGCACTGGTGCTGCGTTTATGGCATTTGGGGCATTGCGGCGGTATAGAGGCAGGGAAAACCCGCAGTCTATGACAAAAGTTTGTCTTTGGGAAATGAGCAGAAGGCGACGGGCATTGTTGGAAAACTAGAAATGAGAGGGAAAGAAAGTCCTCGGCCGGAATTCAGATTGCAATGCTCAAATAATTCACAATTCAATTTCCGCCCGCTGGCAGGGAATTTGTTTACTGCCGCCCCCTGCTTGGTATGCCTCACCAATAAAAAGGGAAATTTATGAACGAATATTTCTTCCGCTTTTTGCGAAGGACATTGTAATGTGCTGTGTCGCACGTGAGCCGTGTGTATGTGTGTGTGTAGGAGGGTGTCCTGCACACTTGTCAGTTACCTTCACAATGGCATCGAGTGCAGTCCATGGATTTTACTGACAATGGAGCCAGATTCGCTCGACAAAAAAACCGAATCACTTGACACTTGTAGTTGCCCTTTTCTGGCATCCGCAACTCACCTGTCCGTCGTTATCCTTGTCGGCCTTCGATCGCAGGCCAGTCCAGATTTCCATCATCACATCGTACGTCTCCTTGTTCTTCGGCGTGTCCTTCGCCCAGCCGCGCAGCTTGCAAACGCGCTGCAAATGGCAGAAACAATAACAGTCAGTACCGTACTCCCAAATTGAGTTATCTGTTGGCCAAGTTGCAATGGCAGCACATAAAAAAACTGCATGCAAATGGCCAAAAAGCATCGCCAACATTTGAGCTGGGTTTTTGTTGATGTAAGTATCGCATATTCGATGCACTGCTCGTTTTCGTATTCGCATTCGCATTCGTTTCTTTTACCAAAAAATATATTCAAATTTGTTTGCCTGCAGCACTTCCGCTCCACTTACCTCGATGGCCAGCTCGAAGTCCTTAACGTCGATTTCCCCGCTTTGGTTCACATCTGTTGCGGCACGCATTTCGACATTTCGGCGCATCGTTGTTATTTTCGAGCCAATCGCGGCGTAAATTGCATGTTGTTGTCCCACATTGTTTGCATTGGTCAGTTCGGGTGCGGGTCCGGGTCCAGGCCAAAACCCAAAACAAGGGCAGACGAAAAAATGTCACAAAAAAAAAAAAATGAGAAAAGAGCAAAAGAATAGAGCGATGAACAATGAACGGATTTCGTGGCCAGCTGCGACAAAGTTCCGGTGTGAACATCAACAAAACTGCACGGCCTCGTGGGTGGAAAGCCTTTTCCTATCCGGAAGACCCAGCCACTTCAGCACAGACCACACACTCGGAATAAAAAGAAGTCTTTACTCTAGCAATAATTCCTTTTGCCATATGATATCTTCATAAATCTATTGAATATGTAGTGTTCCTGCCACTTGGGAAACCTAAAAGTTAGCAAAAATAATACTCCTAAATAAATAACCAACATTTCCCTATTTTCTACACCAAACTAATATTATATCCAAGTCTCGTTAAAGTCAAAAAAGAAAAGTGCAACTTTCTTTTCGAGTGCAGGATTTGGCTTTTGGCCATGCGGGCGTGTCATTATCATTTGCAACGGTGTGCAAACGGGCACTTCAGTGCCAGTGTCAAGTATTTGGAGCTTGCGTTTTATGACCCTATTTTAATACCCTTACAGGGTACTTTAACTTTAGTTGGAAGCATGTAACGCAGTGTAAGAGTCATTTACGACCCTATAAATCATATATATTATTGATCAGAATTAACAGCTGAATCAATCCAACTTTGTACGGTCAAAATTAATTTTTTTCAGAATTTTCCAAAATTTCAAAATTTTATAAGGGGTTACATCATTAAAATTGTCAAAAATTGGCAAAAATTTGAATTTTCTAACATTCTTAATATAGTATGCAGATTTATAAACTTAATAAAAACTAACATGGGATTGGTTTTGGAATTGAAATTAATGCTTTGCAAGCTGCAAGGGTATATAAACTTTGGCTTTCCAAAGTTGGTTCCCTTTTTTTTCCCCTGCCTTTGTCCTTTTTTTATTGCCTGACCAGCTGCTGTCGCAGGGGCGGGCATTGAGCCAAGTTGGGGGGGGGAGGAAGGACAAGTACTATGTGTTAAGGATGAGCCAACCGCTCCGGTGAATTAGTCATAATTGAAAAGCACTTAACCTTTGCACACGGTACGAAGCGTTGCCTACTTGTGAGCGCTTCCTGCTCGAAACTTCTTCCTTTCGGCATTTGCATTGCGTTTTAATTCAATTTAAATTGGCAAGTTTTGTTTGAGTTTGCTCGCTGGCAAACACTTCAGTGCATTAAGCATGGAACAGAACACTCTCGAAGCAGACACTTGTTTTATTACGTATACGCACTTGGCATATTAAGTATACGCGATGTGTGCACATCGCAGATGAAGGAGATTAAGACGAAAACGAAAATGCATGCTAATCTATGCAGGTAATATTATGAACATCTTAGCTTGGAAATAAATAAATTTTTGAAATAGGTAGGATCAAGATTTTAGCTTTTAAGAATGCTCCCATCCAAGAAAATGTAAATAAGGACTACAAACTCATATTTGGTATTCAAAATATACCTTTTTTAACACTCCAATTTGTAAATGCCTGACTTGCACTTCTCTTTTATTGACTGCACTGATGCAAATATCTCTGGCGGATTTTATGACTGACTTTAAGGCAGCTTCGTCTGCTCTATCTACTGGCCAGATGCCGGTGTGTGTTGTGAGTTAATCCTATTAAAGCTCTTCCAACCAGTTGAAATGCAATCTAATCTAAAGTTTTCACAGCTTGCCCCCCTCGAAAAATGAGCTGCAGAAGTGGCAATAACTCGGACACACCCCGTAAAATCGACAGCTCGTGCGGTCTGTCTTGGCCCTGTCCCTGTACCCTTTTCGGAGGGCCATTCATCATCCTGATAAATACTCACCGAAGAACACATTGAACAGGAAGAGTAGCTTCTTTTTGCGGAAATCGGAGATCGACATTATTGTGCTGTTGTTGCTATTCCTGTTTCGTCCGCGGTCGTTTTATTTACAGCGCTTTTATTGGCTCTCCACTGTGTTGCAGCCTCGCTAAACGGAAATGCGAATTTCGAATTGAGAAATGGGAAGCTGTAGCTGCAACGACAAACAATTCGGAATACACAATTACACACAAGCATGGGGGGAGTGGTATAAGAGTCGCAAAAAAATAGCAAATTAAGTGTATTCCGAAACGAGACTGTGTTTAAATTTAAAGCCCACCCCTCGGTCTCTCTGTCTCAATTAGGGGTGGTCCCGCCGGGAAGGTCGTCTCGTAAAAATAACAGTCACGGAGAAGCGAACCTAAAACCAACAGAGCCACAATCAAAGAAAAAACAAGGATATTGTAATTGAATAAATACTTAAAATGGTTTAAACTAGACAATAAATGTATTGCATTATAAAAATCACTTCTAGATATTGAAAGAACTTAAAATATATTTTGTAAATAATAGAAAAGTTGATTCAGTTTCTGATTTGAAAATTACACTTTGTATAACTCTAAAATCCTTTCTCCAGAAATCTAGATCTAACTGGTCCAGTTCCTAGAATACAAATGAACTCAAATACTTACAAAGAAAACTGGAAAACTTCTAAGTTTTATTTGCCATAACTTTAGCTTTTAAATTACTCGTAATTTATTTCTTTGCGTGCAGGCGCAAAAGCAGAACCAGAACCAAAAGCAGAGCCACAACCAGTCCAAGACCAAGACCCAGACCAGAAGCAGGAAAACGGATTGGGTTTGCTCTAGTTGACTGGCTTAGTTTATGGCAGCTAATTCGGTCGGAGGAAATAAAAGAAGACTGTCTAAGGATGCGAGCTGCGAGTAATGCAAATGCATCCTGCATCCTGAAGGAAAAGGGGAGAGGGCGGCGGGTCGAGTGCCGAGCAAAATGCGACACAAATGCAGGCGAATGGCTTTGGCTCAGACTGCCCCCCGGCCCGGCCCCGCCCCCTGTGAGTACGGCTCATGGCTCATTTAACCTTCAATCAGAAAGCGAGATGCCAGGCAGGGCCATGTGCTAAATTAGACAGAACAACTATATGTGCACACATTCCGTTGTGGAATGTATCTTGGCAGCGGCAGACGCACTAAACGGAGGCCCCAACATCAAAGGACCTAGCCAGGACATTGCCAGTGCTGAAAGCCTGAAAGCCTCGTGTTTGCCTAACTGCCGCTCGGCAAAAACTGTCACAGTCAGAGAGCGTTTATGGTAGGCATTTCATGAATTTCTTATTTTGCCAACATACAAAATTGACCCAGTTTGGGGCCGACTTTGGGAATTCGCTTACTTATTCCCCGCGATTACATATTTAAAATTATTCTGTGAGTGAAACAACACGAAATTTGGTTTCAAAACTCAAAGAACTTATTCTTAAATTACGAATGCCTTTAAAGGTTTTTTCTAGCTGTACACAAAAGTTGAATGCAAATTCTAAATAGGTTCTATAGGAAAATGTACATTAATTTAGTATTAAAGATTTCAGGAAAGATACTTTTCTAAGGTTAAGTTATATTGTTTTAGTGTCAACTTTAAACTTAATTGTTTAGGAAAATTCTAGAAAATTCCTGCATTTGTGCGGTGCTGTTTTGTGCTTTATGCTTTTCTCTGCTTTTCATTACTCTGCCTCTGGTAAATGTGCTTCGCATAAACAGCGTAAATATTTGCTTTAGTTTAGTTTCGGGGACGCCATTTATTCAGCTCAGCTTGGAGCGGCTGAAAGCGAAGGTAAAGCATAATTCCACAACAGAGGGAAATTGCACCGAGGATGTCAAGTGGAAAGTGGAATGCAATGGACATGACAACGGCAGCTAGGAGGAGCTGGCCAGAAGACCGCCGATGGCCAAGAGCCGATGGCTGATGGCTGATGGAGCCACCGGCGCTAACAGAGCACCACACGCCGTGCTGCCTTTTTCGGGTAAATGCAGTTTTCCCCGGAAATGAAATTAAATGGAATATCTCCGAGTCGCCAATTGGATATGCTGCTGAGCGGCAAATTGAAAAAAGCCAACCCGATCCCTGGCTAAAGAATGGCTTTTGGTCAAGTGCAGGTAAATTTACCTTTTACTTGAGCCAATATTATTCTATTATAACAGCAAAAGGTCGAGCAAAAGGTTGGGTTTTCTTAGACGCCAAGGCAAAAGTGTCGCCAAACTTTGCAGTTTGGGAAGAATAAATATAGTTATTTCGCCCACGGGAATCGAAGATGGCTTTGCAGGCACTAAAAAATGAGGTCGAGTTTTAAGTGTGGTTGTAAAAGCAAAGGTAATTCTCATAAACGTTAAATTAAAAGTCGTTTCTGGAAGTAGAGTCCTTGATATATGTATGGTTAAGTTTACACCTCTAGAATCATCAAATCTGATTTTAAGTTATATAGAAAATCGGTTAGTGGGCTTATAAAGACTTACGCTGTAATAATAAAATATCAATAATTATTTAACTAATCTTACTGACACTTCAATTATTTTACAAGGACCCTCAGAATACTCATAAAAACTTAAATTAAACTTGCCCTCATAACGATTAATCTTAACTGAAATAAAATTGGATTATATCTACCCTGGCAAAGTTAATTGTTTTTACAGAATCCACTGTCATAAAAATTAATCTTGACAATTATTTGGATGGAATAAATGGCTGGTTAAATGAATATATTAATAATTTCGATTTTGTGATTTTTTTCACACAATGTGGCTGGTAATGTCAACTTCATTTAGTATTTCTGGACACATCGCGATGTACATATAAATCGGCCTGTCACAGTTCATTAATTTGCTACGTGCGCGTCAATTAACATCAGGTGAAAGCGAAGAGGGGTGGAGTGTGTGAGTGTGTGTGAGTGGAACGCAATAAAAAATGTATGCTGAAATATAATCCACATCTCAACTGGCTAAAAGCAGGCTGCAGAAGGACGACACACAAAAAGTGTGAAATTCAATTTGGCGCGCTTTTCACTGCAAACTTTGGCTTGGGCTCCGCCTGACAGGTGTAATTTAAGCCAATGCATCGGAATCGCAATCGGAATCGCCTTTCACTGGCAATCGGAAATGGCCATGGGAATTTAAAGCCTTTTAATAGCCTTACACGAGCACTATTTATCCCTGAAATTAATAATTAAATATGCGCACAAATTGAATTCATCGCCGCCATTTGTTTTTCAGTTAAACCAGCGAACAGTCGGGCTCGCAGGCTGTGTCATTCGGGCGAGCACATTACGCATACGCCGTGTTGTGTGCGTTTTTGCGGCCGAGGCCTTTATTTCGCTGCTATGCTCCATTAATTACCAATACTCATGCGCCAAGGCATAAAGGCCACGCGCTGCCAGCCACAAAACTGCGTCGGCTTTTGTGGTACGAGGCGACCACATTAGCCAACGTCACCGAACGAGAAAGCTCGTTAATTGGGTTCCCTTTGAGATTGTTCTAATAACGTAAATATGAGGCAAAAATGGCGGAACTTTCCGTCATTTAATATGGCATCTCGGGCAATAAATACCCATCTGCGAAGTTATAAATTTCAATATGAAGACATCAATGCTTTTAATTGCGTCTCCAGTGGAACGGGCTGATTTGATTCAACAATTTATTGGGCAATCAAATTAGAGAACGCCCCCGCCCAACCCTCCGGGCAGAGGTTCAGTACAGAGTTCAGTTCAACTGGCCGTTTATCAACACAATTTGATTTGCATAAACTCATTCTTTTTTGTATGGCTTGCAATGTGTTTATTATGCAAAAACGCAAAAACGAAGCTGGGCCCGGGGAGAGAACTCATAAATTATGATGGAATAAATTCATGAAAATGCAGGCATGGCTTTGGGATAGTTGACAGTTTGTGAAACACACTTCTGTCCCGGGCTGTAAAGAAGTATGCTACACGCCGACACTGGGGATTGATCGATTTGCATTCCGATTTGTGGACAAATTGTAATTGTTTTGATTGCATCGGGTGGCACATTCAAGGCTGCTGACAGCTCCCTGGGCCTGGGTTTGAGCGAAAATCTATACCGATCCAGGCAGCTCTTAATCCAGCAGCACAATCCCCAATCCCGTTCATGGGCAGCTGTCCAGTGACCAGATGACCCAATGGATTTTCCATTTTTATTCTTCATTTTCATTCCCGATTCGAGTTACCCGCTCTGGTGGCACACTTTTCAACGGTCGCTAATTACTTTTGTGCTGCCGTAAATTTGCGCAGCCAATTTAAAATAATAGACAATGCAAGTGGCGTCGTCGTTTGCTCTTTATCTGCTGATGCAGCTCCGGAGCAATGGGCGCACGGGGACTCGTCCGCGCTATCTGCCTTCGGTTTCTTTTGTTGCACTGCTGCCCTGCTCGCAGTAATTCTGTGTAATTTGCATTAATTTACATTTAATTTTCAGTCGCCGCGAAGGAGGAGACAATGCGCGGCCTAAGGCCACCGACGCATGCCTGGCCAAACAACAAGCCGTCGGAAAGATGGACAAAATAAGAGAGAAGCCTAGCCTAGTTCAGGGTCCCGACCATGGAATACTGATTGATTTAACACTTTAGAAGATGACTATGATATGTTTGTTTATAAAACATATTTTGTTTGAAAACTAATTTTAAGACATTCTTGTGTATGCATTTCTAACTATTTCAATGTAAACTAAAGTAGATATCAACAACTCATAGACCAATACCAAACACCCTGGATTTCTATGAGTAATGGGCATGAAACTAAAGCTGGACAGCTGGACAGCTGAACAACTGGACAGCCAGGACCAAGATCCTTCGGGCTGTCTGTGGCTGTTATTTTTCCTCGGTTGGCCAGAAAACTTTGCCCACGCTTTCAATGAATTCATTATGGCAGCTTTTCAAGGTGGAGAAGTAAGAATTTCGCTTCCAGTTGTTAAATTGTCGAGAGGATGGATGGTTTTCACCATCCGACAGGCAGCTAGCACCTCAAGCCAACCGACAACCGCCACCCTATCTCGGGCTCAGGGCTTTCACAAAACTACTCGAAAGAAAACTGGGCCTCTGGTTCCTGTTGAGCCAAAGTCTTTCAGCTTTTAGTTCTTGTTCTTTGGGGCACTTGTGCTCGTTACTTTTGGCTTGTTCTTGGTCGCTTGTTCTTTTGTCGGTTTTTGAAATGTGTGTATTTCAAAAATTTGCTGAGGCATTATTATGCTAGCAGGCGGAAACTCTGAACACAAACACAGGTGCACTCACACTCACTTTCGACTGAGGTTTTGTAAAATAATATACACTGTGTGAAATGGAAAGTAAATCCATAATGGAGGTTTTAAAAAAAAATATATAGTAATGCTTAAGCAGATATCTGTATAAAAAATTACGAGTAATGTTTAGGTGTAGTAAGTTCTACTTGTTCTTAAAGAAAAAAATCATGTATAGCTAATATTCAAATAAAAATAAGATGCAAAATCTCAAACTGGAAAATAACAAAGTTAATTCCAAGTTACAAAATACTTTTGTAGTGATTTAAGAAATGTTTTCAATACACCAAAAAAAAATGTTTTTCAAGGAATCTAGAATAACATTTTAATATCATTTTTTTTTTTCAAATATTTTGTAGCTTGTTAACTTAGTTATTTTTTCCAAAAGTTCGAGCTGATTTTGGGTTTAATTTAATTCAAATTTTTTTTCTAAACACAAGCTCAGTTTGCACTATTATGTTTAGTACCCATCAATTGTTTATTTAACTATTTGTATCATCTATCTACAATTTATTTATCAATTTATAACCTTTATAAATTGTTTATTATGCACACTGTAAACAGCACTTTTTGTTTTCACTTTACGATGTGAATGTTTCTGGACATTAACTTTACCGTTGGTTCTGGCTCTTGACTGGGTTATCTGACTGCACTCTGCACTCTGTGGACTCGTGTGCTCGGCAACGCGGATGGCCGTCTTGTGATGTTCGTTCCATGGAGCCACTGGCTTTTATATGGGATTCCCCGGCAGCGACGCCGGCGCAGACGGCGACGGCGTTCTGGGTGCCTTTTGTCATCGTTGGCTTTATCTTATCGCTGTTGCTGCCGCAGTCGCCGTCACTGCCGCAGTTGGCGTCGCCTGCACTTGTCAGGGTGTGTGTTACTACTGAGTGTGTGTGTGGGGAGTGTGTGTGTGCAGTTTATTTTTTGGCCACCACGTGCACTGTTACGAGCCGAGGAGGCATCAGCATGCGGCATATTCGGTCATGGGTTTGTTTTGGGATTTGACACTCGCAGAAAACTCCATGCTGGGTGCCCCTGTAAATTCCGCTTTATTTTGGTAATTAAATCGCACGTCTTATCGGCTGCCAGACCGTACAATGTAGTGCTGAGAGGGTTTATGGGTGAAAAGCTTCAACAGAGAGAAAGAAAATGAGGGATTAGCATTTCTCACTGAGTTGTATCCTTCTGTTTTCCTTGATTTTACTCAGCTTTGGGTTAACAGTTTTTTAACAGTTTTCAGTTCTTGAACATAATATTTTTAAAGCGACTTGGTGAAAATGCTAAACGGTTTTAAAACACTTCTGAAAGTGTGCTACGAATTTTTAAAACAAGGGTTATTGTCTCTATTTTTACGTCTTAACTGGTAAATTCCAAACACGAAGGTATGTTGATTCTTAAATGTAGCAAATAATATACATATCAATATAGAAAGAATATTTGTTTATTCAAGTTACATTAAATCGATATTTTATATGCTAATTTTATGAGTAAATTCAAATTTTTAAAATGTCATAACTAAGCCAAAAATAAATTCATTTCATTTCGGAAAACGCTTATGTGCTAATTTTTATACGGCTAACAATTCAGTATACTGCATTTTAAAATATACAAAATTTAATTTTTTGTCGAATTTTGATAATTTTAATGATGTAACCCCTTAAAAAAATTTTAAATTTTGAAAAAATGTATTTTTCTTTTTGACATAGCTAGATCGATTCAGCTATTGATTTAAATCAATAATGTATATGATTTATAGGGTCGGAAATGATTCCTTCTTGCGTTACAAGCTCCTGACTGAAATTTGAAATACCCTAAAAGGGTATAAACACCTTTTGTTAAAGTTAAAGATTCCAGCTACCTTTCAAACTTTTACTCTATTAAATTAAAATAAAACGGAAAGGGAAAACTTTCCGTACAACTTTTTTGTGGCTTAAGTTCTGCTGTCAAGGAACCCAGACTAGTATTTAGATGTTGCACAGATATCCAAAGTGCCTTCAGAAATGTCAAGTTAGAATGAAGAATCTTCTCTTCAGCTATATCCTTTCTCTTCAGAATAAGAATCCTTAGCCTACTTTGTGGCAACTTTCCAAGATGCAATGCCTTTCTCGCCGTGCACCACAACATAACAAATCAAAATGTGCAAATGTTCTGGACAAATTTTTAGCATAGCCTTGACACACACACAATAAGCTGAAGAGCACACACATACTGCGGCCAGCGAGTGTGCACACACTTGCATACACCGACCTATAGGCTGAGCAGAGCTTGGCCAAAAGTTAATTTGGCCCAAAAGGCACAGGCAGAAACAGCTGCTGCAGAACCAGAAGCAAAAGCGGCAGCAGGAACGGCAAGCAGCAAGCAGCAGGCAGCACCAAGTACTTGGCAGCATAATTTCTGGTGGCGCATTCAATCTTGTCCAAGAGTGGACCACCAACCGACAGCATCCCCGAAAAAAAAGAAGAAGAAAAAAAGCATTTAAGCCGAGCAATTTCCAGCCTTTTAATTACACAAAGCAGACGACGACGCATACAATCGTCGGGAAGCTCATGTATTTTAGCTGTTCAGCTGTTAATTGTCAAGTTTTTGGCTGAAATGTCGCTGCCAATTTATCAGGCGCCTCGAGACCAGGGGGCAAACCCCAACCCCCCGCACTCTGGCCCAAATCCTGCTGATGCTCCTGCTGCTTTTGCCGCCGCTCAGCGGGTGTCCTGCGCAGTGCTGTAGGAATGTCCTTTTTTAAATGGTCTCAGCTGGGTAAGAATGTCAAGCATTGCCATATTGGGAAATGTTAAATTTTATAGCATTTATATTTTACAACCAATTTTTTATTTCCTATCCAAATATTACAATGACAAATTCTACAAAAAAAATGAACATTTACAAAGAAGTATCTATATCAAGAATGAATTTTTAATTTGAAATATTTGTTTACCATTTGATAGAACTTTAATTATGAAAAATATATTTTAATATCTTTTGAAAATCCTTTAAAAATCTGAAATACATACGTACATAAGCGAAGAAGTATCTATTTCTTGACTTCACTTTTAATTTCATATATTTGTTTAGTATTTGAGAGAATTTGAATTACCAAAAGTATATTTTAATATCTTTTGAAAATCCTTTAAAGGTGTGAAGGAGTAAGTCCTTCTTTACGAAAACTATCTACTATATCTTTTTAAAGAGGTGTCGAGCAGCACTGGTGCTCCGGTGTCCTGCGCCTGTTCCACTTCCAGGCTGTTCCGCCAGCTGATGCTTATTGCAGATGACCGTTTTACCAATGTTTCGTTCCGGTCTCTTATGTCCTGCAAGTGGTGCCGAGAGTGTCCTGGTGAGTGTGTGCCCCAGCAGCTGTGTATGTGTGTGTGTGCCTCCGTCCCTGTGGGTGTGTGTGCGACGGTGCGTGTTGGAGTAGGCAAATGTTTAAATTTGTGGCCTTTTTACCTGTTTGCATCTCAAGTGGCCAAGGGCCATGCCAGACCCAACCGTGTGTGGGTGTGAGGAAACGGAAGTCGACATTGACACAGTTTGAAATTAACATGAGCGGCCGGGCGGTTCCGTTCCGCTGAAGACCAACTAAAATCTTGAATGCCTTCTGGCGTTTGACCCCATTTCTCAGCGTTTAGCTGTCCACCTATTTCGTGTTGTTTTTGCCTTTTTTACCATTTCATGTCGGCATCTTCTTCTATATTTTGTTTCTCTCTCTGTTTCCTCCCTCTTGCTCTGCCGCATAAGTGGGACCACTAAACGTTTCGTTGCGGCTCAAACGCAAACTCACGTGAAGAGCAGGAGAGGCGACAAAGTACACTCGAAGAAAAAAGGCGACAGTCGAGCCCCCTGACCATAGGCATATCCGGCACTGTGTGGGCAAACATAGCTATGTACAAAACGTTGCCTATTTTTTTGGGTTTAATTTTGCAAACTAAAAAACGTATTCTCATTTTTTAATAAAAATTAAACAGGAAGCAAAATTAAATATCAAAGTAAAATAAATAAAACCTCATATATTATATTCGCATAAAAAAGTAGCAAAGTGTAGAAACCTTAGCTTGGCACGGCAACAGCAAATTATTTGTGCAGGATAGCCTGCCCGGTAGCCACCCACCCACCTGTCCCAACCCACCCAACCGCCCTCACCTGCTGGCCGCCTTTGTGCGGAGGACGTTCCGTGCCAGCCACACACACACTCGTCGCTTACCTGGTCGGCAATGGCAATGGCAACTTGATTAGACCAACATGAAATTAAGTAATTTTGCTGTATTGTTTAGTGTTCCAGCTCTGCCCTCCCATACGGGACGGTGGTGTTGCAGTGGCAGACATGTAGCAGGAGGCCGGGGGCAGGAGTCAGGAATGGACACCACAATGGCGGCCGAGAACAAAGCGGGTCACAAAAGAAACCGCCAAACAAACCGAATTTAATGAAAACATTTGTATCTCTACCCAAAGATGAGTCTCAGATTTTAGATGAAAGCTGTAAAGGAAGAAAAAAACTAGGGAAAAATAAATCATTTATTTTGAAGTGTGCAAACTTTTGCAATCATATAAAATTCCATTTGCTCCTTGGCCAAAAACCTGGCTAAAAAATCAAGCATACGCTCTGTGGTGCTTTATGATAATAGTCGAGAGCTCTTGGCCTCATTCCGTATGCGTCAGGCACAAACTCATGTGTCATGTGCAACTTCAACCAAATTGCATTTACCTCTATCGCACGGCAAAATTCCATCAGGCATCAGACACTTTCCTTCTACCAGTTAAATCATTTCATTTAGCATAATCAGAAACGGAAACGGAAACGGAACCCTTTGGCTGTGCATTCTCATATCGCAAATGGCGAGTAAAACAATTTGAATTTTGAGGCAAATTGCACATAATCCGCCAAAAAAGTGGAATTCCCTTTGAATTTAAAATGTGCTCAGGCAAAGAGGAGAAGAGCCGAAAAACTATGGGACCATCCATGGACCCCTTGTAATTTCCATCTACCGGAATTTGCAGAATATCAAACCGACCATGGAATACTCAGTACTCTAATTATTTTATTTATTTATATAAAAAATATTATACATGCTGTTGCTATTTTTCTGCAAGTTATTGAAAGGGAAAAGGAAATGTCCTGACAGTTTTTATTTTTAAGAAACTGTTTTAGGAAGCAATTAGCGAATGAAAATATTTTCTGTATGGTGTATACCCAGAAATATCTCGGACCAAGAGCTCGGAATTTCCGGGCAGATGCAGGTGGGTCGAGGCAAATTGCGGCGCCCAGGCCAGGACAGGTGAGTAAAGCGTTAACCCTTCAGCGCCCCTCGTCTGGACCGCTCCTCGTTTTAGTGTTCCTGCTGCTGCTACTGCTCCTGCTCCTGCTCCTTTTCCTGCTCCTTCCCCTAGTGCTGATGGTGCTCCTGGCTGGGATTAAATCAGCTTGGCCCTAAAAATAATGCAAGCTTGTCATGCATGGCTGAGGCAGAGGCGTGGCCCAGCACGGTGCTTGTCTGTGTAATTTACTATTATTTTTTAAGCACTTTCCTTTTATGCTCTCGCTGCTCTCTCACTTTTACACAAACACACAGAGACACACATAAACATTTTTATTGTTTGTTTCATTTGGCATTTTGTTTGTTTTCAGCTGGCGTCCTTCCGCCCTGCCATTGTGTGAAAAAAGGAGGCGGGCTTTCCAGTGGTTGTAGGTGGAACTGGTGGACGAGGTGGAGACCCCGCAGTTGCACGTGAGAAATTACACATGTCCTCCAGTGTTTTCAGCATGTCTGCATGCGATGCAGCAGGAGTAGCTGTGCATCTGTATCCGTATCTGTATCTATAGTATCTGTATCTGGATCCGTATCTGCATCTGTGTTGGCAGTCGTATCTCTGACTATTTGTTTGTCCTCTCATTTCGTTTTATTTGTTTGTTTGCCTTTTTTGGCCGATTGCTTCTGTGTGTGTGTTTTTGGCTGCCAGATTTATGTTTTGCCAAACGGAATTTGTCTCGTGCATTGGGATATACCCAGCATCTCTCCCCACTTTTCCATACCAATACATCCTTCGAATGCGATTGCGAACAACAAATTGATGACCCGAGATTTTCGCTGCAGTTGCAGTTTTCCTCCCTTTAGCCAGGCCGAATTCAATTTACCTCTGGCCCAAGCCGGGGGAAACGCTTGCGTAATTATTTCCACGTGCTTCGAGGGTCATTTCGGAATTATTACATTTCCCACCCACAAAACAAAAGGTATTGCATAACGCCTCGCTCGAAACTGAGCTTTCCACTCTTTTGGCCGCATAAAATGAATTTTAATTTGACTCGCCAACCGACAACCGCCAACAGCCTGTCGACAGACACCACCCAGGCCAAAAACTGGCCTTCCAATCGACAAAAAAAATATATATAAATTTCAAATTCTTTTTGCTTACACCCAGGAAGCCGAGCAAACAAAATACTAAATAAGAAATTAGAATTTTCGGTAGCACAGCAACATAGATGCTCTTTAATTAAGATAAAAGAATGATTATTTATTAGTATTATCTCTAATTAAATATTAGATTAGATTTACTATCTTGCAGTGGCAGTCAGCTGATTGCTGATAATATTCTGTGCCATTTGCAAAAGACTAGATAAAATATCAAGCAGGAACTATGTTTGAGCATATATTTGTGGATTATATCTTTCCACAAATAGAAATTGAAACATGTGATAAAAAAATATATCAAAAGATTAATCTCAAAAACAAATACAGGCGTTATTTCTGGCAAGTTCATATCCTCTTTAATCCATGTGAAGTTCATGCTAAAAACTCTCTCTCTGAGAGGTTAATTAGGCCACTTGAATGGCTGCCAAAAGGGTGAAGTATTCAAAAGACCCGGACTACTGCACGGCCATGGCAGCTCGAATTTAGGCAATGTACATTGGCCAAACACATATGCAAAATAAATACCAGACAAAGCGGATGGTATAATAACAATTATTGCCTCGCCGGCCCAATTTTACAATCCCCAGTCCTCCACTTGGCTCGGATCTTCGGGGGATAAGGAAGGAGGCGGCCGCAATGACAGCGGAAGCTGAAAATTTCATTGATTTTGGCAGCGACTATGGCGACGGAAGCCATGAAAAAGCCAGCAGTCAGCAGAAGGACTCGACTCCGGCCAGAAATTCGGGCCACTTGACTATGGTAATTTATATCCTGTACGACCTCGGCAGCCAGTGGGCGAACGTAAACACATATATGCATCCATGCGGGTGATGTGATGGGTGAGGTCTAGGCTAAGGTTATGACATGTCCGTACCAAACATTGCCAGAAAATTTGGGTAAACAACAAAACCCGCTTCCATTTTTCCTCCTTCTTTTTTTTGTCTTAGCAATTGCCGCATTTGTATCTTTGAGTGCGTCACTTTCGTCCACAAACTGTTTGCCAGATAAGACTAAATGCTTGCCGAAAAGAGTTGCTGATAAGCCGTCCAAGGGGGGTTTTCTTATCGCCTCCCCCGAAAGGGGGCGTGTCTGCGTCAGTCAACGACGTGGACCACGGCTGCTGATTCCCCGGCTGTCTCATTTGAATATCAAATTTTATCCAAATTACCTTGGCATTTGACAGGCCTCAATCTAAAATGCAATTAGTAATTGTGCAGCCTCACTAATATTTCACTCGGTACTTGAAGAGTGCAAAGGTATATTGAACATGGGATTAATATATAATATAATGATTTTAAAAGAATATTACATTGCAGGGTATTATAATTTTTGCTAGAAGCTTGTAACGAAAGAAGGAGTCATTTCCGACCCTGTAATTCATATATATTATTGATCAGAATCAACTGCCAAATTTATATTGCTAAGTCTGACAAAGAAATACATTTTTTGAAAATATGTTAAAATTTTAACATTTTATAAGGGGTTGTTAAAACTTTCAAAATTTGAAAAAAAAAATTGATTTTTTTAGATTTTAAAACTTGGTATACAGATTTCTTAGCCGTATGAAAACTAGCATATAAAATCTGTCCGAATTAAAATTAATGCATTTTTGGCTTAGTTATGATATTTGGAAAATTTTAATTTACCCATAAAATTAGCATATTTAAATATCCATTTAATATACCATAAATCCAATTGTTTATTATTTTCTTTACTTCCATATTTCAATATCAAAGTTCAAGTTTTTTTGATTTTATGAATGTTATACATATAATTAAGTTGGTACTGCAATGATCTTGTAGACATTTTGTAATACAAATTTGTCAATATTCTTGTATAACATTCCCAAGTTAACTTAATGGTATTCCATAGTCGTGGCACTTGACTTTCATTCTTTCAGTTTGTATTTTCTTTTGCGGGGCCTGCATCTCTGTCCAGTTTATTTTCGTTAGGTAATTGGCTTTATCTGACTGTGCCATCTGCACTGCGCCATAATCTCGGGGGCTTCATGACATAATTTTCGTATTTAATTTCTCCAGCTCACCTTGATTAGACAATCTCCCAGGCGAAGAGTCACCGGTTCGGTTTTGTTTTGGATCGACTGCATTCATTTCAATCGCAACGGGTTCAATCGAGTTCAAGACATTTAAATGTCCGACCGAATAATTTGCAACTTGACAAGCATATATCTCCGGTCACACGGCGCCGGTGTAGGCAGTTGTGGTTCATTTGCAACATGGAAACCACAAATTTTGAGCCACATAAAGAAAAGCAAAAGAAAAACATAGATAAACCGAATCGAAAAACTAAAAAAGCAAAAAAACAAAAAAAAAAACCGAAAACAAACAAGGGGCCGCAACTTCCAGGCGGCGCACATATATATATAGTATTTGTTGGCTTTTTTAGCCAGCAGGCCAACTAATTGCTATTAATAAAAAGAAATAGCTTCCAACGCGACTCGAGCAGGTGAGACGCTATTAGGCGGCTCTTGGGTGGCCGTGGCCGTGGCCCTGGCTGACTGGATTGGGACTTGGATGAAAGCCATCCGGTGCTCCGAGATCGGAATGGACCAAAGTCGACTAGGCGGCACACAATGGGGCCCTTCCTCTTGTTAGCCCATCGGTGGAAAGTCGTCCCAATACCAATCTAGTAGTCAGAGTCGGTGCCATTGTCTGGCCGGTGAAGAGGAAAGCTCGGTTTGTTTGGCCAAATGGGAGCTCGTACTCATCTGTGATTATGCTTTTATGGGGCTTCCCACACCTGTTGATCAACAGGCGGCATTGCATTCCGCGGTGCAAACTCCGCACGACTCGGCAAAACCAATATACGGAGGCACGTAAATTCAAATTTATTGCATTAACAGCCACTAATTGTTTGAGCTGCTTGCAATTAAACACGCGCGAGTACGAGGCACACAGGCTCACATAAAACACTTGTAGTTTGACGAAAGATAAATACTCTTTAAACTAAGCTAACTAGGAAAAGAAGAAACATAAATAAAGACAGGTTTATACTTTAACCACTGATTACAAGTAAAGGGATTCACCTTTCCTCCCTAATCCGAAAGGTAAAGATATCACTTGTACCTAAAATCACATTCTCAGAGAAAGTCACCGACTTACAGATGTACTAAATTCAAAATAGAAAGTCTAAGTCTTAAAAGCACCCCAATCACAAAGTAATTAATAATAGTTACACAGATATACATATACTAAATGTGGTAATTATACATGTTTGGGAGTGCTAGCCGTAAACAACTATTAAGTTGAAAAGTAAACAGAACAAAGCGTTGCTTGCTACCCTCTATTCCGAACCAAATCCAAGCAACGAGAATCTTAGGAGAACTTTCGGTTCCAGTTGGTTGGCCAAAGTGAGACCCGCATGATAAGTACATTAACCCTAGACAAAAACATTTGCTTTCAAAGTTTGTCAAACTAATTACCCCCGGGGCTGCTGTGCTGCGAAAAGTTTGCAAATTGCGCAATCCCCACCTATATAGACATCCTCAACTGTATCCGTATGGCATACACATGGCAGTAGCTCAACTCTAGATGAAATAACAATAAAAACAATTAATTATAGGAGCATCGACAAAGTCAAATTGCCTGTCTGCAAGTCTGCAAGTAGGAGAGAGACCCGGAGTCTCTTTGTTTGACAAAAGCCAAGCAAAAGCAAAAACATTTCGCATGCCATTGCCACAAAGGCAACGCAGCAGCAGTAGCAACAATAAAAACATCGGGCCAAGAGCGGCGGCAAACATAAACTTGGAGATACAGGAAACACAAGGCAGATAAATTTGAGCAAAGGCAAACGTGCGACTAGCTATACACAGCAGAGGCAACATCAGCAACAGCAACAGCAGCAACATCAGCAACATCAGCAGCAACAGCAGCAGCACCAACAGCAACAGCAACAGCAACAGCAGCAGCAGCTGGCTAACCACTTGAATCACTTTCGTTTTCATCTGATCGCCAGTCGGGTGGAAAGTGGTAATGTAATGCGCGCATCTTTAAGATACAGATACGCCACCATGCAGATGCAGTTGCTGCATTTGCATGCCCGATATCGATCAGCTGTGAAGCATCACAGTTGAAGTTGTCCGCTCCGTTTGGGCCTTCCCGTCCAGCGCCATTTGTCTAATTGTCGAGTTTCTCGAACTCTAAGAGAGCACATGTTGCTGCTACTGCTGCTGCTGCTGCTGCTGCTGATGCTGCTGCGAATATGATGCAATTGCCATTGAATAACAGCGGCCACTACAACTGCAGCAGAGAAATTGCAGTGCCCCTGCACTCGGCCACATTCAAGGTCCCGAACTTCGATTTCTCCCGACTCCGACTCCGACTCTGGCAGATCTACGTGCTTGACCAATTTGTATACAGAGAAAAATGATGCTGAACAATTTAATTTTATTTCGGTGCACTTTAAATTATTTCTTTTAATGAAAACCGAGAAAAATAGTGCTGACCTTTTGCAAGTAAATAAGTAATAAAGTAATAAACTAATAAACTAACTAACAACTATATACTATACTAACTAACTATATATACTATACTATATCTATACTATACCATTGGAGTTTACAATCAAATTCTAGGATGGAATAAGGAAACAATTTGAATTAGGCTGAAAATATTCCCATTTTTTAAAATTATTTATCAATGTTAATATGACAGACAAATTAAAGTTTAAAAATCGCATAACTCAGACAAAAAAGCATTTAATCCAATTCGGAAGGCGTTCCTGTGTTGGTTTTTATTAGGTTAATAAATCTGCATACTCCATTAAAAATTTTAGAAAATTGAATTTTTTTGCCAATTTTTGACAATTTTAACGATTTTAACCCCTTATAAAATTTGGAAAATTCTAAAAAAAATCAATTTTGACCGGATATAGCTAGATCGATTGGGTTTTTAATTCTTATCAAGAATATATATGATTTATATGGCCGGAAATGACTTCTTCACTTTGTTATAAGCTGCTGACTATAATTAAAATACCCTTGATTTATTATTATTATTATTATTGTTCTATTATTTTTTTGTAGAAATCTTGAACAATTTCTGAATTGAAACAAATACAAACTATTAATATTAATACCAACATTTTAACATAAAGATTTATTCCAGTGTACGTTGCCGTATTGACCCGCAACGCTTCCGACGATTGTCATCGCATCTCTGGCCTGAGGCATGCGTAAAAACTTATTTTTATACTGGGTTTTTTGTACGATTTCAATTAAATACCAAAACACACAGCCATTATTGTTATTATAATTTCTATCATTTATTTTGTATTTGTTTTTTGTTTTTTTTTTTCGCAACCCGTCGGGAAAGTTCCCACCGAAGTTTTCCTCAAATTGTTGCTCCTCGATTGGGCAAGCGATTTTCGAATTTCAAGTTTTTGATTTTGATTATCCGATGGGCCCTGCCGTTGCCACTGGGACTGAGCCTGCCACTGCCACTGCAACTTCAGCATCAGCTTCAGTTTCGTTCGTCATCTTCAAGTGAGGCGAACGTGTACGGCACGGCGCCTCTTAATTGAACAACAACTGCGATGCCGGACAAATGCCAACGCCCACCACAACAAATTGACAGCCGGCGTCTTGGCTTAAATGATCAATCGGCTGCACAAACATAACTTCCCCTCCAGTGGCACAATGGGAGGGAAAACCATTTCTGACCATGAAAGTTGAGCCGAAAATGTTATACTTATTCAAAGATAAGTAAATATTTCACATTCATTTAAGTTGTTCCTATTTTTAAATAAGAAAAGGTTACTATCCACTCAATAAATACTTCAAATATATCCTAAGAGTCGTGACAATTTCCACAAAGACTTCCCAATTTAAGCCAAAACTCTGACCTTCTTTGCCCATTGTGTGCTGCTCTTGGCCGTTGGATGTTGGTTGTTGGTTGTTGCCGTTGGCGTGGTGTTTTTGATGTTGCATTAACAACTTCCCCATTGGCTTTGTGTATGTTGCTGCTGCGGCAGCAACAAGCAACATGACTTATGAGTTTGTGCATCAACACGGAATTCAAGTCGTTGTAGTTGCTGCTGTTGCTGCCTTCATCGCGTAATGAAAACGAAAGTAACTCGTACTCACATACAAATGTACTCACTCAGTCACTCACTTAGTCTATGGATATGGCCAGCCGCATGCCACATCATTCACACTGAGACACACACAGGCAGGCAGGCAGACCGGAATTATGCGCATATTTTAAACTAATCGCTATTAAACTAATCACTTGACATCTTACATTGAAACAGGCGTTGAATAGCTACCCGCTGTTAATCACTCACTTAAATGGCAGTCATATCTAGAAAAATGCATTCAAATTGTCAATGAAATGAATGGATAGCAAAACCTAATCGAATTAGATCGGATCGGATCGTGTCCTATAGGCTACTGGACATTTAAATGAGATTAGATAATAGCTGCTGGTGTCACGAATCGGAAATCTTATGCAAGTTTCGTTCATTCTAATGTCAAAATCGAATCCATAGCCATCAATACTTTTCTCGCAGCGAAATCGTTTCATATGCATACGAAAAACAAAAATAATATTAAGTAAATAATTATGGTAATGACCCACATGTGTGATTTAATTTAGTAATTTCTAAAGTGGCAGTTGCACATGCAATATACTACGAAAGCGAAAACTTGTTTATAAACTGGGCTTAAACTGATATTCATTCAAGGAATCCCCATTATCGGATGCCTATAAAAATTACAGAACAATGTTGATCTCAAAAATAATTTCTTAATTATAATGATCACGGCTTGAGCTTTAACCAAATAACATTGATTGGGATGATAATTTTATAGATACATTAATTAAAAATCAAACAAAATTACAGTAACTACACAAGTTTTTAATGGGAACATCAATTATTTTACATTAAGGTAGTGACATTCAGTTATAAGGCTATGGTAGAGCTACATTGTATGTTTTTTAAAGTGAACTAAGAATACGTTTAAGCTTAATTATATAATTAATTGATGAATATCACTGGCTTATCAGTGCTGTTCCATTACCTTTGATGAAGTCTTCTTTAAAACTCAAGTTATTATTATTTGTGGCCTATCCATGAGCTCCCACATAGAGTATTATTAGTTTTAATGTCTTATTTGATGACGCAAAGCAACCAAAATAATCACTATTTGCGCTTGCCTAATTTATTCTTTTGTAATGGCACTTTCGTCGGCTGTAGGCTCATCGGTGAATGATTTCCGTGGGTTGAGCCGGGCCAACTTACCCTTTTCCGTTGCCATCTCAGCTGGCCATCATCTCTCTCTATCTCTCTGGGTGTTGTGGTTGTTGTCTTGCCGCTTCCACTGTCCGCCCCCCTTTACCGCCGATGCCTTTTCACTTTCGTTGGCTCTCCGTTAGTTTTGTTGCTGGAGCGGGGGCATGCCACACCGCGGTCGCAGTCGCCACCGACAGTGAAGTCGGCGTGAACAGCGCAGCTTCCCATAGTCAAACGGTAAATGTTTGCTGGCAAACCCGAGCAGAGCACAGTTGCATTTTGGCGCTCGTCCCCAACGATTCGCACTCGCACACCTGGCGTTTAGGCCAAGTCCACAAAAAGCCGTCAAAAATAAAAAAAAAAAACGCAAGAAAAACGAAAATATATAAAACCGAACCGACTAAAAAACTGATGGCTGCGCATGCGCACGCAAAAGTGACCGTTATTACTAGAGAGCCGCAGGCCCAGATCGTTATATAATCGAGAGTGGAAACTCAAGTCTTTAGCCCAAGCTTAAACGCCAGCTTCTGCGCACAATTCGCGATGTCGACGCCGCCCATCCAGCAGACTAATTAATGCGCAGTCGTGGAAAGAAAAGCAAGTCTCGTAAATTATAATACTTAGTTAGCCCAGTTGGCCGGAGTCGCGGTTCCATCTCCGCTCCCGTGCCCGTTCCCGTTCCCAGTTCCAGTTCCCATTCCCCGCCCGGAAAAAAAACCCTCAGTGAAAGTGAATGAAAAGCATCTGCAGGACAAAGATACAGCCGAAGCTAAGCATAAAGATACAGATACAAATACAAATCCGTAAACGGCCGCTCTGGGTCAGTCATGCGCGCGATGAGCAGCTGAGCTGCGCCAGCTGCCCGATGATGAAGCCATCACTGTCACCACAACAGTCACAGCCTCACTCCCAGTCACACTCCCAGTCCCACTGGCATTGGCATTCCCCGGTGACCAGCGCGGCGACCTTGAGATGGCTGTGCCTGCTGCTCCTACTCCACTCCTCCAGGCAGTTTGAGACGGGTAGGTTCATTAGGATTGGGCTTTGTTTAAGTTTATAAGTTCAATTTAAAATTCAAACATTTACAAAATTTGAAGGTAATTGAGTTCTACTCAACTGCTTCATCAATCTAGAAATCAAAAATTATATAATACAATAATATTATCACAACAAATCTAAATGCTTGCAACTTATAGCATCTGAATCTAATTTCCCTAAATGCTTAAAAATAAATTGAAATTCAAAATATATGAAGTAATTTAACCAAAATGTTCAATAAATACAGGAAATCCTAAGTTAACATCTTATAGAAAAATCATTCTCACCTTTACAAAAGTCTCATATCACAGTTATAATGAATATTCATCAAGTCAAAATGCAAAATACATAACCTACGGCCAATAAAATGAAAACGAAATCAAAGGTCAAAAACCTAATGGAAAAAAACTTTTTTTTCTCTATTTATAATAACGTTTAAGGCCTGTTCCGTGTTTTATATTTTAAAGACTTGATTAAATATTATAGGAAAATAAATATTTCAGCCACTTTAATTTTAAAAGATATTATATTAACGATATTTATATTAAAAAAGTTTTATGGCTCGGTTTATAATGATGACCTTTAAGGATATAATTACTATTAATTTTCAAACAAATCAAGTTTTTTTTAGCTCACAATTTTCATTTATTTGTTTATTTATATATATATTTTATTTATTCATGAAGTACCAAGACTTGAAAGCAAATAAATAAACTTGTAACGTGAGTAACGAAACAATAGCAATTATCATGATTGATCGATGCCAATTGGTATCTCAACACCTCCAAACTAATTTATTATATTGAAAGGTGGCAAAACTATTAATTACGATTTAAATACATTGGCATTAGGTAAACAAATACATAAATGAAATTATTGAAATATAATTTAGATTTGGAAGAGTTAAAAAAAGGTTTAAATATTTTAAAGCAGCCTAGAAGAAATTTATAATTTAATAAAATTAATATAAATAAACAAATACTTACTCTTAAAGACTGCGGCTGTCGTCCGGCACGTCGTGGACCCCGTATCATCTCCGGAGCAGCCACAAACGAGGGTCAGTTTCCCTGGCAAGCGTCCCTGGAATTGCTGCATCCATCTCTGGGCTTCCTGGGTCACTGGTGCGGGGCTGTACTCATTCACCAGTACTGGATACTCTCCGCCGCTCACTGTGTACACAAGTAAGTCGATGTATATTTATGTTCGGACTCAAACATTAAATTGGGGATTCATCCATCTAGTGATCTCTTTAACCTGCCCATCCCTCCCCTGTGGACGGTGGTTCTGGGCGAACATGACCGTGACGTGGAATCGGGCAATGAGCAGCGCATTCCCGTCGAGAAGATCGTGATGCATCACCGCTATCACAACTTCCGGCACGACGTGGTGCTGATGAAACTCTCCAAGCCGGCGGATCTCGCCAGAGCTTCTAATATCCGACGGATCTGTCTGCCCTTTATGCTGGCAGAGTCGCAGGACTCTACTCTTTCGGCAGCCATTTCTACAGGAGCTCCAGCTGATGAGGATGTGCTTATCCAGCAGTTGGATCTGGATGATGTACCCGAGAAAATCGACAACTTTCTGCGCAGCGTCCAGAGCCGGAGACGCTACCGGAATGTCACAGCGCCCAGCATGAAAGAGCTGATGAACATGAAGATCCTTAGCAGGATGAGGCAGGCGATGGCGCAACGTTCTCCGCGTAGCTTGAAGCGCTCCCGGAGACGAAATGACAAGCTAATGAAGCTGGGACCTCGGAGGGATACAGACGACTCCGTGGAGCAGAAGCACCTCAAGGCCAGCGAGGAGCCCAGGGAACTGGCCTTCGTTGACTGTGTGGCCACGGGTTGGGGCAAGGCTAACATTAGTGGCGATTTATCCAATCAGCTGCTAAAGACCCAGGTGCCCCTGCACCAGAATGGCAGGTATGTCCTTTATTAAGTTATAACAAATGACTTGTTGAATAATGTCTTACCTGTATCTAGGTGCAAGGATGCCTATGGGAGCTTTGTGAATATCCACGGTGGTCACCTGTGCGCCGGCAAACTGAACGGCGAGGGTGGCACCTGTGTGGGCGACTCCGGCGGACCGCTGCAGTGCCGTCTAAGTCGTGATGGCCCCTGGATCCTGGTGGGAGTCACCTCGTTCGGCTCGGGATGCGCCCTGGAGGGCTTCCCGGACGTCTACACTCGCACCTCGTACTACATGAAGTGGATCGAGGAGACCATTGCAGCCCACTGAGCAAAATCAGCAATTGGATTATCCTTATAAAGCGCAATCATACTTCAGGCTACCTCCCCCACATAATTAATGGTTCACAAAAGAAATTTCATTTTGAAACCATTAGAGTGATAATCCATGAATGCGTAATATATGGACGAACCCCGAGAGGAATACATACATAGCTATCGACCTGTATTTATCGAGTGCAAGCTCCACTGTACATTGCTTACTGTAGCCCTACCATTATCTTTACTGTTATCGTTAACTAGTACGTAGGCAAGACGTTCCCTAAGTTGTTTCCAATGAGCACAATAATTTAAACCGAATCTTAAGCATAAATATCACAGAATTGTCTCTTCTTGCGTTGAGGTAGCCATTCCCGAATAGATCACGCCTTGGCCAGCTTGGGGATGATGCTGCCGCCACCGAAGAGCAGATGGTGCTGCTCCTCCAGAGCCTCCAGCGGCAGCGAGGACTTGCGATAGCCCGGGGCTCCGATTACCTGAATCGCCGCCCCACGCTCTGCCTGATCCACCTTTTGGAACTTGTTGGCCGGCGCCCAGAAGCAGAGCATCAGGGCGCAGCACAGCTGATAGACTCCGGCCAGAAGCATTCCTAGGGCAACGCTCCACTGCAGCAGGGGGAAGCCCCACTTGATGCCATGAATGAGCAGCCGCAGGCTCAGACACAGGACGTCGATGTTCAGGTCCACCCACAGCAGCGGTAACACCATGTTCTCAAAGGGTTCCATAATCCGGCTGAAACTGACCTTGCCCACGACCTGGTTGGCCTGCAACCGAAGGTGGGTGCCCTGCATGGGAGCTCCCAGTTGCTGCAATGCAAAGAATATGTTATTATCCTTACCAGGACTCTGGAGTAACTTTCCCAAGAACTTACCGGTTGAACTACGAGTGAGGATGTGAAACGCGTGGCATTCGGAGTAAGACCTTCAAAGGGCTCTAGAAGGGTAGGATCGGCATGTGTAAAATGCGGATATGTAATGGCCAAGGGAATATCTGTAAAAAATTAAGGAATACATTTTTTTATAATTTTATTACAAGGATTAAGGATTTTATGAAAGAATGACTCACTGTAGTAGCAGGGCGAGACGCTACCCACGCCCTTCTTGAGGCAGCGGTTGTTCTTGCAGTAACAGGAAGAGTTGGCATCATTCGCATAGCTGTCGAATGTATCCGGGAGCATGTCGAACCGATAGCCATCGATTCCATTCCAGGTGGAGGTACTATTGAACTTGACATGTAAGCGCCGGCAGAAGGTCCGCCTATACAGAAAGAACTCATCGTTCTCATCCATGTCCAGCGGGAAGAGTGTGGCATCATGACTGCCCCAGATGCGATTGCACATGGTTCCACTGACAGAATAATTCAATTATTATTATTTTCTTTAAAATGTGCATAAGAAAACCACCTACTTGGTCTCATCGTTGTATTCCCAGCGCTTGAAGCCCCTTTCCCCATTGATGCTGTCCACGGTATAGGCTCGAGGAGCATCGGGCAATCGCACTCCATATTTGTCTTTCGGTTCATGGAGGTTCATGTTGAACACATTGCTCTCGTTTCCCTCACGAAAGAGCTAGAAATAATTATAATACTTTAATCTATTGTTTAAGAGATCACATTATAAGTTACACCTTTTTTAAACCAATAAAAAACAGAGAAAAAGAATGTTAAAATTCTAAACAATAATCATTAAATTCCTTTTTAAAGTTATAGACTCGAGAATGTACTTAGTTGAACTGCTAGAACTCATTAACAAAAATTATAGAATGATGTCATATAAAAAATAATATGACAATTTATATGGTACATTACATTACAAAATACTTCTAAATATAGAATTTAAAATAAACGTTGTGATATATAATACAAAAAAGTTAAATTAAATTCAACAAATTTCTCTCTACTTTTCTTACTATATTTTGTTATATATTTTAATATTTCTCTTGAACAGTTAAAAGTACTCACCTTCTCCATAATTCCAAAGCTAGAAAAATCAATCCAACTTGGCACAAATTTGGCGGCCAGTTCCACCAGACGATCCTCATAGCCCCACATATATTCGTGGACACTCAACTCCAGCATGGGCTGTGAGTCAAGTTGCCGGGTAATAGCACTCAGTCCCAGGGAGGCGAACATGGACATGCTGGAGGCCAGAGTGGTTACACCCATTAGAGGAATATTGGGCGCCCGGATGCGGTCCACTTTGGGATCACCAATGGATCTGTCCAGTGCCAGGACATATTCACGCTTGGGCGTATACGTAATTGTATTGTTGTTCTCATTGTAGGTGACATTGTGATTGCTCAGTACCTCCTGGTAAACATAAGGACCCACCTCCTGGACATGCAGTTTATCCGCTCGGCCCGATGTGAACTCTTCCACATTTGTGTAGTTGAACATGTAAACGTTTATAAAAACATCTATGGGCGGGAAGAGCCACAGTCGGTGAAGCAGGGAGCCAGGCTTAAGGCTTAGTTGCTGCAAGGAGATTAAATAGGATATATATTATATATTTAAAATATTTAAAATAGAGAAGCTATGGCTAATTTAATTGATTATTCCTTGAAGTACTAACCGTATCCAGGATACTCTGCAGGGGATCCGCAATCAGGACCAGTGACCCGAAGAACAGCAGGGTCATGCCCAGGGCGGCGCGACGCAACAGCTCTGCAACGACGACAATAAATTAGATCAGCGGGTTATTGTGAGTTATTGTTGAGTTGTAGTCATGCGAGCTGCGGACAGCCGAAGTTTAACTGGTTTTGCCGCAGTTCCAGTTCCAGTTTGCCAATAGCGTGCGCCTGCCCATCATGCCATTGACCTTGCCGGCGGATCTCCGCTCCGATTGTATCGCAGCGGCGTGTCCGAGATCTGCGACCTACCTCAATGGCAGGACCAGGAACATCATCTGCCCCGAAAAACAAAAAAAAAAAAAAAACATAAACAAAACGCTGACAGCCGGCAGACGCTGACGCCGAAAATGCGGTTGCGGTTCAATGAACGTTCTTCGATTTTATAATACCGGAGCAGGAGGAGATGTACTCGTAAAAAATTCCAAGAACTCCAGAGGATTACCCTTGAGATCCAACACAAGTTCATGTTAAATATGTGGTCTAAAGATTGAGCGGTAAGGTGAGACTAAAAGCTTCTCTAGAGTTGGCAACTGGTTTTGTCAAATCACAAACTTTTTAGCATATTACTAATTTGAGACAGTAGATTTTCGACTTTTTTTGATTTTCACTTTCATTGAAAGTGAATCTGTCATAAATTTGTAGCATTAATTCAACAAATTAAGAGGTTCTGATTAATTATTTTAATCTAAGATATTGTGTAAACGGTTTGCGACTCATCAAATGTTTTGTTTACCTTAAGGAGATAAAAATCTTCCCCCCGTGGGAAATCCATAAAAATCCAGTCTCATCGACCTTGGTTAGAACATTAATTAAAAGCACGGAAGATGGACAAGGCAACCGAAGCATATCAATCTAGGCTGCACTTCGCCTCATATTTACTCGAAGTGAAATCACTCACTTTACGACCGAAACTCGTTTGTCTCACCTGCCTGGGGCTCACCTTCCGCAAAGATTATTGTCTTTGCTCGATGATATTTCACTTCCGCACTCGAAATCCGTCCGGATATAGTAAAAAGTCGAGTACACTCCACCCATATTCTTTGCTCCCGACCGATTTCCAGGGATCACGGCCATCGTTCTGTGAAGATCACTTTCGGTTACCCATAAATCAAAGGCACAATCTTAAACCATTTATCAGAACAAATTCGCGCAATCCCGCAATAAAAAGAGAAACCCACAATTGTTTGACTAAATGATCGATATTTCTGTGGAATAGAAACCTAGAGATACAGATAATGTATACACCTGCCAAGATCAATGAACTGCCTGCCGAATAGCACGCCCCTAGCTCCATCCGAAATGGCACGATCCCACAAGCACCAGGTGCTCAGATGCTCAGATACTCAGATACTCAGATCGAACAGCGAACAGCAAAAACTCATTAGCTATTTCGCTTTGGTGTCAACTTTGGTGTCATAAATAGGTTCAAGACTTCACAATCAAAACAAACCGCGATGATACATGACAAATTATGCACGGCGCCGATGAAACCAGAAATCCACAAAATATATAATACCTATGAAGGTATATTCCATTGATAGAAAATGATACAAAAATGCACGCGAAAAAAAAAAACATTTCAAATACAAGTGTACTATTATAATATTTTGTTTACAAAAAAAATATGCTAACACGGCTTTAATTAATAAATAAATATGATTAAAATCGGATAAAAAAGAAAATAAACTTATTACGGGAATTCCATATTTATGTATTACAATTTAATTTAAAAAGCGAATCGGAACTGATAATAAATGACGCTTAAAATATAATTTGAAGATATACATATTTATAGATATTTTTATATGACAATTTATTCAAAAATCAAAAGTTAAAAATCGCATAACTCAGCAAAAAAATCATTAATTTTAATTCGGAAAGCTTTCCTATGCTAGTTTTTATTAGAATAATAAATCTGCATACTTCACCTAAATATATAGAAAATCAAAAATAATTCAAATTTTTTTGACAATTTTAACGATATAACCCTTTGTAAAATTTCAAAAATTATAAAAAAATCAATTTTGACCGAACATAGCTAGATCGATTCGGCTGTTAATTCTGATCACGAATATATATAATTTATAGGGTCGAAAATGACTCATTCACTCTATAAGAAACTTCTGAGTAAAATCTGATACCTAATATTGATATTTCTGATATTAATATTTTTGTTTCAACATATTAGCTTGAAAAAACATGGTCAAATTTGGAATAATACTAGTTTTAGTTTTAGTTTAATAATAATTTAGTTTTATTTTTAAATATGTATATGTCTCAGCCCTTTTAACCCTTTTCTTTCCGTGTAGACTTATGCATATCCTTGCCTTGAATGTGACAGCCGAAAATTCCCGGTCCATCAATAGACCCCACCCATAAATTAGGCCAGCACACTCGCACACAATGGGGCCGAAATTATTCTGCTGCAATGGAATGACCAATGCCAAAAGCCACACGCAAAGTGTCCAAATAAAACAAAAATGAAGAGAGAAAAAAAAACTCCGCTGTCAAGCAGAAATGTGGAGCTTGCATTGGGCAACAATTGCATTGCCAAAGCAAGAGTCCAAAAGACGATTGAAAGATTGAGAGATTGGGGGCTAACACACGGGCAGCTTGAATGAAAGACGCTTGTCTCGATCGCAGCAGCTGATTCAGTGAGCTGTGAACTTGTTTGGGCCAACCAGCGGTGGCAACAAGGCGGCGGCTCAATATCAGTCGACTGGGGGATTGGAATCTGACATATCAGTTACTACACAGAACCAAAACACTATCGAGATTTTAGTAAAAATTAAGGTGTTTAAATTAAACATTACATTTAGCTATTATTTATGATTACAATGGGATTATCTTGTGTTTTAAATGACCTAAATATAGACCATAATTAAGCCAAGTTTGTGTGTTGTTTTATTTTAATTTTTTCCAAGTGCACATTTAAGATGACGCCTGACTTCTGACGGCTACCTCTGCGGCGCTCTGAAGTTCAAGTTCGGTGCAATTTAGCCGGCTTGAAGTATGATAAAAAAAAACCTGAATATTAAAAGTGCACAGCGTCAAAAGCGTTTTTGACCAGTCAAAGCGTCACCGCGGTGACCTACTGAAGTCAAGAATGAATTTGTTTTGTTTCTTACCGAACACGAACAACACCTTCGAGCTGTCTCACAGGTGTGTGTGAGTGTGTGTGACTTCCGTCCGACGACAATAAATTAGGCAAATAGTCGGATTTGCCAGCTTGAGATTTGTGCTTGGGTATCCACCGACTACACACAAAGAAAAGCTTGCTAAAAAATGTCTAGTTAATTGGGTATTACCCGAAAATATATACCTACATATGTATATGTTTGTGTAAAGAAGTCATTATAAACTATTGACACTGACTACTGCCTTAGTCATGATGTTTACTATAACTTAGACTTGAAGGCATCTCAAATCGATTTAAGATCAATTAAACCACTTAAATTGGTTATTTTCTCGTTGAAATTGCTATTATTAGCCATGCCTTTTATGAAATTTAAATATATTGTAATTCAAATCACCATTCAATTAATCTATTTATAAGAAATCTAATTTTTTTGTTGTGTACTTGGCTGACAAGCGCCGATCGGGCTGTAATGACGATATTTGTTTGCTGTTAGCCTGTTTTGAGTGTTTGCCTGTTTGGCTGTTATTCGCTGTGTTTAGCTAGTGATTAATCCCAGATCTGTTGCTATTTGCTTTTAATCATCACCAAAAACCATAAAACCCAAAACCCTTAAATAGTCGCAGTCAAAGTCTCGCGTGTCAATTAGAGGCACGCCAATAAGGAAAAGTAAATATGTAGCGCGACAAGTTTACAACTTCCCCGATTCCGATTCCAATACCGATTCCCAATTTCCAATTTTCAAATTCCAATTCACAGGCCCGATCCGATTTGTTCGCTTCGCCTTTGAAACGGACACCTTACAATGTTTAGTACTGATTTCGCTGACTTTTTATACCCTTGCAGGGTATTATAATTTCAGTCAGAAGTTTGCAACGCAGTGAAGGAGGCACCTCCGACTATATAAAGTATATATATTCTTGATCAGGATCAACAGCCGAGTCGATCTAGCCATGTCCGTCTGTCCGTCTGTCCGTCTGTCCGTCTGTCCGTCTGTCCGTCTGTCCGTTTCTACGCAAACTAGTCTCTCAGTTTTGAAGCTATCTGAATGAAACTTTGTAGTTAGCCTTCTATATACTCTCACTCGTATATATGTCGGAACGGGCCGGATCGGACGACTATATCATATAGCTGCCATAGGAATGATCGGAAAATTTTTACAAAAAAAATTTTAACTTTTTCAGTTCTCTATAGAATTGGATCAAATTTGAGATATAGCCATTTAATATTATTCTACAATTTTGTGTAAAATTTTATGAAAATCGGACGACTATATCATATAGCTCCCATAGGAACGATCGAGAAATTAATTCAATTAATAAGTATAATATTTTCAGTTTTCAACAGATTTTCATCAAATTTGAGATATAGCCGTTTCATATTATTCTACAATTTTGTGTAAAATTTTATGAAAATCGGACTAATATATCATATAGCTCCCATAGGAACGATCGAGAAATTTGAGAGGAATGAGATTGGCGGTGGCTGTTGTCGGAAGACTGACAATCGCGGTGGCGATAACATTTTTAGTTTTCAACAGAATTTAATCAAATTTGAGATATATCCATTTCATATTATTCTAAAATTTTGTGTAAAATTTTATGAAAATCAAACGACTATATCATATAGGTGCCATACAAACGATCGTTTGATGTAGAAGAAAAATACAAATCTGTGAATATAAAGCTGCAAATATAATATGTATAGGTGAATGAAATAAAAGCAGGTATTACTTCATTGTTTTTAAACACATATATATATAATTTATATGGTATGGATTTCTAGTCATAGAATTTCTATCTGCAAGGGTAGTTAAACTTCGGCGGGCCGAAGTTAGCTTCCTTTCTTGTTTTTTGCTGTTTTTGTATCGCTTTTGTTAATGCCCGTACAATAGCTGTTATTTGCATTGTTTAGCGATCATTGAGCTGTAGATCGCGTATTGATTTATGGCGAACTGCGGCAAATTAGTTGGAGCGTTCTTAGGAATTTCTCAGAGCATCTATGCAAGTCACTCCTCCGTTTCGGTGGAGGGGAGCTTCTGATCTGCACAATCTGATCTGTCAGCATCTTTTTCTTTTATTTATCTCGTTATTTATTATTATTATTATTTGTTTGTTGTTTGTTTTGTTTTGTTTTGTGGAGAATATAAAAAATTTAATACCAAAACAACAGAGTGTGCCCCCATCATATCATGGAAGTGGGCAATCATCGCGTTCACCTTCAGTTTTCCCAGCGTATTTATGCTGATTGAAATCATCGAACTTCATGGTAAGGTAATACGTGACATTTTCAGTCACAACCGATTTCATTTCAAATCTTAATTTATGCAAACTTAATTGCACTACCGTCCAGATCCGTTAAATCCAAATTAGTTTATAAATATACTTACATACGGAGAGATCAAGTCAGAGACATTAGCAGAGACATGCAATTAATCGGATAGAGTGACCCTTGAGACAAGTGACCTACTATATAGAACCCTATGCCCTTGACGGTTGTCCCTCACTTGTTGTTATGCAAATTGAATTCTTTTTCGGATTTGTTTAAGCTTCTTTGGCTTTGAAAACATGTTAACTGGCGGCTGCTTATGACCCTAGAAAGCACTAATTAATACAATTTCAAATCATGTTCATGTTTTGTTTGTTTTCTTTTTCGACTTATTATTATTATTATTAGCCAATAACTGACTGAATGCAAATTATCTCTGACGTGCCGCCAAAATCCGCTGGACTTTAGAACCACCAACTGGTCCGAAAGTATCCAGTATCAAATATAAATAACAAAAATTAAATATATAAGCGTGCTACCAGCTGCGGGTAAATTGCTAACATACCCCAGCCCCATTTTAATTAGCATTCTAATTTTCGCTGTGAATGGGAATGCCAAATTTCGAAACGTTTGAGTTGAGTTGTTTCCCATTTTCTTAACTGGACATACTCGTATCGGTTTGATTAGCATGCACACGAGTGCTTGGAAATCCATTGCACCATTCCTGCCACACTTTTTGAGGCAATTTGAGGTGATCTGAGGCAGCTGAGGCATTTTGTGCAAGAGAGCGTTTTTTTTTTTTTTGTTGACATTTTTACGATCGCGTGGGGGCAGCTCCCTTGGCTCGAATTAACTTTTATGGGCCTTTTGGCTCTTTGACAATGGTCTGCACGGCTTGATTAAGCGTTAACGGTTCGGCTTTTTAAGGGGGCTAGTTGGTTCGTTCGAACTACTTACTTGCATTGCGCTGGTTTTTATTGGTAAATAGCTTCATTTCAGCGCAGTCTCGAAAATCAGAGCTCCACAGCGATCTGATCTGATTTTATTTTTATTTTCCTGCTCGCCGCACTTGTTAGTTAGATAGTTAGTTAGTTTGTTAGTTATTGATTTATGACGAAAATCAATTAATTCTTGTGCTATTATTTATGGTAGCAAATTAAACTATTAACAGGTCGGGCGCGCCACAGATTAGGATTGAAATTCCGATAGCGAAAGGGGGAATTTGCATGTCCCCGATGCGATTTAATTGGTTTCAACGTTCATATAAATAGGGCTGTTTGTGTTTGTTTTTGCTTTTGACTTTGTTTTGTTTATCAGCCAGTGCAGTTCCTGGCTATCTCGTCTCGATCCGCACCGATCTGGGTGTTAGCCAATACTGTTAACTGTTAACTGTTGGCCTGACTTTCCTCGCGAATGCTAGAATATCGGTCGCTGCTGAGCTGTAACTCGCTTTTGTCTCGAATTGAACTGTCACGCACTTCCTATTCTCACAAATTTTGACAGCTTAATGCGCCGATCTTGCCTGCAGCGGGACCTTTATATGGACTCTTGGGCCGGTCCCCGATCCGAGCTCGGACTGAGAGCCGAGTAGCTGGCGGAGATCGGCTGGCTAGCCAAGCCAAGCTCTAGCATCTCAACCTTTCTACGAACCGGTCCACATTTAAGCCTCTGCTCGGGTTTTTTGCTCGGCTAAAATCACACACGCCCGACGCGATCCCCCTAACTGGCCAAAACAAAACAACTGAGAATACTTCATTTGAGTGCCTCGACCCTATAAGTACCTGGCATTTGGTGGCGAAAAAGCATTGCCTACATTTGGGCGTGTTGCAGGATAGGATACCTATGATCCAGTAATGGTTTTTTCTTACTGTTATGGGGAAATTCAAGATAGATATGTACTGAAAGTCTACACATTGTGTCCTAGGGAATATTTTTAAAGCCTTTAATATGTGATTATTACTTGGAAAATGTCATATGCCCTGCCTTTGATTTACATACATATGTATCTACTAAGTAATATAATTTCTTGTTAAATAGTTGTATTAAATTACACATTTGCTCTAAGTTAATATACCCATATAACACACGTGTATCTGAGATAGACACTGTGCGGCATTAAGTCACCGGCTGTGAACCCCTCGGGGTCCAAAACCCCTTTTGGGTTAGAATCGCTGAGAGATCATCGGCAGCGGGGTTAGAAGGGTTCAGCATTGTCTCGCGGATCGCTTAGTCCAGCAAATTGCCATTTCATAAATTTAATGGCACAAATGACTATATTTAATCCAACTTGGGCAAAGCACAGCAGCAGACACGCACACGTGATCGTGCCCTTTTTGTGCGATCGGCCCATACATATGCATGAGGATTTGCGGCAATTAAAAGCGACTTCTTGACGCAATTACGTCCAGTTCTAATTCTTAGCAGCCAATAACGATTAACTAACGTTCAAGTAATTATCCGTGTGCTATTTAGATCGATATTTATGACAGCCAGATCGATGGCGTGCACTTCCCCTGCAATTTATCTGATCACAAGTAAGTAAATCACTTAACCGGGCTGGACTTGATAATATTGACCTATTTCTTCCCTGATTTATAATCCCTTCCTTGGCTGGCAGGTGAGGCATCTTAGCCAGACATTTGTCTGCGAATTGCCACATTTGGTGTGTTTAATGTCGCCCCATTGTCTGGTGTCCGGAGTCATGAGAATACGTCAAGTGATCTGATGATCCCGAATTAACAATGAGCTCGCTTCCCGCTTAACTATCGTATGGCATGTATGGCGCAATTTGTTGTTACCCGTCTAATTGTTGTTTGTGTTTATGGCGACGGGGGGTGCCATTATGGCACCGGGGGCATCAACATCCCAAAGTCCCCTTTTCAGTCGCTTTATATGCTTTTTATGCTTTTCCCCCGAAAAAGTTTTCCACACTCCTGGTTGGAGACGCAATAAAAGCTTTTAAATACAGGAGAATTGAGTCCTGGATAAAGCACAGTAGTCCTTCTTGTGAAAAAGACTTTATAACACTATACCAAGACTATAGTTTAACTTTAATTATATATAGATTAAGCGAATAATAAATTTGTATTAATTAAATATATATTAAATTATATATAGAATAAACTAGTAATAAACTTGTATTAATAAATGCAACAAAAATCATGATATTGATTGTGTCTAGATTAGATATTTAATTATCTGCCGCTTATCATCACTTGTCGTACGACTAAAAATAAACAAAACAAGTTTAAAACTCAATAAAGCGTAAAGATATATTCATAGCAAATCAATTAAGATTCCATCAACGAAACATACCTTTCTTGTTTTATATTCCATCATTTTAGGCAACACATAGAAAGTTAATGAACTTCCCCAAGCCATATTAATTAAACAGGTAATTGTACAAGTTTCAATTAATAAAAAGAACAAGATTGCGAAAACCAGATTGTTCTTGGTCTATGTACTACTTATATTTAATGTCAACCAGCGATTGTAGACTAGTGTTCCTGCACCGGTTGCTAATAAATAATAAAAAGTTAGCCAGACACAAAGACGTATCACTCCTATGATACTTTAAGTTTAATGTTTGTTATGTTTTTATGAGCTTGCTATGACGTAGTTCTGGGTGTTGACAGGTTTATAAAGGCCATTAAAATGATATATATGTGTATAATTGATAGGTATTAGCTGGAAAAGGTTTGTGAAAATGATGAATGTAAAACGGATAACTAATTTATTATAGCACTTGAAGTCCTACACCTAGTAAAAATAATTCCCAAATGTCTGGTTCTTATTCCAGAATCTATCTCTGACGTGCGAGAAAGTTCACGTGGAATACCACGAATGTCTGACTAACCCTTTAGATGCCTATCAATATTTGCCACTTTTGGAAAACTAAACAAATCAGCAAATAAAAATAAATGCAAAGTTTGCTATTAAGTTGTGAAATATTTAGGTATAATTATCATTCCATTGCCAATGAGCGTCTGACTAAATGTCAATCGGCAAGCCAAGGCTAAGGAAATCCCAAAAGGTTCGAGGAGTAATCAAATCGGAACTAGCGGATTCCCATACAAAGGCTGGTCAGTGATCAGACAGTATATTTGCCTTATTTTCGCATACATTAAACGCTCAATTTAACCCAAGTAGTTTTAGTGCCCCCACAAGGGGCAACACGGGATCATCATCGAATTGCAGTCAAGCAGAATTATTAACATTTACGCAAACAGGAGAGGCTATAGCATTTCTCAAAACTATTCCCCTGGAAACTTGAAAGTGGCGTGCAAAAGTATACACTGTGGGGCCACCGCAAATCTGACACGACATATAGGCCTGGGAAAGTGGGGGAACCCCCTGGATAACGCAAGGCAATAACTGTATAAAAAAACTAGGCACTTTGTCGTAATTGCAGAGCCGCATCAAGCTCCGGAATTGTCTGAGGCTCCGACGACAATGACGTTGGCAATTTAGCACATGGAAGGTGACAAAAGCCCAGCAAACTCGGTTGCCAACAGAACAATGGAGTGCATATACGTGCGAGTTACTCCAAGTTGCTGGGGAAAAACAAAAGGTTGCCCCACAACTTGACCATCAATGCGGAACCTTCGAGTCCTTGAACAAGTTCAGGGTTTCCCCCGATTAGCTGTAAATACTCACCCTAGAGGTGGACCCTTAAAGCTAAATATAAACTTCTTACTGCACTTGTCATTAAACCATAACAAAGTTTATTGCATCTTGCGAAATAGCTCATACGACCCGTTGGCCAGGTCAGATTCTGTTAAGCAATTGCGGTTATTAAATTAAATTGTTTTTATTTTCCCCTTTTTTTATGTAGAATTTCTTCCAGCCGAAAGTCCAGTCTAAATGGAAAATTTTCAACGCCAAGCTTGGGGTAATTAACATAAGCAATTCACTTATACTTTAGGGCCTTTCTATCTTTAGTTTTATACTGGACTTTAAATCGTTTGTATTTCTAAATTTCTAATTAAATAATATTTTTTTCATATCGTTTTTTATATCACACCACACCTTTCTTCTGTTTTAAGTTAATAATAGAAATTAACTGGCATTAGATTGGGTTAAATGCTGTCAATCATAATTAACATATTGCTTCCACGTGTAGGTAAATAAGAGTGGAACATGAAAGATCTGGGGGACTTTGGCCAGACATAATGTCGGATTTGCGGATGCTGTTGTGAATGTCGGGCTTGCGACAAGGTAAGCATACGGCCGTAGAGTTCCCCGATAATCGCCTATCTTGACTCCAATTATTAATATATGGGCGAGTAGTGCTCGATATCGGCGGCATTAATGGAACTGGAACTGGAGCCAAACAATGAGGAACCACTGCATTGGCAATTAGATTTAAATATGAAACGCTACCGCCCGCCGCAAGTGAATGTCTAACGAGTGTAATTGGAACGATAATCGCAAACGGCACAGAGACGATGACAAAAAACAAGTAGGTAAGTAATAGCTCGCCCAAGCGTTAATTAGTCAGAACGCTTATAACAAATATTAAGTTAATAACAGCCGCCAAGCGAAAAGAGCTCTATGCGCTGCTCTGTGATGTCATGTTATTCTGGGATCTGGCTTCGGGACCAGCTATGAAAATGGATTACGTATACGCACCGAAGCCCTCGCAATTATATTACGGCAGATTGGCACTAGCAACTGCCACTGAAATTACTTAACCAAGCTGACCCCAAACTAAACAACAATGCAAAGTCGAGCAGCGCAACTCTAATACCCCCATTGGATCGCCTATCGCAATCAGCGTCGCGGTCTAAGCCAACAGTTATTAAACAATAATCAAAATACAATAATTAATGATACAGTGACGCCAACGCGAAGGCGGAAGGAGGAGTGCAGTGGGGCCGAGGACACATAAATCAGTATTCTGCACACTCAGGTGGGGCAAACGGGGGCACACCCGGAAAAATCAATTACCAAAAAGGGGGAGATGAAAATTTAAATTATTTTGAATTTTAATACTATAATTGAGGCTACAGTATAGCTATTTAATAAACTAAACATATAAATATAATACTGAACATTTTAATTAAAACACTTCCATTAAATTAAAGGGGCCTCCAACAAAGTATAATTTTAGTCGAATTTTAATACTATAGTTATAGTTGAGTTAATAGTACTTCCATTTAATAAACTAAATATATAGGCATAAACTCTAGAGTTAAACAAAGTGAAAGAAACTTAAAGTAATAGACAATTCTGAATCAATTATTATTTAAATTCAGTTTGTAAAAATTACTCCTTTTAAGAATCTCTCTCATTCGATTTTGTTCGGTGCACAACTAATCCTACTTATCGAAATTTTGTCATTTATTCAGTTATGCGTAACTCTGGTCCTGATAGCCGAACGGCTCTCGATATCTCGTTAGCCAACTGTCACTATTGTTAGAGTCGGGCCAATCTCCGTTCGCATTTCCATACTGCGGATGGCCACTCCGGATCCCATTCCGAATTGAAACCAAGTACCCACCCACCCACCATCCGTTCCAGCTGCTGCAAAAGTTCAGCAGCACAGCAGCAGCCACATAATTAGCCTGCATATGAAAATATTTCAGGGGTTTCGCGGGCGACATTCGTTTCGTTCGGTTTCCCAATCCCCATTGCTCGCGAAGTGGATGTTGCTGTGTGGGTGGATCGGCCTCGATTAGGCGGTGGCGGCACATCCTTTAGCCAGGCGCTCCTATAAATACCTGTTGCCAATGGCTCTGGGCCAACATTTAACCGCGGTTGCTTTCGCTGATTACACATTCCGCTTAACGATAGCATTGCGCTGATTTCGCCGTGAAATAAATACTCAGATTCATACTTTCGATCAGGTAAGCAGTGCTGACGTGACGCCGTCATTGCGGAAAAATAGAAATGTAGAAAAAAACATCAATAGAGACAGACAGACTTATTTCCTCAAAAACAACTTAAGAAAGTGCACATGAGCAATTATCTGTGACTTTAAGCCGAGTCGTGTAAATAAATCCGCTTTCTCAGAAGCGTTAAAGTCGTAAGGCAATGACTCACACCTGGATCCTTTGCCTGGTTCTGCCTTATAATACACATGTTTGTTAGATATATTTACTTTATGCCTGGTATTTGCGTCAGTACCGCCCAAAAATCATTGAATAGCGCCCCTAAATGACGAGTTTGGGGCTGAGCCGATCACTTAGCCCGGTCTCAACCAATTAGCATACAATATTGCCGGCTATTAACCGTGGCCCTACAAAGACCCAGACCTCTAAATAGGTCTCCGGGCAATTCTAGATCTAAATCACTTAATTCACGTAATTGGGGTTACTGATTTTTCCAGTTATCTAGTGTATCTATGGATTATGGAAAAACACAAAGTAAGTTATTACGACAACGTGATCTAATTTTCACTTAATTAAATAATCGTTAGACTGTAGAAAAACAATCCTTTAAATCAAAAGGCTAAAGTAACGAGTACTGAGATCAATGACTTATATACATTAGATTTGCCTAAAAAAAAAAACAACAAAACAAAATTCAGAAACAATTCATTTTAAGGACACAAAGTTACATATTTTTATAGCTTGTTCTTAAATTGGGGTTTGTTAAACCCCAATAAAATGTTGCCAAACTGCTCCGTGTTCGATTTTTAATCAATAAAATATTCCTAGACTCTTTAATTTTTACGATTCACATTAAATTTAATATTATTTTCTGCATAAATAAATACTGCATTATCCATCCACACAATCCCCTTCCAGAATTATGTGCCACATAATGCGTTGCATCTTGATTGTTTGCGTGGCCTTGTCGCTCCTTGCCGCCGGCTGCAGTGTGGAGGCCTCCAACTCCCGACCGCCGAGGAAGAACGACGTGAACACCATGGCGGATGCTTACAAGTTCTTGCAGGATCTGGACACCTACTACGGCGACAGGGCACGGGTGCGATTCGGCAAGCGGGGAGCATTGATGGAAATCCTGAGGAACCGCGAACTAGACAACAGCTTCAATCTGGGCAAGAGTATCAACAGCGGCGGGGACTTGGTAACAGGAGAGTAATCTATAGCTGACGGAAAAAATACAGATATATCCTGCAGGTCCGCGCCTTGGATGAGGAGGAGGTATATTAGACCCAAATCGAGGCGACCTTGGCAATGTCAACCAACTCATGAGTCTAATTCTAAGCACACGCGTTATCGTTTAACTTATTTTTATCGGGGCAATAGTTTAGCGAGTCGACACGAACGAATGGTAGTTGCAGCTGAGTTAAGTATTTATTGTAGTCTTGATGTTAGCTGATTTAATAATAAATAATAAATAATCAAAATAATCGTCTTAATGACCCTGCAATCCAAATAAAGTGTGCAATGTTCAAGTGGTTGATTTTCTTATATCATCTGTTATACATATATCGTATACTTATTTTGTTGTTATCATTTACTTAGTTTACATTACTTAACTTAAACTTTTACGTTGATTTTGCAGAAGAAAGTTACAATTTCGTAGCCTACTTTTTGACATTTAACTTCGATGCTACAAAAGGTGGTCCAGAAATCTTTAAAATTTTGCAACCCAAAATGCTCTTACTCCATCTAAGTACACAAAAGTATAAATACCATGCGATGAAGATATACAAATATAGGAAACCTGATTTTACAAGGGCAAATAGCCCTCCAATGCGACAGCAACTAAAGCAAAAGTTTATATGAGTATAAAACTGTGAAAAAGGGAACGGGAAACTCGATCTTACTTAGAGGTAGTATGGCGATCGCAATCAGAGATATTTCACAATTGTTATGGAAGCCGGAGCCAGTCAAGATGGTCCCCATAGCTGCACCACAACGGCACCACATCAGGCTGATGCACAGAGCCTTGGCGCGAATGTGGGTGGGCACAAACAAACAGAGGGCGCCGCCCATCAGACTGATCACCACACCGGGTAAGGCCAGGAAGAACACCAGCGAAAAGAGCTGCACCCATGGATCCGTGACGAAGATCAACAGGAATCCACAAGTCGAGGAAGTCAGCATGGAGACGACGAATATCACCTTCTTTTTCGGCATGCAAAAGAGCGTCAGCCAGCAAATGTTGTACAGGATAATGTAGGCGGCTCCCAAAATAAACGAGTCGTTGAAACCCTCCAAAGTATCGTTACACACCTGGCAAATATTACGAAATTCAACAGCAAGAAAGAAGCTGCTTAAGCAGATCTTACCGGTTCAAAATCCTTTTCACTTTCTATCAGCGGTCGCATTTCCGGAAAGAAGAGGACTCGGCAAAATGACATACCCTTCTTGTTGCCCTTCCGCATATTGTAGCGATTCCGCATGGCCGTGTACCAAAGCCCCAGACCATTTGCCCTGCGTATTCGAGGAACTGGTAATTGATGAATCTCCAAACACTCCAGATTGCACTCACATCATACCCAAGATAAACATTACCAAGCAGGCAGCCATAAATAACCCCACAAACGGCGTCCGGAACAGAGGCATCGCATCATCGATCATTGAGCGCAGAAAATTACGTTCGCTCTTTACCCGCGTAACCCGGGTAGATGCCGCACTCTGGTACAAGTTTAAATTTTCAATTTGCTCGGCACTCAAGGGTTTACCAGTGTTCCTTTGACAAATTAAATCCATTGCGGCCATGCCCCTCTTGGTGTCACCGATGTTCAAGAGGAACTTGGGGCTCTCTGGCAACGCCAACAGCAGGAAGAAGGCTATCACGCCCGGCAGACAATTCAAGCAGCCCAAAAAACGCCACGGTCGCAAGGTCAGGTCACCCACAACGTCCACTTCGAACTCCATGAATTTCGTGGCGAGAAAGAGAACGGCCCAGGCGGGGCAGTAGAGCATGGCGAAGCCGGTGAACATATACATGTGGGTGAGGGCACGGGCCAAGATCCGTTGACTGCAGAACTCACTAAGGTAGGTTGCGGCTACAAAGCTGGGAGCCGCCACACTGATCGGAAGAGAGTACTTGAAACGTTGAACATTAAGGTCATATACTAATTGCTAATGAACTATTGCTAAGTCTTTGAGTTTCAGCATTACAAATATTCAAAATATAGTTAAATACTCACAATATACCCGTCAAAAAACGCATCACAAAAAAACTATGAAAGTCGACCATGAACATGGACACGATCGAGCACACATTGCTCACCGTGATTGTTCGCAGTAGCGTCCAGCGCCGACCCTTCTTGTCGGTGATATAGCCCCAAAAGTACGAGGAGCAGATGATCCCCAGAAACCCAGCCGACGTTACTGCGGCCAATTGCACCTGGTTCATTCGAAGATCGCACACGGAAGCGGGGCCAAGGATGCCCATGCCCATTGTCTCGTGGATGGTCAGCATCTGCAGCAGGCCCAGCGTTAAGGTGGCAAACATATGCATCCTGCCGAACCCAATCTCATCGAGGACCTTATTAAAATTATCCATCTCCCTCCTAAAATTAGGTCTGCTTCTATGTGTGGGTGTTGTTTTCCGTTGTGTGTTTTCTTTTATTCTGACTATAATCTCAGGGCCTAGGCCAGCTGAATGTTCTCCACCTCCTTGATGAGATCCATGTGCTTAAACTCGTCCGGTTTCCGGGTGAAGGTCTCCAGCAGACGCAGCTTGTTGTCGTCGGCTTTCAGGTAGAACATCTGCAGCTCGTTCGCCAGGCACTGCGCCTCTTGGGCTGTCAGAACCTTGCTGTCGTACTCGCCGCGCATCAGAACCAGTCCCTTGTCCTCGACCTCTGTGTAGTGCACCAGTGTAAGGCACTCGGGGGCATTCTCGTGGTGCACCTGATAGGCCAGCAGCGGCGTGAAGTGTACAGTGTTGGCGGAGAATTGTAGCATAATAAATTCGAAGCCCTCGCTTCTAGGCAGCGGCAGCAAGAAGACGGGGTGCTCCTTGGCCCGCGACATTAGGGTCTCGTACTGGGTGGTGGTCAGTGTGGCGGCCAGAGCCTCCTTAGTCTTGTGGTACTCCAGCCAGATTTGGGAGACCTCCTCGGCACTTTTATCAGCAAGCAGCTCCAGCTTCATGATGTCCGAGAGCTTCTTATGGGGGATTTCGCCCTGCTCTTTGGCTTGCAACTCCTTCTTGGGGTTCAGCAGCTCGGAATAGGATCTGTAGAGGGTATGGATTAGCCTGTGTATGCTTCTTTCTAGCGCTTCGCTTACCTGGCCTGGCTGCGACCATCCTTGATCGGGTTGACCACTCGCTCCACCCGATCCAAGAACTCCTCCGCCGACGTCTGCTGCAGCTTGGCAATCTTGCCCGCGTACTTGGAGTAGAAGGGATTCTCCTCCTTCAGCTTGTCGATGGCCTGCTCGGCGCGGCGGCTGGCTGACATGCTGATGCAGCGGCTGGTGGTCAAAAGGGAATTATTCAGAAAAACGCGAGAAAACACTTTTCGTGCACATGCCATTTCGGCCCCAACAAAGATTACACAATTTTTGACAGCTGATTGCCACAAGCGCTACCAGCGTAAAGAATTTTCGCTCTGACGGCAACTGGGCACACTAAAAAGCGCATGAAAATTAATGTGTTATCGATTTATTTTTAATTCGAAATGCCGGGCTTTGAAAAGTCCAAAGTTGAAAATGCTGCCACGGCAGCAATTCTAAACAATGGTTAGAAATAGCTATTTCGTAAGAGGAAATAATAATAAGCTCATAAGTGATTTTAGATACTCTATCATAAATAACATATATTATGTATAATAATTGTTTGTATATACTTATATATTTTTAAATTGAATCATATTTATTTATATATTCTTGTTACGCTAAAATTAAAAGTTAAAAGATAATTAAGTTTTCCTTTTGTAAATTGTAGCAATTTCGTTTATATTTGCCTCTTTTCAGAAAAACAATTTTATATATTGTATCTCCATTTAATAACTTCTTTTATCTTAAAGTTTATTTATTTTTTGTAAATTTAAAATATTTTAAATTTATTTAAAATACATTTATAAGATTTGATATATTTATGAATGCTTAAAGTTAAAAGTTACAATTGCTAAACCGTTATAAGAATAGTTTAGTCTACAAAGAGTTTGAATTATTTTAAAGAATTTAATAAAATTTCATTAAAAAAAATCCCATCGTATTATATACTATTTGTATTTTTTTGTATATAACCAGATCAGGTAAACAGTTTAGTTATAGCCCCAGGTCGGTGAATTAATACATACATATAGCCTAACTACCTTTACCAGTACGTCAGGCGGAAACTACAAATGAACCACAAGCGGTTCTTTGCTAGCAAACTATTCTACAAATTAATTAAAGCCCGAGCTTCGACCTTCTTCCCCAAACATTTGGTTAACAAATCCCCTGTAATTACTCTAAAAAGAAACAGAAGAAGGGTTGCAGTGAAAATTTATATACATATATATTATTTAAGCGGCGTAGTTCACTGAACGAGTGAATCCAATTTTTGTATAAATAAGTGAAGCCAATTCAATGTTGCGTCACATTGAAGTCGACGTTTTCCAGTGCATGTTCGGATTGCGGCAGCTTTCCAGCTCGAGTAACGATTATGACGGATGCAATGGATACTACCCATATTCAAAAGTGTTTCAAGGGCAAGACGGTTTTCCTAACAGGCGCTACCGGATTTTTGGGGAAAGGTATTGGTTTGCATCCAGTTTAAATATCCGAAATGCGTCGTAAATTAAAGCACCAAAAATGACCTTCAGATTGCATTGTTCTGCATTTCAGTTGTCATTGAAAAACTGTTGCGCACCACTGAAGTGAGACGTGTCTATATATTGATCAGGCCGAAGCGAGGAGTTAAGATTCAGGAGCGAATCACCATGTGGTCAAGGGAATCGGTAAGTAGAATGTACGAAAATTGAAAGGAAACAGTTCACAAACCGAGTCTCGTCTCGTCATGGATAAAGCCCTTTGAACGGTTGATCAACGAGAGGCCGGAGGCACTTCAGCGAGTTTCTCCCATAGCTGGGGATTGCTTGGCTCCAGATCTTGGGCTAAGTGATCAAGATCGAAAGCTTCTGGCCTCCGAGGTGCAGTTCGTCATCCATGGAGCTGCCACGGTGAGGTTTGACGAGCCGCTACACATTGCCCTTACCATCAACACCCGTGCCACAAAATTGATGCTTCAATTGGCCAAGGAAATGAAACTACTGGAGTCCTTCGTCCACATCTCTACAGCCTTCTCCAATTGCGTCATTCAGAACATTAAAGAGAAGTTCTATCCCGAGCACCTTGACTACAGCTCTGAGCAGATTCTCCAAATAAGTAATCTGGTAAGTGACAAACTGCTGAACAACATGGAGCCTGCCCTACTCGGATCCTTCCCCAATACTTACACTTACTCCAAGGCCCTGGCTGAGGACGTAATTCTCCGGGAAGCGGGTACCTTGCCCCTCTGTATTTTTCGACCTGCCATCAGTAAGTTATGCGTATTTTCCAAAATTCATATCCCAAAGTAACAAGTTTTTCAACGCAGTCATCGCGGCCCACAAGGAGCCCCAAATCGGTTGGATTGACAACTTGTACGGACCAATGGCGATCCTGTTTGGAGTGGCAAAAGGAGTGCTGCGTATCGCCACAATCGATGTGAAGACCGATGTGAGCTTAGTGCCCGTGGACTACTGTGCCAACCTGGCTTTGGCCTGCGCCTGGCAAACCACCAAAGATGAACGTAAGGAGAAGGAGGCACCTACCATATACCAGTTGGCGCCCAGCGAGGGGAACAAAATCACGAACGGCGAGTTCATTAACCACGCCCTCGACGGGCGCATGAGGTTTCCACTAACCAAGATGATTTGGTACCCCTTCCTTCACTGCATTACCACCATGTGGCTCTACCCCCTGGCCGCCTTCTTTTACCACACCCTTCCCGCCTACTTCTTCGACCTGGCTTTGTGGCTTCAGGGTCGTAAGCCACGACTGGTGAAGATCTACCAGAAGGTTCACAGAACTCTAATGATTCTGGGGCCCTTCTCTTGCAGGAGTTGGGAGTTTGAAACGAACAACACAGATCGTCTGAGGAATCAATTGTCGGCGGAGGATCGCAAGTTGTACTACTTCGACATGGCCAGCTTGGACTGGACGGAGTACTTTCAGAGCGCCCTCGGAGGCATGCGAGTATTTCTGGGCAAAGAGCCGCTGACCCCCGAGTCCGTAGCCAAAGGCTTGAAACTGATCAAGCGGTACACTCTATTAATTATTAATTATAATTAATTTTCTTTTTATAAATATAATCTTTCTTACAGGCTTAAGCTGCTCCATCATATCCTACAGTTCGGCCTGTGCTCTGTGGCCGCCATTGCTCTTTGGTTTCTGCTGAAACTCGTAGTGTAATTTATAAACAGATATATGTATTAATCCCTACACAAACTGAACGCAAATGCATGTAAATAAATATATAGAGAGAAAACACATTTTTAATGGAATCAAATGAAAACTAACGTTTATGTATAAAATTCACAGCGACGTTTTAATATTAATATTACACTTAGAGATTATATATATATATATACTTTATAGGGTCGGAAATGAGTCTTTCACTGCATTGCAAGCTTCTGATACTCTGCAAGAGTGAAGAAAGACTACGAATCATTTCATATTGTGTCTCGGAACCCAACGACTTTGAAATGAACCTGATCACTTGCATTATACTATGGAGACGACGTACAAGGTATGTGGAACAACTATAATTATATGAAAATTGTTTCAGTATTCTAATCGTCGCGGAATACATTTAAATCTACCATGGACGGGGTCTATGTTTTGGAAATGCAGAACATGACCTTTTTAAAGTATAAGCTTTTGCGCTTAACATAAAAAGAAAATCGATTAGAAAGCCTTTCCATTCTCATCGGATCGATCGACTTGTGAACTACGGGGTATCTCAACATGGACACTGGAATTCAAGGATTCTTTAAGAATAAAACCGTTTTCCTAACGGGTGGTTCAGGACTTTTGGGGAAAGGTATCCTGAATATTTGTAGTATATTTGTTAGCTAATCATCATGACTTTCAGTGCTTATCGAGAAACTTCTGAGGACAACCGATGTGAAACGAATTTATACACTCACTAGGCCAAAGCGCGGTGTGTCCGTTGAAGACCGCATCTCAGCCTGGCAGAAGGAACGAGTAGGTTCCCAATGAATTGATTAATTTAATGCTTAATTCTCACCCGAAAACCTTAGTTTTTTAAGGTACTTTTAAAGGCCAGGCCCCAGGCCCTGAAGCGAATCAGTCCCATTGCGGGCGATTGCTTGGAGCCGGATCTTGGCATAAGCGAGTCGGACCGAAGCCTTCTGGTCTCCAATGTGCAAGTCGTTATCCATGGAGCAGCCACCGTGCGCTTCGACGAGGCTCTTCACTTGGCCCTGGCCATCAACGTGCGTGCCACCCGGATGATGATTCAGCTGGCCAAACAGATGACCCAGTTAGTATCATTTGTCCATGTTTCGACCGCTTTCTCCAACTGTGTGAAGACTGACATCGAGGAGAGGTTCTATCCGGAGTATCTAAAGGATACTTCGGACAAAATATTAGCCTTGGGCGAGATCTTGAGTAATGAAACGATAGACAATTTGACGACATCTTTGATAGGACCCTTCCCAAATACGTACACCTACACAAAGGCTCTGGCAGAAGATGTGATCCTAAGGGAGGCGGGCGACTTGCCACTGTGCGTTTTCCGACCGGCGATCAGTAAGTGAAGTTAATTGAGGAAATTGAAAAAGCAAAGTGTGACACCCTACCTAATATATTCTCAGTTATGACAACGTACAACGACCCCATCGTTGGATGGACGGATAATCTTAATGGACCCCTGGCCCTTATCTACGGCTCAGCTCGCGGTGTAGTGCGGGTCGTCTTGGTAGATCCCAAATGCAAAATCAGTATAGTCCCAGCTGACTTTTCTGGCAACGCAGCCCTGGCCTGTGCCTGGCACACGGGTGAAAATAGTAAACGGGAAGGTAAGGCAGAAAAGCCAACTATTTACACGCTTGGTGCCACCAAGGACAACCAGATCAACTATGGTAGATTCGTAGGCTTAATTTATGAGCATTGCGATCGTATTCCGCTCGAACAGATGCTGTGGTATCCTATTATTCTATGCATTTCCCACCGACTATATCCTTTGGCCGCCTTAATTTTCCACACCATCCCGGGATATTTTCTCGATGCACTACTTGTCCTTATGGGCCGCAAGCCCTTCCTGACAAAGTTGTACAAAAAAATACACAAGAATATTTTCAACCTGAGGCATTTCACAACCAACTCCTTCAATTTTGTCACTAAAACCTGTTCGAGGCGATGTCCGAGCAAGATCGCCGTTTATATAACTTTGACATGGAACGCCTGGACTGGACGGAATATTTTACCGGCGCCATGGATGGTTTACGGGAGTATGTCGGCAAGGGGTCCACTACCAAAGAGTCCCTTGCCAAGGCTAGAAAGCTCGGAAAGCGGTAAGTTCCATCATTTCTTGGGATTTGATCCTTTAGTTAATCAAAACAGTTTTTTCTTACAGATTAAAGGTCCTTCACTACAGTTTTACGGCCTCGTTGGGCTCTCTAGCTGCTTACGGCTTGTGGCTACTGGCCAAGTTTATCATTTGAGCTAACAAGGGATATAACTTTTAATTTTTTTTGTATATATACAACACTTATAAATTAGAAGAAAATTTATTGGTATTACAAATGCATAAAATGTTATTTTAATCAGTTGTATATGTGTGATAAGATTCGAAATAAATTCTAAAAATTATACAACCCAATTTGTACATAGCTCCTGTTTGTTTAAATGTTTAGCCTTAATTAAATTTCAATTAAAATTTAATCATCATTTATGCATTCCAGCGCACGTGTCAATAAAAATTCAGAAGAATGATCGATTGTGATATACCTACATAGTAACAAAACTTTTAAAAGACAAATCACCAAATGGCCTTAACTGCGAATCTTCAAAAGGTTACCCAAAAAGATTTCATCAAATTAAAAATAAATTCTTAAAATAAAGAAGAAATAAACCGAACATTTTTTTCTAAGGAATACATACCATTTTAAATTTTTACTAATATTAGAAAAGCAATATGGATTCTTGAATACAATTATTCTTTAAAAATAAAGCCGTTCCCCTTTTTGGTGGCTCAGGTTATTTAGGGTATCCTGAATATTTATAGTATTTTCAGGAGTTCATGACCATATCTTTCAGTGGCTACCGAGAAACTCTTGAGGACAAACGAGGTAAAACAAATCTATTTACTCATTCAAAGCGTGAAATTTATTAATGGTTAAGTCCGCAGTGATGTAAAATTATGGGTTGAATATCTAGATGCTTAATTGTACCAATTTGGAATTTAATTAAATACTAAATGATAGGGGTGCAGTGCCCGATTGCAAAAATGCTTAAGTCATACTAATCAAAGTCTTTATGTAAGTAAATTAAGTCATTCATTTGAAGTGAAAAACTAACCTCTAACTCAGCCTTACGACTGCTTCCAATACCCTTCATTAACTTTCCAATGGCGAATACCCAACGGCTGTGGGGCGGTTGTCTAAATATTAAATGATTGGGGTGTAATGCCCGACTGCAAAAGTCCATTAGCCAGGCTCTAATAAGCTTATTGTGCATTTAAAATAACACTTTATACTTTATTCGGTTATGTTTTTTAGTTTAAATATATGCTTAAATTACTTAAATAATATTACTTACCTCCAAAAATTATTCAAGTATTCAAATGTACTAGAGAACTCTAATGTAGGTTCCCGAGTCAAATTAAGTAGCATTCTTTTAGGCACTGTACATTTCGAATATTTTAATCGGGAATTTATTTGATCTGAGGAATTCAAAAACTATAGTGGAATTTGTCGCAAACGAATCAAAATCAGCAATACTCCTTTGCATTGCTGGCTTCTTATAGTGTTTTGTCTGATTAGATACTGGGTAATAATTAATATTAATTAAATAATCCTTTTCTTAAAAGTATAACAGCAAACTCTCTCATTTGCTCTACATTTTGATCAAATATAAATATATATTGAAATAGAAGTGCGATTGGCTTTACTTACTTAGCTTTGTGAGATATTTATTTACTTAGCTTTATGATAATGAGTACAGACCCAATACAATGTTTGTTGACCAATGGGTCAGTGATTAAATTTTTCTTAACATTCTTAATGATTTTAATTAACTTTATGACCCTTTATGACATACTTGTCATAGTTAAGACTTACCGCAGTAGAGGAGACACGGTTATCCTTCTTCGACATTCCTTAATTACTTCCAGAGTAGAGTTATATTCTTGGGTACTTCCATCAGGCTTTTCCTGGTATCATCGAAGTGATCTTCCTCCTGGTTATCCAGATGTATTGGTCAGGTGATATATTTGGGGTCGAAGGGTAATCACTATAGATGTAAACACTGTGGAGGCCGCGGAAAGAATGAGGACAGTGAGACACCAGTGACCGTATTTATAGTATCTGAGTGAAGAGAAGAACAGAGAAACCGAGAGCGAGAGAGAAAGAGATATCTCTAGAGAGCCAGAGAGAGACAGAGACAGAGACTCCCTCTATAGAGGTACACAGAGAGAGATAGACATACCAATATATATTGTGATCAGGAGAGCGAGAGAGAGACAGATAGAAATAGAATCGTTAAATGTAGAGTTAAATGCTTACTTCCATTATTATAATTTCACTTAATATTTCATTTATTGTTTTTAATATAGAGTAGTATTTCATGAACACTGAATTATGTTCAATCAATAGCATTTATACTCTCCTTAATCTACAGTTAATCCTGGAGAGTCCTTTCGGTAACTGAGGGGATGTGGTTTTTGCCGCCATAGAAGCCACAGCGGTTTGCACTTTGTTCTTAAATTTTTTTATTATTGTAAATGTAAATATTAAAGTATAAATAGTTTAAGCTTGTCATACTATTACTTTTCATTTTTATAATTATATATATATGTAATAAAATCCAATTCTAGAACCGAAGTAGGGTTCACTTTTAAGTTAATTTAATACATGCTTCCGCTACTATTAGCAACATTGTTTTGCTTATGTTTGCATACGATTGACTATGTATTCGGGTGACACACTGCTTGACTTCACAGTGTTTTTATATAAAAGCAGCATAAGTAGCTAAACTCATTCCCCATTGGAAAGCACTACCAGTCGCAAGTCGATTTTAGAACAATCAACAATGGAATGCGGTATTCAGGATTTCTACAAAGACAAAGTCGTGTTTCTAACAGGCGCAACCGGATTTTTGGGAAAAGGTACGCGTTCCTTGAGATTCCACACAAATCCCTTGCGATTTTTAATTCGACTACATTTTAGTGATAATTGCAAAGCTTTTACGAGCTACGGATGTGAAACGCATATACGCCATGGCCAGGCCCAAACGAAATCTGGATATTCAGGCACGATTTCAGGCTTGGCAAGAGGATCCAGTGAGACACAAAAAACTGTTTTATTGATATAAATATGTAGTGCCAATGTGCTTCTAGCTCTTCGAAGTCCTGCTGAAGTCAAAACCCCTGGCTCTTCAGCGGGTATCTACCATCGCTGGGGATTGCATCGAGCACGATTTGGGGATTAGCATTAAGGATCGCCAGCTGTTGGCTTCCGAGGTTCAGATCTTCATCCACGGAGCTGCCACGGTGAGGTTCAATGAGCCACTTTCCGTAGCTCTCAGCATCAACACTCGAGCCACTAAGCTGATGCTCCAACTGGCTAAGGAAATGAAACACCTTGAGGCCTTCCTCCACATCTCTACAGCCTTCTCCAATTGCGTCATTCAGAACATTAAAGAGAAGTTCTATCCCGATCACCTTGACTACAGCTCTGAGCAGATTCTCCAAATAAGTAATCTGGTAAGTGACAAATTGCTAAACAACATGGAGCCTGCCCTACTCAGATCCTTCCCCAATACTTACACTTACTCCAAGGCCCTGGCTGAGGACGTAATTCTCCGGGAAGCGGGTACCTTGCCCCTCTGTATTTTTCGGCCTTCCATCAGTAAGTTATGCGTATTTTCCAAAATTCATATCCCAAAGTAACAAGTTTTTCAACGCAGTCATCGCGGCCCACAAAGAGCCCCAAATCGGTTGGATTGACAACTTGTACGGACCAATGGCGATCCTGTTTGGAGTGGCAAAAGGAGTGCTGCGTATCGCCACAATCGATGTGAAGACCGATGTGAGCCTAGTGCCCGTGGACTACTGTGCCAACCTGGCTTTGGCCTGCGCCTGGCAAACCACCAAAGATGAACGTAAGGAGAAGGAGGCACCTACCATATACCAGTTGGCGCCCAGCGAGGGGAACAAAATCACGAACGGCGAGTTCATTAACCACGCCCTCGACGGGCGCATGAGGTTTCCACTAACCAAGATGATTTGGTACCCCTTCCTTCACTGCATTACCACCATGTGGCTCTACCCCCTGGCCGCCTTCTTTTACCACACCCTTCCCGCCTACTTCTTCGACCTGGCTTTGTGGCTTCAGGGTCGTAAGCCACGACTGGTGAAGATCTACCAGAAGGTTCACAGAACTCTAATGATTCTGGGGCCCTTCTCTTGCAGGAGTTGGGAGTTTGAAACGAACAACACAGATCGTCTGAGGAATCAATTGTCGGCGGAGGATCGCAAGTTGTACTACTTCGACATGGCCAGCTTGGACTGGACGGAGTACTTTCAGAGCGCCCTCGGAGGCATGCGAGTATTTCTGGGCAAAGAGCCGCTGACCCCCGAGTCCGTAGCCAAAGGCTTGAAACTGATCAAGCGGTACACTCTATTAATTATTAATTATAATTAATTTTCTTTTTATAAATATAATCTTTCTTACAGACTTAAGCTGTTCCATCATATCCTACAGTATGGCCTGTGCTCTGTGGCCGCGATTGCTCTTTGGTTTCTGCTGAAACTCGTAGTGTAATTTATAAACAGATATATGTATTAATCCCAACACAAACTGAACGCAAATGCATGTAAATAAATATATAGAGAAAAAACATTTTTAATGAAATCAAATGAAAACTAACGTTTATGTATACCATTCAAAGCGACGTTTTAATATTGATATTACACTTAGAGATTTGCATTTTTAGCATTGCACTCAAAATATATACTTTATAGGGTCGGAAATGGGTCGAACACTGCGTTCCAAGTTTTTGACTTATATTATAATACCCGGCAAGGGTATTATAAAATTTATATACACTGCATTCAAAATCGATGTTTTAATATTAATACAAACACTTAGTGATTTGCATTTTTAGCATTGCATTCAAAATATATAATTTATAGGATCGGAAATGAGTCGAACAGTGTGTTCCAAGCTTTTGACTGAAATTATAATACCCTGCAAGCGAATTATAAAAAAAGGGTTTTATAAAATGTATACTTACTGCAGAGAAAATCAGTTATAATTCATTTCAAAATGCAATGTTTTCCAAACGTTAACAACACTGCATATTGGGTTTTGAAATTAAAAAATTTTATTTTTTTAATTTTGACATTTTTAACTGTCTAACCGCTTATAATAATTTTTTTTTTTTAAGAATTTATCAACATTTTGATTGCTTTAAAACATGCTGATCAAGAATATATATAATTTAAAGGGTCAGAAATGCGTCATTCACTGCATTGCAAGCTTCTGAAACTCTGCAAGGGTGAAGAAAAACTTTGAATCATTTCATATTGTGCAAATAATTTCCTGATTTAAATGCGTCGGAACCCAACGACTTTGAAATGAACCTGATCACTTGCATTTTACTATGGAGACGTACAAGGTATATGGAACAACTATAATTATATGGAACTTGTTCCAGTATTCTAATTGTAGCTAAATACATTTAAATCTACCATGGACGGGGTCTATGATTTGGACATGCAGAACATGACCTTTTTTAAAGTATAAGCTTTTGCGCTTAACATAAAAAGAAAATCGATTAAAAAGCCTTTCCATTCTCATCGAATCGATCGACTCGTGAACTACGGGGTATCTCAACATGGACACTGGAATTCAAGGATTCTTTAAGAATAAAACCGTTTTCCTAACGGGTGGTTCAGGACTTTTGGGGAAAGGTATCCTGAATATTTGTAGTATATTTGTTAGCTAATCATCATGACTTTCAGTGCTTATCGAGAAACTTCTGAGGACAACCGATGTGAAACGAATTTATACACTCACTAGGCCAAAGCGCGGTGTGTCCGTTGAAGACCGCATCTCAGCCTGGGAGAAGGAACGAGTAGGTTCCCAATGAATTGATTAATTTAATGCTTAATTCTCACCCGAAAACCTTAGTTTTTTAAGGTACTTTTAAAGGCCAGGCCCCAGGCCCTGAAGCGAATCAGTCCCATTGCGGGCGATTGCTTGGAGCCGGATCTTGGCATAAGCGAGTCGGACCGAAGCCTTCTGGTCTCCAATGTGCAAGTCGTTATCCATGGAGCAGCCACCGTGCGCTTCGACGAGGCTCTTCACTTGGCCCTGGCCATCAACGTGCGTGCCACCCGGATGATGATTCAGCTGGCCAAACAGATGACCCAGTTAGTATCATTTGTCCATGTTTCGACCGCTTTCTCCAACTGTGTGAAGACTGACATCGAGGAGAGGTTCTATCCGGAGTATCTAAAGGATACTTCGGACAAAATATTAGCCTTGGGCGAGATCTTGAGTAATGAAACGATAGACAATTTGACGACATCTTTGATAGGACCCTTCCCAAATACGTACACCTACACAAAGGCTCTGGCAGAAGATGTGATCCTAAGGGAGGCGGGCGACTTGCCACTGTGCGTTTTCCGACCGGCGATCAGTAAGTAAAGTTAATTGAGGAAATTGGAAAAGCAAAGTGTGACACCCTACCTAATATATTCTCAGTTATGACAACGTACAACGACCCCATCGTTGGATGGACGGATAATCTTAATGGACCCCTGGCCCTTATCTACGGCTCAGCTCGCGGTGTAGTGCGGGTCGTCTTGGTAGATCCCAAATGCAAAATCAGTATAGTGCCAGCTGACTTGTCTGGCAACGCAGCCCTGGCCTGTGCCTGGCACACGGGTGAAAATAGTAAACGGGAAGGTAAGGCAGAAAAGCCAACTATTTACACGCTTGGTGCCACCAAGGACAACCAAATCAACTATGGTAGATTCGTAGGCTCAATTTATGAGCATTGCGATCGTATTCCGCTCGACCAGGTGCTGTGGTATCCTATTATTCTATGCATTTCTCCCCGACTTTTTCCGTTGGCCGCCTTAATTTTCCACACCATCCCGGGATATTTTCTCGATGCACTACTTGTCCTTATGGGCCGCAAGCCCTTCCTGACAAAGTTGTACAAAAAAATACACAAGAATATTTTCAACCTGAGGCATTTCACGACCAACTCCTTTAATTTTGTCACTAAAAACACTTGTAACCTGTTTGAGGAGATGTCCGAGCAAGATCGCCGTTTATATAACTTTGACATGGAACGCCTGGACTGGACGGAATATTTGAACGGGTCCATGGACGGTTTTCGGGAGTATGTCGCCAAGGAGCCCACTACCAAAGAGTCCCTTGCCAAGGCTAGAAAGCTCGGAAAGCGGTAAGTTCCATCATTTTTTGGGATTTGATCCTTTAGTCAATCAAAACAGTTTTTTCTTACAGATTAAAGGTCCTTCACTACAGTTTTATGGCCTCGTTGGGCTCTCTAGCCGCTTACGGCTTGTGGCTACTGGCCAAGTTTATCATTTGAGCTAACAAGGGATATAACTTTTAATTTTTTTTTTATATATATATACAACACTTATAAATTAGAAGAAAATTTATTGGTATTAAAAATGCATAAAATGTTATTTTAATCAGTTGTATATGTGTAATGAGATTCGAAATAAATTCTAAAAATTATACAACGCAATTTGTACATAGCTCCTGTTTGTTTAAATGTTTAGCCTTAATTAAATTTCAATTAAAATTTAATCATCATTTATGCATTCCAGCGCACGTGTCAATAAAAATTCAGAAGAATGATCGATTGTGATATACCTACATAGTAACAAAACTTTTAAAAGACAAATCACCAAATGACCTTAACTGCGAATCTTCAAAAGGTTACCCAAAAAGATTTCATAAAATTAAAAAAAAATTCTTAAAATAAAGAAGAAATAAACCGAACATTTTCTTCTAAGTATGAATACATACCATTTTAAATTTGTACTAATATTAGAAAAGCAATATGGATTCTTGAATACAATTATTCTTTAAAAATAAAGCCGTTCCCCTTTTAGGTGGCTCAGGTTATTTAGGGTATCCTGAATATTTATAGTATTTTCAGGAGTTCATGACCATATCTTTCAGTGGCTACCGAGAAACTCTTGAGGACAAACGAGGTAAAACAAATCTATTTACTCATTCAAAGCGTGAAATTTATTAATGGTTAAGTCCGCAGTGATGTAAAATTATGGGTTGAATATCTAGATGCTTAATTGTACCAATTTGGAATTTAATTAAATACTAAATGATAGGGGTGCAGTGCCCGATTGCAAAAATGCTTAAGTCATACTAATCAAAGTCTTTATGTAAGTAAATTAAGTCATTCATTTGAAGTGAAAAACTAACCTCTAACTCAGCCTTACGACTGCTTCCAATACCCTTCATTAACTTTCCAATGGCGAATACCCAACGGCTGTGGGGCGGTTGTCTAAATATTAAATGATTGGGGTGTAATGCCCGACTGCAAAAGTCCATTAGCCAGGCTCTAATAAGCTTATTGTGCATTTAAAATAACACTTTATACTTTATTCGGTTATGTTTTTTAGTTTAAATATATGCTTAAATTACTTAAATAATATTACTTACCTCCAAAAAATATTCAAGTATTCAAATGTACTAGAGAACTCTAATGTAGGTTCCCGAGTCAAATTAAGTAGCATTCTTTTAGGCACTGTACATTTCGAATATTTTAATCGGGAATTTATTTGATCTGAGGAATTCAGAAAACTATAGTGGAATTTGTCGCAAACGAATCAAAATCAGCAATACTCCTTTGCATTGCTGGCTTCTTATAGTGTTTTGTCTGATTAGATACTGGGTAATAATTAATATTAATTAAATAATCCTTTTCTTAAAAGTATAACAGCAAACTCTCTCATTTGCTCTACATTTTGATCAAATATAAATATATATTGAAATAGAAGTGCGATTGGCTTTACTTACTTAGCTTTGTGAGATATTTATTTACTTAGCTTTATGATAATGAGTACAGACCCAATACAATGTTTGTTGACCAATGGGTCAGTGATTAAATTTTTCTTAACATTCTTAATGATTTTAATTAACTTTATGACCCTTTATGACATACTTGTCATAGTTAAGACTTACCGCAGTAGAGGAGACACGGTTATCCTTCTTCGACATTCCTTAATTACTTCCAGAGTAGAGTTATATTCTTGGGTACTTCCATCAGGCTTTTCCTGGTATCATCGAAGTGATCTTCCTCCTGGTTATCCAGATGTATTGGTCAGGTGATGTATTTGGGGTCGAAGGGTAATCACTATAGATGTAAACACTGTGGAGGCCGCGGAAAGAATGAGGACAGTGAGACACCAGTGACCGTATTTATAGTATCTGAGTGAAGAGAAGAACAGAGAAACCGAGAGCGAGAGAGAAAGAGATATCTCTAGAGAGCCAGAGAGAGACAGAGACAGAGACTCCCTCTATAGAGGTACACAGAGAGAGATAGACATACCAATATATATTGTGATCAGGAGAGCGAGAGAGAGACAGATAGAAATAGAATCGTTAAATGTAGAGTTAAATGCTTACTTCCATTATTATAATTTCACTTAATATTTCATTTATTGTTTTTAATATAGAGTAGTATTTCATGAACACTGAATTATGTTCAATCAATAGCATTTATACTCTCCTTAATCTACAGTTAATCCTGGAGAGTCCTTTCGGTAACTGAGGGGATGTGGTTTTTGCCGCCATAGAAGCCACAGCGGTTTGCACTTTGTTCTTAAATTTTTTTATTATTGTAAATGTAAATATTAAAGTATAAATAGTTTAAGCTTGTCATACTATTACTTTTCATTTTTATAATTATATATATATGTAATAAAATCCAATTCTAGAACCGAAGTAGGGTTCACTTTTAAGTTAATTTAATACATGCTTCCGCTACTATTAGCAACATTGTTTTGCTTATGTTTGCATACGATTGACTATGTATTCGGGTGACACACTGCTTGACTTCACAGTATTTTTATATAAAAGCAGCATAAGTAGCTAAACTCATTCCCCATTGGAAAGCACTACCAGTCGCAAGTCGATTTTAGAACAATCAACAATGGAATGCGGTATTCAGGATTTCTACAAAGACAAAGTCGTGTTTCTAACAGGCGCAACCGGATTTTTGGGAAAAGGTACGCGTTCCTTGAGATTCCACAGAAATCCCTTGCGATTTTTAATTCGACTACATTTTAGTGATAATTGAAAAGCTTTTACGAGCTACGGATGTGAAACGCATATACGCCATGGCCAGGCCCAAACGAAATCTGGATATTCAGGCACGATTTCAGGCTTGGCAAGAGGATCCAGTGAGACACAAAAAACTGTTTTATTGATATAAATATGTAGTGCCAATGTGCTTCTAGCTCTTCGAAGTCCTGCTGAAGTCAAAACCCCTGGCTCTTCAGCGGGTATCTACCATCGCTGGGGATTGCATCGAGCACGATTTGGGGATTAGCATTAAGGATCGCCAGCTGTTGGCTTCCGAGGTTCAGATCTTCATCCACGGAGCTGCCACGGTGAGGTTCAATGAGCCACTTTCCGTAGCTCTCAGCATCAACACTCGAGCCACTAAGCTGATGCTCCAACTGGCTAAGGAAATGAAACACCTTGAGGCCTTCCTCCACATCTCCTCGGCGTTCTCCAACTGCCCCGTCTTCCATATCGAAGAGAGGTTCTATCCCGAACTTTTAAGCCTCGATTCCGAGAAAATTTTGGCCATGAGTGAGATGGTGGGACCCAAAATAATAGACAATATGTCCTCTGTACTGGTTGGAACTTTCCCCAATACCTACACGTACACGAAGGCCCTGGCTGAGGACGTGATCCTCAGAGAAGCCGGTGACCTTCCGCTGAGCGTGATTCGACCGGCAATTAGTAAGTGTTTTCTTATTATTTTTGTACAAGTTTGGTAATTTGGAAGTTTGGTAAAGTATTTCACATATTTTCACTTATATAAAGTTGTTGCCAGTTACAAAGAACCTGTTTGCGGATGGATTGATAATCTCTACGGCCCGATTACCCTTATATATGGAGTAGCCCATGGAGTTGTACGTTTGTTCATCTGTAACAAGAAGGCTTCCTGCAGTGTCGTTCCAGTGGATTACTGCGCCAATATGGCCTTGGCCAGCATCTGGAAAACGGCAAAAAAGGACACTGTTAGGAAGTTAAAGGACAATCCGCCCATTTACACACTAGCGCCGAGTAAGACAAACTTGCTTTCAAATCCGGACTTCGAAATGTATACATTGAGCCATCGGCAGGACTTTCCGATTAATAATATGATCTGGTATCCGTTTATCCACACCGTCCCAAAACCTTGGCTGTATCCTATAGCCGCCTTCTTTTATCACACAATACCCGGATATATTTTCGATTTGATTCTGCGTTTGGCGGGAAAGAAACCCCGATTGGTTAATATCTATAGAAAGATACACATTAATTTTGCCACTATTCAGCACTTTTTGCTTCACAATTGGGAATTCGAAACAAACAGCGTTGATAAATTAAGATCCTTAATGTCCATTGAAGAACGACAAATGTACAATTTTGACATGAAGGCTCTGGACTGGAAGGAATATTGGAAAACTGCCCTGTTTGGCATGCGACTTTATTTGGGAAAAGAGGCTCCAACTAAGGAATCCCTTGAGGCTGGACGACGACTGCTAAAGCGGTGAGTTTTGTTAAAAAATTGTATAGTTGTTTGCATTAACATTCTTGGTTTTATGCAACAGGTTGAAGTTATTACACTATGGATTCGTGACCGTGCTCCTGTTCGTGGCTGGGTTCCTACTCTGGTCACTGCTAAAATTCATCATTGGATATTATTAGTTTTAGAATTCAGAAGGCTATTTTTGAGCGTTATTTATCAAAGGTATAGGAATATATGGAATAAGTTAAAATTTCTAATTTATTTTTGTTTTTGTTTATCGTGGTCTGGTAACTGGGTCTGTGTTAATTATATGATGTAATTTGACCTGAAATAAAATATGCCAAATAATCGAATTGACAACTTGCCCAACATTTTCTGTTTCTCAAGAAATCGACAATATAAGCAAAAAAAAAGGTTCCGATTTGCACACAACGTAAACCCATTCTGGCCTCTGAGTATGAATATGTACATACATATGTATGTGCTTCGCTTAATTTTAGACTCAACCTAATACTTTTTGACCCATTTCTCTACTTTTTCACCCAGCAAAGCATTTTTTACGGAATGTTCGATTTTGGCGCTTGTCATAATAAAAGTAAATAAAAGTTCATATATGAGGGAAATAGACATTACTTTTGCATTTTCTGTTCATTAATTAACTTTGTCATAAAAGTCTTGAAAAAACAGCTCAACAGCTCCTTTTGCCAATCCACCTTTATACAATCATCCAGATATTCCAGATTGATGTAATTTTAAGAATAGGGAAAATATAAACCAAATACCACTGCATCAAATGTTAAACGTGTCTCACTTTTTAAAAGAGCCGGGTCATCAAAGTATGACCGCAACATTTGCCCTCCAAAAATTCAAAATGCAAAATGTAAACGTGTAAAATATTTTTATCAGCGTGTAAGACGTATAATGTTAAATACAGGCTTCGGAATTCAGAGTGACCAAAAAGTATTGCAACATCGGTATGACGATATATTGGTATTTGGATATATTTTCAACAGAGTTAGTCTATTAGTTTACATTCCCCCGACTGCCAACGAGAGAAAATTCTGTTAAGTTACGCGCTGAGAGAGTTGTGTTAATTAACATCCATACGAAAGCACCCGAAGAGAGCGGAAATTTTACGAATTTTACATTATACATGAGCATTCGACCCCAGAAACTAGAATTCGACCCCATGTATCTGTAAACGTGTAGAATGATTATCTTGCCGCGTAAGATGTAAAATGTTGAATAACAGTTTCAGAATTCAGAGTGACCAAGACAAAAAGATCAAGAAACACCACAACTGCAATGTATGGACAAACAACATCGCGATATTCGGGCCTTTGAAACCTGTTTCGATTCAAAAAAAAAACCCCTCGGCTCAATTCGAAAAAAACAAGCGTGGCGCAAGTTTCAATTCCTCCGACTGGTGTGTACCTGCCGCTGACTCCCCTCTCGCTGAAAATCTATACGCTGTGCATAACGAATAACTCTAAAATTGGTGCAAGCCAGCGTTTCTTTATTGATTTACCCCGCGCTTCGTTTTGTTCCGCTCGCTTGTGTGCAATAAATAGAGAACGAACTGTTTTGGCTTTCGCGAACATTGCATAATTCTGGCCGCGGTCGTTAAGCTAATTTCAAATTCCGAGAATAACGCAGAAGAAAGACCGCAGACCGAAGCACCCGCAAAAAGGCATAAAACAAAATACGAAGAAGTGCCGCAGGGGGGCGGGGGATGCGCATAATAATTAAAGAGAAAAAATAATACACAATAAGCGCAGCTTGGCTTCTGTTCTGTGATTTCAATTCCTCGGTGGTCCGCTTGTGCTTGTTATTCTTATGTGACATAACGGTATTAGGGCCTGTGCGAGAGGGGGACGAGGGAGAAAAACAAAAAAACGCTGTCTGTGAATTAATAAATATTTTCTTTTCGTGGAAGATTTTTGACTGGCGGCTAACGTTTGCATTTAAATTGCAGATCTTAATCGTAGAATCCCGACCGCCACCCTGCAATAACAAGTACACTGCCGACGTCGCTGCAGCAGAGCTAAAAAACTAAAAAAAAAAAAACAAGTGTTGTTGGTGCACCCATAGTCGTTGTTGTTGTTCGCCATGCTGAAAGCTCTGCTGCTGGCGCTGGTTTGCGCCGCGAGCGCAGCTGCCGCCGCCGACCTGGCGGACAAATTGCGCGATGACTCGGAACTCTCTCAGGTGAGTCAGTGGAAGAACAGTAAAAGAGGAGGGGGCGAGGAAAGAGGTGGCGAAAGAAAACAGTGGTTAGTGGTAGCAGCAGAAACAGTTAAAGTAAATACAGCACAGACTGGGCCTGAGACCAAATCCCCCTCCATGCACCCCATGCCCCTGCTCATCCGTCAGTACAGTTGATCCTGCCTATGCCGTAATTCTAACTATCGTGGCGTGTTTGTTCTTGTATATGCTGTAAGTTGTTAATGATCAGGAATTTTATAGTTGTACGCTAAACTGAAATTTTTGTATAAATTGCTATTTTTGCATTTTATAGTTAATTCCCACCATTGTAAGCCGGAATAATCTGCAGTTGATTCGTCAAGACTTTCCATTGTCTGAATACTTAAAATTTAATGTAATTTTGATATTAATTTAATTTCATTAAAAATAGAGAAAGCTTTAATTAATGTTGATAAAATGCATTTGATAGTTAAATAGTTAGTAAAAATAACATAATTTAAATCCCTCATCAGATTAAGGGAATGATTCTCATTATGATCGTAGACTATATATTTACATATTTATAATTTTCCAAACTAGAGTCTAAATAAACTTCATAAAAAAGGAGCAATTTAACTAGAAAATTTGACTCCAAAAACGTTGGACTATAAATAGTTGATGAATTTCCGGTAACCTTCGCATCCAATTGTGTCGCTTGCCAACTATTAGTTCCAGTTACCAAAGTTCAATTGTAAGCCCAGTCCGCCCCCACGATTCGCTGGCCTTGAAAGGAAAAGCCTTGACAGAAAAGGAGACTGCGCAAGAGGGACGGACTGAGGCACCCGCTTTCCGCATTCCGCATTTGGGCACAGGTAGTCGTCGAGGCTTCGGCAGCATTGTCCTTGACCTTTAGACAGCTCACTTGTTGTTGGGAAAAATCGATGATGCTGCAGGAAATCCAGGTTCCAGGGCAAAAACTAACGGTAGCCACTAAACTCCATTTGGCCACATTTCGTATGCATGGCGGAGTCTGTTTAGTTATGTAAAAATGAAAAGCCACATAAATTAAGCAGAAGTCGGCGGCCGTTGACGTCCACTGAGCATAACAGTTTTATATTTAGTTTTGCCTTTTACACCTTCACACGCCAACACACACAGTCGTACAAAAACAACAACAACAACAAAAAAAAAACGCACATAGAAAAACACATTAAAATGTAAAAAAGTCAGAAGCCAACAAAGGTACGCGGCTGAAATAACAAGAACATGTGTACTGCACACAGAGGCGGCGATGGCGGCTTCAGCTGTCCAAAAGGGTTGCCCATTAACAAATTTTACGCCAGGGGGAAAAGCGATCAAAACCACAAGATAAAACTATTGATTTATGAGGGCCAGGTCATGGAACGTACACACCTTTAAGACAATCTATATTAATACTATAAGTTGTAAAACTAATTGGGAAGAGAATATGAAATCATAAAAGTATATGAGAAACCAACATTTAAACCTTGAAAAATGCTTAAAATCTTTAAGATACTTTTATATCTTTATATATTTAAGAAAGATTTAACATAAATTTTAACAGCTGAGTCTATCTCGCCATGTCTGGTAGGAAAATAAATTTTTGAATTTTTTTTCTAAAAATTTAAACAAGGCCAAGAAACCAATGATTTCCAAATTGCTTAAATTAATTAATTTTCAGCATAGTTACTATCGATTTCCCAACTCAATCTCAGATGCAATCGCAAACTGAAAGATTTTGCAAAGATTTATTCCTTTCTTGTTGTAATTTTGAACCATTTAAAGCATTCTCATATACGCTCCGCTGCTGTAAGTTCTAGTCTGTTTGTTCTCTTTTTTATAATTCCCAAAATACCTGCAAACTGAGCAAGAAGGTAAAGAGTATGCCGAGAAAGAAAATAATAGAAAGCGTGCGACAAAAGGCAAGAAAGAGTGGGACACTGGGTTGTAATTGTTGCAGCCGGTGCGGGGTCTCTATGCCTCAGGGTCTCAGGGAAGTAGTTGCATTTAAACATCACAAAACAAAAAAAAACACAACCTTTTCCAGTGGCGATATACCAAACAGAGCGTACAGCAAAAATAAAAACCGGGAAGGGGGTTTCGGCTTGCTCATTTGCACCCTTGCCTTTAGGGTATGGTAACTTTGCCCAGAAGTTTGCCACTTTCAGTGGATAGTGTTTCCGGCCATGTATTCAAAATGGGGTGATTCAGTGTGTTTGTCATCAAATAGTAGGGGCGGGAAGTAATATTTGGTCACTTATGTAAATTTTCTGCCATTAAAGGGTAAGATAAAAGCCAAACACGGCATATCAAATTCTTAGTTATGCCTTATTTATTCAGATTAACTTGTATTTCATTCCATTTCATCTAAGAATCAATATTTCACTATTGAAAAGCCATTTTAAATGTCAATAAATTGGATTAACTTGGCCAGAAAATGTATTTGAAACTCTATCTTAATCCCCTTGCCTGTCCTTTCCATTCTTCAGTAAGCCTGCACTCTTATTTTATGCTGATAAGTTAGATAAATATAGGTTAGACCTATCTTGGCTTTTGTGGCTTACGGCTTGTGGTTTTGCTTGGCAGATCACTGGCGATCCGCAGGGAGTTTTAAAGCGGATGCCAGCCAGCAATTTACTCGGTCTATATATAGAGCTCATTGAGAGAAAACACACAGCCAAGCGATTTTAATCGCTTTGAGTGAAAATTCAGCCGAAATCATTTCCATACATCCCATATGTAGATATATGTATGTATGCATGTTCATGTGCGGGTTTGAGGAATGTAAAATGAGAAATGGGGAATGAGCTGACCTCCTGCGATTGACCCCCACTTCCTGTCGTGCGTCCAACGTCTTGTGTGTTTTATTAATTTTAATTTTTAACCTTTGACTGATGCAACGGCAAAGGCTGAGCCGGGGGGATCGTCAACTGTCGCCTAGGAACACTCACTGTACAGTGCACTACACTCGCTCGCGGCATCATCGAATTCAATTAAATTTAATTTAAGATTACAATGCGAAGCCAAGGCGCGTTATTTGATATGCGACGAGCTCCATTTCAGTCGAGGCGATGAATGAGCCACGACTGACCTTAATGGATCCACATCCACATAGCTCATAGACGGAGGAGCTACATACATCTGTGATGATCCGTGGGCGTGGGCGAGAAACGGCCTCGGAGTGTTGCCAGTAGTAGTCTCCCCCCATTTTTCTGGACCCCCCTTTTTCCACCATTTCCCTGTACTATACCAATTAAAAGAGAAATGCTGCCCGAGTCTCAAGTCCCAAAGGGGTTGAGAGACCGCTTTCGCTTTTGCTTTTCTGTTTCTGCTGCCGCTGCAATTATCAAAAAAAAAAAAAAAGGAAGGAAAGAAAGAACAATGATACAACAGACATATGCATATATAATTTGTACCAATTAAATTTATTTATACAACATGCACTCGCTCTGAAGGAAACCACCATTATACTGCAGAGATCCAGACCCCCAGCTCCTGATCCGATTTCAGTCCCTATTCCATACCACGAAGCTTGGCTCGTTCTCTTGGCTAATTAGTTTTAATGGCTCCATTAGATGATGATGATGATGGAAATTGAATATCCTCAAGTGCCATGCCTCAGAAAAATCCCCTGCTCTCGTCTTTGTAGTTGTTTTGCTCTAGGAAATTAGTACAATTTTTGGCTACAATTCTTGAAAGAAAAAACACACAACAAGTTTGAACTGCCAGCGGTTCTCTCTTTCTCTCTTTCTTTCTTTCTCTCTCTCTCTCTATCTATTTCAGAGCACTGCCAATTCCTTGAGGCGCCTTATGCCAGTTAGGGTAAGCTGCAATTCCAAAACAAAAAAAATCAAAAGCAAAACCGAAACAGAAACAAACATGAACACAATTAGGCAACACAACATGCAAAACCCGAGAAACAACAGACAATCATTACAACGAACTTTCACATGTTTTGTGCTTAATTTAGTTTACAACAAAAATATCCATCGAGACATTGGCCAAATTATTGTTTGCCCCGCCGTCTGACTCTTACCCTTGATTTTGGGGTGCGTCTGCCACCCGAGGGGTCATTGGCTTGGCACTTGTGGCACCGGGGGGGAAAATCAAAATGCGCTTTTCAAAACCCTCCCCCTTTGTTGGGAGCTGCTGCTGCTGCGTTTGGTGTTTGCATAGTAAATGAGACGCCGCCCCATTCAGAAAGGGAAACTCTTTATCGATGACAGGATAATACTCTAACAATTGCTACAAATTCATCAGGGCTTCCGAAAAGGACTCCCCTGGGGGCAAAAGGCATCTAGCATCCTTATCGCGATGATCTGCCGGAAACTCCCTTGCTTTCATCATCAACATCATTAAATGCAAAAAACATTCGATAACGAAAATTTATGAAAGTAATTGCATCTAATTGTCAAAGGCAACCCCAGAGGGTTGAAACTAGAAAGGATGCTGACAGATGGGCCATGGAAAATGGCCGCCAAGCGGAAAGTGTCGCTTGATAAACAATATCTATTCAGGATTCGGTACAACTCTCATTGAATCTGTAGAACCTGGTACCTGAACCCCATATCCCATATCAACCTGTGACATATGCCACAGCCAATCCCTAATACCCCACTTAGCCAGCAGGGCACTCTCCTTAAGATAAGCGAATAACATTTTGAGAGCGAAATAGAAACCGGCCAAGCAGTTCTGGCCAAAACCGGAGACGGGATAAGAACAAAGCCAGCGGCGACTCGAATGTCCACAACCAGGACAACCACACCGATATAACGACAACGACAACTGACGGTCTCGAATTACCTAAAAAAAAAGAGGAAAAAACAACGTAAACGGACAACAAGAACACAAAGTATTCACACTCAGGGAAAATAACTATTTAATCCTTGAAGAAGGTTATTTTATTATTAAGGTGCGTGTTTCAGTACATTTTCAGAGCGAGTTTTACAATAATATTTTCGTTGCTGCTTCCTATACATACTCTCTTCTCTAATCTTCTATATAACTTCAAGAATATTAAGTTTAAAATTAGTTTTATTTATTGATTGCGTAGATCAAGGATCTCTAGTACTTTAATTTGAAACAAAACCTCTTTTTCTCGGTGTGCATGCGTGAGTATTGACGATGCCAGAGCATAGATATCTATGTTCAGCAGTGAGGGGAAAATGAAAATGTAAAAAGGAAAAGGGAAAAGGGAAAGGACCGACTTTAGAAGCCAAATTGCCATGACTCATGCTGGGCCACAGTGAAAACACGAGAGAGTCACACGAGCGTTTTAAAGGAGGGCACGGAAAAAGGTGTTGTCCTCGACAGGACACGCACCCACACAGGCACACACACACACTCACACACACACCAGACCCAGACAGGACCTCATAAAGCTGACTGGGAATGTGCAGCGGGGCGTGGCGGACAGTGGTTCTCCTCGGCCACAGAGTGTGCGGTTGCATTCGGCCATCGTCACATGTGGCAGGGGCAGGTGGTACCGGATCGGGTCTGTCCCGTTCCCGGACCTGGTTTAGGGTCAGTGGCTGGTCTATTTGGGGTGGCTGGGTAATGCATTTTTCACATCCCACACTCTCGTTAGAATGACACACTAGCCGCCACTATACAAACCACCCCAGGACTTATGTAATTGGTTCAATAAACCTTTTTTCAGGACACATGCATAATGTGCTGTTCCTCATTTTATTAGTTTGTTTGAGGTTGCCATGGAAGTTGGCCGGTTGCCGTTTTGCCAAAACCGCCCAACAACCGAAGCGATAAGGAAACGAACGAACCAACCAACCAACCACCCTGAAAAGGCACCCACCCAACCCCAACCCATTACCCCCACCAGAATCACCACCCACAACTCGCACTCCCCACTTGGTTCAATAAGATATATTGGCAATATAGAGCGCATCGAATGAGTGTAACGAACCCGGTTTATTTTTGCAGTTCTATAGCCTGCTGGAGGCCAATCCCATTGCCAATTCGACACTTTCGCTGCGCAGCTGCACGATCTTTGTGCCCACCAATGAAGCCTTCCAACGCTACAAGAGCAAAACCGCCCATGTGCTCTATCACATTAGTGAGTTTCATATTCAATTAGTTTGATTAAAAATAATTTTAATATTCATATACTCTCATCCCCACAGCCACGGAGGCGTTCACCCAGAAACGACTGCCCAGTTACGTGTCATCGGACATGGATGGCAATCCACCGCTGTATATCACAAAGAACTCCAATGGTGACATCTTTGTGAACAATGCCCGGATCATCCCCTCGCTCAGTGTGGAGACCAACAGCAATGGCAAGCGGCAGGTCAGTGGCCCCCCATTCGTATCCATAAGGCAACCTATTGAATCTGTATTTGTCTGTCCACAGATTATGCACATCATTGACGAGGTGCTGGAGCCGCTTACCGTGAAGCCCGGACATTCAGATGTAAGCAACAATCCGGATGCTCTAAACTTCCTCAAGAGCGCCGAGGAATTTAATGTGGACAACATTGGTGTGCGTACCTACCGCAGCCAGGTGACACTGGGCAAAAAGGAGTCCGTTTTCGAAGCAGCCGGACAGCACACCTTTCTTGTTCCCGTGGATGAGGGCTTCAAGGTTGGACCTACATTATCAGTATTATTTTTTATAAGATGCTTAAGAAACCCCCTTTTGATTGCAGCTCTCGGCTCGCAGCAGCCTGGTGGATGCCAAGGTCATTGATGGCCATGTGATACCCAACACTGTTATCTTCACTGCCGCCGCTCAGCACGACGATCCCAAGACTTCTGCCGCCTTCGAGGATCTCCTCAAGGTCACCGTCAGTTTCTTCAAGCAGAAGAACGGCAAAAGTAATGAAATAGCATTCATTCTTAGGAATATTTTACTTAATTTATATATCATTTTGCAGTGTATGTCAAGTCCAACACCATTGTGGGAGATGCCAAGCATCGCGAGGGCGTAGTTCTGGCCGAGATCGTAAAGGCCAACATTCCAGTGCGCAACGGAGTCGTCCATTTGATTCACCGTCCGCTAATGATCATCGATACGACGGTCACCCAATTCCTGCAGGTATGTGGGGTGTTGAAGGAAACTGAATTCTCCAATAGTAGACACAACACCAATACAGACACAGACAGACCACAGATATACAAACAAATAGAAGCAGTGATAGTGCCTGCGGCTTGTGATAAGGCTTGGCATTTTGATTGGCTCGGCACGCACTGAAAGATAGCGCTGGCGGCGACCAAGAAGATACTAGGAGACCAATTGAATCGCTTGCCAGCCCCAGCGAATGCTACAACACATGAAAACACACATTAAAACATATCGAGCACTCGGCTTTTCTTTGCTTTTTGTTGAGCGCCTTTTCAAACCCACAAAATGACCAAGAAAAGGGGTTACATTTCCCAGGCCATAGTTTCCACAGCGCTCAACTGAGGGCAAAGCCAAACCAAATGAATTTGCACCCAAACACCACAGATTAGACACATACAATATACTCTAGAACCCAAGCTAAAGTAACCCCCTAGGTACATTTCCTAAATACAAATAAACCCAAAGTCTGATTTTACCTAGAACTGAATTTCTGTGCCCCAAAACTGGTGCAACATTTTCTCAAAAAAAAAAAAAAAACAAAAGAATCTTGCCCAGTTCCTGTCATTTTCCCAATTCGGTTCTATGTAAAATCAAAAGCAAAATTTTATTTTAAAATAATTTTTAAAATATAAATTTTATTTTAAAAAAATTTTGGGTGTAATGTAAGTATTGCCAAAACAAAAAAAAAATGAAAATCGAAAAAAATATATATACCTAAACGCCATGTAATTCATGTAAATTTTTTCTATGAATCAGATTTCCCTATCAATATGCATTTCACTGGCAGTTAAGGCATTGCAAACTGCCATCGACTGACTCAGTATTGGGCAAGGCGCTTCTCCATTTGGCCCCTAAAATAAAATTCGAAACGTGATTTAGTCACGAATTATTATTGGGTATTATCAAAATTGCTAACAAGGCATAGCGCTTTGCTCGATCTGAACTGAAATTCGACAAAAACTTCATTCACCAAACTACTCCCATCGTTCTCTATTGAATGTATTGGTATTTTAATGGTCTCAAAAGCGAGAGATGAAATTGAGATGTTCATTTTAATTGGCTTGAAGCTCGATGTTCCCTGCATATATCAATCTATGATCAATCACCGATCATTCGCTGTTCGCTCGCTATCAGCCGGCATGCTTGATCACATCGTAATTGTAGCTGTACTATATCTACATATATATGTTTCTTCTGCGCATTATCTGCAAATACCCAGAGAATGGCTCTCCCTCATGGACATACACACATTACAATACAGTGCGTTTCGAAACTATGGGACTACCTTGATTAATTGGAACTTAATTCCAATTGTAGTTCCCATTTAGTTGTGAAACGAACTGGTGCAGTTGGTATATCAATCGACAGATCGAATCGTCATTTCGTTTATTGCAATATCATTTTTTGAAATTCCACTATAGTTCTGTTGTAATTACTCGTACTCTGCTCTCTTTTGGCTACACTTACTGATCCATACATCTATCCTTTGTTTCTCGCAACATGCCGAATAATTGTATTTAAAACTACAAAAAAAACACAACCCAACCAAACATATCGCTCTAAAATTGAAAACGATGCACCGATAAATTGACAAAAAACCAAACCGTTGACGCATTCAGTCGTTCAAGGTAAACCGAAAACAAGATCCAATTATAATATTTATTTTATTGATTTGTTAAAAGTTGCATTTTGATTTGCATCCCCCTCTGCATGAGTCTCCTCCCAGATACGGCTTTGAATTTTTGAGTTGAGTGATTTTGAGAAGGAATTGAAAGGAGTTTAAGCCACCTTAGATTTGAATATTCAGCACCTACTTATTATTTTTAAAGCTGGAAATGTATTATATTGGGAGCTTTATCTAAAAATTGGCTTGGTTAAGAATTTATTCTGTTTAAACAATTGTTTAATTCTTGCTTTTGTCCCTCCCATAACATCTTATTTCCTTGATTGTGCGATTACGTTGTACCATTTTGACCCTGTATTTCCATATCATTTTTTAACTGGCTGCAATGTTTAAAAGTCGTTTGAAATACTTTATTAACTGATAGTATGATGTTTAATTCGCTGTAAACGTTGAAAAGTGCACGCCAGTTCCATAGCGATCAGCAATTATGTAAATATATAAACCAGACCGTTTGCCTGATAACTGCAAAATGCCTAAGAACAACGAGAATAAAATATATATTTCCATTGTGCTTCTTCCAAATGTGTTCTTCTGTGGCGGAACAACTATATGGCACTCTACGTGGATACAAAAATATTAAACAAATATCCGATTTCTATGAATGTGTGTTTACAATTCCAAAATCTTATTCGAAATATATCCTCCTACTTCTACCACTACGTTTTGTAAACCGATTTAGTTCATGAACGTAAGTAATATTGACACCAGCAGCAGTAACAACAATAAGCAGAACAAGTACAAGAACCACAACAACCGTCATCAGTGCAACGCTTCGCTATCAAATTGCCATCCAACCCAATCACCGCACAATCAAAAATACCACTCGAATAATAATTGAATAATTCGTTATTAATTCAGATATAGTCGTAGTGAACCATTAAGCATTATTCCCATCGATTCACCACTCAATTTGGTCAGCCATGAAATCCCCAATTCAAATTGGCTAATTGTACTGTACCCGCCCCTTAAAAACTGAACTCTCCTGAAAACACCGAAAGCTTATGCGTGTATCCCTCCCTTCCATCCAACAGTATGTTTTCTTAGATTATTATTTCATCTTTAAAGAACTCTTTCCACATAGTACGAATTCAACTGAATAATTATGCTTTCTCTTTCTAAGGAAAATGCTGAGAACGGAGCTCTGCGAAAGTTCTACGAGGTTATCATGGATAATGGAGGCGCTGTCCTGGATGACATCAACAATTTGTCAGAGGTAACCATTTTGGCGCCCAGTAATGAAGCTTGGAACTCTTCCAATATCAACAATATTCTGCGGTAAGATCACTTAGACTAGAAATTATGTTAGATATTTCTAATAAACAATATTTACAGAGATCGCAATAAGATGAGGCAAATCCTAAACATGCACATCATCAAGGACCGCTTGAATGTGGAGAAGATCCGACAGAAGAATGCTAATTTGGTTGGTATTAATACGAGTATATAAATATAATCAGTTACTAATGAAACCTCTACCTATTTTACAGATTGCTCAGGTGCCCACTGTAAACAACAACACCTTCCTCTACTTCAATGTCCGCGGCGAGGGATCGGATGCTGTGATCACTGTTGAGGGTGGTGGCGTCAATGCCACCGTTATCCAAGCGGACGTGGCCCAGACCAATGGCTTTGTCCATATTATTGATCATGTTTTGGGTGTCCCATACACCACTGTGCTGGGCAAACTGGAATCCGATCCCATGATGAGGTGAGAACATTAGTTTGGGAATGCATTTACAGCCTCACTATACATAAATATTATTTCTGTAGCGATACCTACAAGATGGGCCAGTTCTCGCACTTTAACGACCAGCTGAACAATACCCAGCGTCGCTTCACCTACTTCGTGCCCAGGGATAAGGGCTGGCAGAAGACTGAGCTGGACTATCCATCGGCTCACAAGAAGCTGTTCATGCAAGATTTTGCCTATCATGTGAGTCTCTAGTTCACCATTATCTTGCCCCTTTTGAAACTTAGTGTTTTCCTTACAGTCCAAGTCCATTCTGGAGCGGCATTTGGCCATTTCGGATTTCCCGTACACCATGAAGGATCTGGTCAAATTCTCGCAGGAGTCTGGCAGCGTCATCCTACCCACATTCCGTGACTCCCTCAACATCCGCGTGGAGGAGGAGGCTGGACGTAAGTACCAAATCGATGGAGCCAAGGGCTCAGCTGCTTTCTCTTTCAATTCAATTCAAGTCGATTCGATTCATTGAAATTTGATTTGATTCTCTATTGGTACTCTCCCCTACCGTGCTGTATTACTAACCGAAACCTGTTTTTCTATAACTCTCGAACTAAATTTCTCGCTTTGTGCTTAACTAAATCTAACCGTTGTCCAATCGAAAGATCTACATGATGAGTATGCTAGTCACGAATGGACTGGTGAGTTCTGTCGTTTGTCAAACCCACATCGCACTGCCCACAACAGAAAAAGACCCCCAACTTGGCCATAAACATGCCCGTCCATAGCTCTATCGCTCATTGGGCACTCCACTAGCATCAGTAGACAAATCATCGAACCTTCATTTACTGTTTATTCCGATCTTTGGTTAATAAGAACTACCTCCTTTTGCAGGATATGTGATCATCTGGAACTACAAGAAGATCAACGTGTACCGGCCGGATGTGGAGTGCACCAACGGTATCATTCATGTCATCGACTACCCGCTCCTGGAGGAGAAGGATGTGGTCGTGGCCGGAGGTAGCTATTTGCCAGAATCAAGCATTTGCATCATCCTGGGCAACCTCATAATGATAACAGTAGCCAAGTTCTTGAACTAAACGCATCCGATATGTAAAAACCAATCCAATCCAAAGCAAATGCAAATCAAACAACAGCCACAACAACAGTCGTCAACCGAACAAGAAACCAACAACACTCACACTCAGTATCAGAATCAGAATTCAGAATCAGACTAATGTGACATCCCACATGGATGTAGATAATCAGCACTAGTTTGTTGATATTGAAGCAACCGAAACTGTATCTGTAATATATATGCGTCACAAGGAACGATCATCATTCCATGTCCACCAACCCACACACAACACACACACACTCAACCATCATAGAAAACGCATGCAGAAAACAGAAAACTGCCTGCTGAATTTGCTTTTTCGCCAGAAACAAAAAAAAAAAATGAATCAGAAAAGAAGCCGAGAGGAATGAATAGAACGGCGACGATGATACCCTTACTTTTAAGTATTAAACTCGAAACCCCTTCTAAGGCCTTATGTATTATATGAAATATACAACTCTTTGTAAAACATTTTACGTTTATGTTCGACCTATGACTACACCATATACTGGTAGCTTACGTTCATCAGCTCGCTAATTTTTAAGTTTAGACCCACGTCGATCTGTCTGCCTATGTATTGACGCTGATATCGTACCATGAAGTATCCGATTGTGTTTATGATTTAAGTGTATATTTTTTGTGAATTGCTTGTTTTAGTTAATGGTCTAATTTATGATTTACGAAACGAGTTATCTTAAGTAGAATGCGAATCTCATTTGTACATGTCGACGCGAAAGCATCACACTCCCATGCTCTCATTACACTAAACCTCAGAACATAAGTCTATGCATACATACATACATGAACATGTAACGAACCGAAGTCATTGTAAGATTCGAAGGTGTGAAATTTTATAAATAAACTGAAAGTTTTTCATTTGAACCTAACTATAAGCCTGCCAGATAAGTAGCTCAGGCGAACGACCTATGTAAGCTCAGAACTACATATATCAAAGTCGGACGTGAAAAAGAAAGCAACGCAACCGAATCAAACCAAGAAATTCAATTATATGAAACGCCATCCTGCACTTAGTTGTTAGCCCGCCGCTATGCATGTTAACACGCCCATTTACCCACACACACACACCCCAAAAGACATGGAGCGAGAGTGGTCAGTGCTAGTCCTATGTGAGTTTGAAACTGCCGCCAACTAGAAACTACAAAACTGCATACATCAAAATATATCGTGTAATCCACATCCAAACACATGTCATCACCGAATGGATTTTGATATCAATTTTAACTTGCAAAGAACGAAATTCCCCCAGTTGCATTTTAAACTTTGTACGTAGTGGAAGAAACTAGTTTATAGTCTATAGTCCGACATGTAGAACAACCCAATTGCTAACTATATATACCAACTCTCTTTCTATTTCTCTCTGTCTCTCCCCCTAATGCTATGTACTTATAGGTTAGACATTGTAACTAGTGTTAACCGGCAAAGGCGAACACTGAAATGTACTATTTCCCCAAAAAGTAACTATCAGCCTACCAGTACACACTCTCACCAGTCTCAACTATCACCACCTAAGCCACTTAGGAAACTCAGTCGCAAAAGACATCCCAAAGCTGGGGCAGTCGCTTCACGTAGTTGCTAGTTCCCGATCCTATCCGATCGAAACATTCCGGCAGTCTTTATCTTTAGTAGGTGGTTTAGTTTAGTTTTATTCGGTGCAGTGCTAAGTGAGAATGTGCGAGAACGAGAATATTAAGATGAATATATGAATATAGAGAGAATACGCTAATGAAATGACACGAAAGCTTTAAGGAGTCGCTGGAAGAGTGCGGATCGGAGATGTAGAATGAAGAGGAACCGCATTGCAATCGCAATTTGTGTCGTAGTCAGTAGTTACACGTTAAACGTCGTCTTAACGTGTAACTAGTGCCTTACTAAAGATAAACGCATTACCTTAACCTTTATACAAATTTACTCGAAACAACTTGTGCCCCAAATAACGAAAGAACCCAAGTACATACGTTCCGCTTCAAGAGTCATCCAGATATGCCTGCATATATGGATGGACACCCAACAATACAAGTATAATAATAATAATAACTACAAAATGATATTGCGCCACACGCTATTTACACCAAAATACACCAAACAAATCGAGAAATGCATATTTTTCATATATTTAATTGTCAGAATAATATATAACGTATATGTAGTTTATTTACTGTACAACTCAGAGTCAACAAAATGGAAATTAAATCACATATATCGATGTATATTTAGCAATTGAGTTTCGAGGCATCGCGTCAGACACGCGAATATATGAATAAATCTATATACAATATGCGAAACCAAGCAAAAACTATGCGAAACTGCAGTGCAAAAGAATATTATTCCATTTTATTTTACGACAAGCGCTTTTTACAAATAAACCGAAACCCAATTTAATTACTCGTAAATGAACAGCAAGATTATATTTAGCATTAGTTAAACTAATTATTACATGTACTAGAAAACCGAATGTCAACCGAGAATCTTCAGCATGCTTGAGCGAATAATAAAACTTGAAAAATAACTATAAATTAATTAAAGAGATTGTGTTAACTAAGGGAAATGGGAAAATGAAATGAAATATAACTTTAAAATACACTAAATATACTTCTCTGGCTTTGTCAACTCCACTGCACACTCCGGTGTACTATAAGGTCAGTTGCGCGGGGATTTTAAATTTAAAGTTTCAAAACTTCAAAGTGTGGCCAGCGGCAGCGAACAGAATATCCCTTCAAAGTTTGACAACGCAAAATAGAGATGCCGGCCATGCCACAGAATGTTGCGCATGTAGCATAGGTGAGTTAGAGTCGAAATGGAACGGTGGAAAAAGAAACACGGGAGGATTTTTTATTTTTATTATATTTCGTAAATTAACAACTAAATCGAACATGCATGCTAAAAAATCAACTAACTCATGTTTCGTTTTGGGTTTAGCGGTATTTATTCTTTGGTTCTCTCTCTCTTTGAAAAATTGTGTTCTCACGGATTTCTTAATATCTCTCCTAATCGAACATGTCTCACAATACCCTTTGTGTTGGGATTCTAGATGTTTATTAAAGTTTTAAGTATTGAACAAAAATGTACAAATTTACAAGCATGTGGCAATATTCAAGGTATATACTCTTACTAGGATAAAGACTAAGGAATATTTGGTTAATATTTCATTGAAAATCTAATAATAGTGGGTGGCGCTTTCGGACTGTTAACTTGCAAGCGAACCATGAAAATGGAACCAGATATGAACCGGCAGAGAACCAGTTTCTGAACCAGCTCGTGGAACAAGTTGTTGAACCAGACAATGGAACCAGTTGCTGAACCAGACAATGGAACACGGATAGAAAAAAAACTAAAATTATCAAGAAAGGCGTCAACTTCGACACTCCGAAATTGTTATACCCTTACACTTTTCAATTATAACATTCATTATTAATGCAATATAAATTATATATATTCACTTAAAAGCACCGAAGTAATGTAAATACTATATATACATATATATATAATGTCTATAGATTTACATTCAGAGTTTTGAATTTTCCTCTACATTTAAAGATCGTTTCTATGGCAGCTATATGATTTAGTTGTCCGATTTAATAAAAATAAATCCGAAAATCTTAAATTTTAACAAAAGTCTACACATCTGAGTAGATAACAACTTTGTGAAAAACATCGAGCTATAATTTTTCCTTTAAGATCGATTTAACATTCTCGATCGGCCGTATGACAGCTATAGGATAGACATAGTAGTCTAATTTTCATAAAATTAAAATCGAAATACTAAAATTTTTTTTTATGAAAATATGTTGAAAGCTGAAAAAGTTATAATATATTTCTCAACACTTTCTGATCATTTCTATGACAGCTGTATGATATAGTCGTACGATCCGTTCCGATCCGACTTACAAATATTGCAGTAAAAGTATATGTACATCTACCAGAGAATTTTCATTCAGACAGCTGCAAACCTGAAAACCAATTAAAGCAATTGTATAAAATTTGTTTGTCCCATTAATGGAATCGACATTCTTAACATTTTGGTGGATGTTTCATCAAAATCCGTTTAGTCGTTCATGAGAAAAACTTAATTTATTTCAATATATTTTCTAGAAAGCATAATGACCCTAACGAAACATGGAGTACCCCATACGATATATTCGATTCAAACTTTCGAAATATGTTTACCGCAGTAAATTAACGCTTGCCAACACGCACGGTATCTCAAACGAATGAGAAAAATAATCCCTAATTTCAAATTAAGTCTTTATTCGATCTAACTGTTAGATTCGGAGAAATTTCAGTTTATCCCTTCTCCGACCTCATTAATAATCGTTGGCTTTATATCGATAGGAGCGACTCCAACGCCCTATCGATGAATACCTCGCAAGAAATATATATATATTGACAATTTCACAGTTAAGTACATTTACAAATGAAGTATGCCCCTTAATGAAAATGACATTCTAAGCATTTTGGTAGATGTTTCATCAAAATCCGTTCAGGCGTTCATAAGAAAACAACACTTTTGCATTATTTCAATAAATGTTCCATGGAAGAATATACATATGTATATCTGGCAGCTCTCAGAAATATGTATGTAAGTAAATCATACTTCGACTCTTTAATTGGTATTATGACAAAGGATTTATGTATCATAAACCGCATCGGAATTCTAAACATTTTGTATTCATCGATAGGGCGTTGGAGTCGCTCCTATCGATATAAAGCCAACGATTATTAATAAGGTCGGAGAAGGGATAAACAGAAATTTCTCCCAATCTAACAGTTAGATCGAATAAAGACTTAATTTGAAATTAGGGATAATTTTTCTCATTCGTTTGAGATGCCGTGCGTGTTGGCAAGCGTTAATTTACTGCGGTAAACACATTTTGAAAGTTTGAATCGAATATATCGTATGGGGTACTCCATGTTTCGTTAGGGTCATTATGCTTTCTAGAAAATATATTGAAATAAATTAAGTTTTTCTCATGAACGACTAAACGGATTTTGATGAAACATCCACCAAAATGTTAAGAATGTCGATTCCATTAATGGGACAAACATATTTTATACAATTGCTTTAATTGGTTTTCAGGTTTGCAGCTGTCTGAATGAAAATTCTCTGGTAGATGTACATGTACTTTTACTGCAATATTTGTAAGTCGGATCGGAACGGATCGTACGACTATATCATACAGCTGTCATAGAAATGATCAGAAAGTGTTGAGACATATATTACAACTTTTTCAGCTTTCAACATATTTTCATAAAAAAAAATATTTTAGAATTTCGATTTTAATTTTATGAAAATTAGACTACTATGTCTTTTCTATAGCTGTAATAGGGCCGATCGAGCATGTTAAATCGATCTTAAAGAAAAAATTTAATTTCGATGTATTTCACAATATTGTCATCAACTCAGATATGTAGCTTTTTGTTCAAATTTAAGATTTTCGGATTTATTTTGTATTAAATCGGACAACTAAATCATATAGCTGCCATAGAAACGATCTTTATATATATATAGTATAGACATTACTTCGGTGCTTTTTAATTTAAATTGCATTAATAATGATTGTTATAATTGAAAAGTGTAAGAGTATAACAATTTCGGAGTGTCGAAGTTAACGTTCTTTCTTGATAAATTTAGTATTTTTTTCTATCCGTGTTCCATTGTCTGGTTCAGCAACTGGTTCCATTGTCTGGTTCAACAACTTGTTCCACTGGCTGGTTCCATTTTCATGTTTCTCGCCCAAGTTAACAGTCCGAAGGCGCCACCCACTGTTATTAGATTTTGAATGCAATTTTAACCAAATATTCCTTAATCTTTCTCCTAGTCAGAGTATAAACCCTGCATATTGGCACATGCTTGTAAATTTGTTCATTTTTGTTCAATACTTAAAACTTTAATAAACATCTAGAATCCCAACACAATAGATATTGTGGCACTTGTTCGATTAGCCGTTATATTAAAAATTCCGTGAAACTCGATTTTTTAAACAAATAAATGCAAAGGTGAAATACCGCCAAGCACAATAGAGAACATTAGTAAATAGATTTTTTAGCATTAATGTTCGATTAAGTAGTTTAAATACGATATAAAAAAAGAGAGTCCCCCGAGTTTCATTTCCTACCGTTCCCTGTCGGCGCTATATGTCGAGCTTATCTATCGGTGTATTGTTAAAGATATCGATATATCGATCATTCAAGTCGACAACAACACCCCGGAAAATTGATTTTTCGCTCAAGCCAAAAGCAACAATTACAGCAGTGTAACAATTAGAATTTCTCGGAAAATACGAGCACAACGACTATTTCAGACAAAGAAAATCAACCATGTCGGCTTCGCAGGTTGACCAGGTGAGGAAATATTGTGAATTAGGGAAGGCTTCCCGGTCTGGCGGGCAGCAAACCAAGCGTCGCCATTGCAAAAACAGGATACTAGTCAAACTTTGCCATGTACCCCGCAGAAACGCGCTCTCAACAAGTTGAAGCACGACCTAGAGCCCTTCCGCACGGCCATTGTTGGGGCCTATGGGGTGCTCACCTGGGAAAAGCAGTACTACGCCGGGGTGGTCTTCGGCAGCATCAGTGTCCTGTACTTGACACTCTGGTATTTGGACCTATCGCTGATCACCCTGGTCTCACTGCTGGGCCTGATGACCATCCTCATGGACTACGTGTTCCCCACCGTGTCACGCCTCGTGTTCGGCAACATCAACTGGGATGGCGACCAAGAGGCCAAGTTCGAAGACGTTTGCAGCCAGGTGTGCTCGATTAAGGCAAACTTGGCGGTCTGGTACGATTACCTCTTCAAGGAGCGCAAGTCCACGGTGGTGAGTAATTGCCACGGATGTTCATAAACACACACTCGTGTTACAAGAACGGAATAGTTTTATTTATTATTGCTTTTGATATCCGATTGCAGTTCGTGATTATCATCAGCATTGGACTTCTAGGTCTCGCCTGGATTGGCGCCATCATTAATAACTTGCTGCTGATGTACTTGGCCACCCTGCTCATTGCCATGTGGCCGGGGCTGCAGGACAAGGACGTGTTTAAGGCCATCATTCAGAAGGCATCGAAGATCATCAACGAGAAGATCCAGTGCGGCAAGCGGAAGTTGCAGTAGAGGGGAGGAGAGCATGCCTCCAAGTAAAAAATCACCAACACTCATCACATTTGACCAAATATCTAAACAGCCTAAGTCATATACTTGCCATGATGCACCCATCGCATACACATCACTAAATAAACTCTTGAGCATTGCATTTCAACTATATCATAAAGAATAAGTGCTGTAGCATATAGACAGTATTCCCCATTGGTTAGCAACATACCAATCCCCGCGTGGGCCTCGCCTCATCACATCCCCTACTATAAGTTTGTAACATGTAAAGCGAAGGAATCTCAATGCAATGGGCGAACGGAGAGAGAAAAGGAAAGCGCAAAAAAAGACATCTTTGTGATTATTTTGTGAGTTAATTGAAATATATGATAATCCCGTAAGATACAAGAGAACTTAAGCGTCTAGAAAATCTATGTTTAAATAAAAATTTCAACTCTTTATCTGCCCCTTCCCCGTGATCTTGAGCGAGTACGGGACCTAGCGTGCTTGCTCTTCTTTGTCTTCTTTTTGTGCTTGCTGGGATGTCGCCGGTGGTCCTCATGGGAGCTGCCATCACTTTCCGCACTGGAGTCGTCCGCTCTCCTCGACTTGTTCTTGGATTTCTTGGAGTGTTTCCTTGACTTTCGGCTGGATGACTTCTTGTGCTTTCTGCGCTCGTAGGCAGAGTCGGAATCACTCTCTGTTGACTCTCCAGTATCTTCTGCCTCATCTGAGCTGCTTTTGGGCCGCCTGCTGATTTTGGGACTCGGCGAACGTCTGCGTTCACGATCATCACGCTTGGATGTGGAGGAACTGTTGCTGCGAGAGTCCTGCCCGTGATTTCTCCTGTCTCGGTCCTCATATTTGTGGGATCTGCTTTCCTCTTTGTAGGCTCGTTCCGTTTTGTATTCTTTTCTATCCTCGTCTTTGTATGCTCTCCTATCGTCTTCTCTGTAGGGTTTCCTTTCCTCATCCCTGTATGGTTTCCTACCATCATCTTTGTACGATTTCCTGTCGTCGTCCTTGTACGATTTTCTGTCCTCATCTTTGTACAATTTCTTGTCCTCTTTTTTGTATGGCTTTCGATCTTCCTCCTTGTACCTCCTACGATCTTCATCTTTGTAAGATCTCTGTTCCTTACGGTCATCCCGATTTGATCTATCGTCCTCCCTTCTCTCTGTTGGATTGTCTTGCTTTATAATAATCTGGCCGTGTTCGTTCTCCTGCTTTTTGAATTCTTCGTACTTGGCTGTGTCTGAAATTAGAAAAAGACCAAATTTAAATTGTACTTTTTAATTAATAACTCTTCGAAATTCGCTCTTACTTATGCATTTGCCATATTGCGAGTATTCCTTTCGGGACACTGGTTGACAGAGGAACTCATTGAACGCCTCCTTAGCTCCTCCAATGGCCATCTTGACGATGACTCGCCCTGCATGGTCGTCAAAGCCTTCGATTTGTCCGTACTGATCCTTCTGCTTGCCGCCGAGGATGCGGACATACGCCTGCTTCTTAATCTCCAGGACTTCGTTCTTTTCCGGTTGCACCAACAGGGCCTTGGGTTTCAGTGCCTTATCAGCCCCCAATCCCATGCCCTTCGGACGCAAGAATGGAGCGTCGTCGATGGGTCCGGAACCCTTTTTTTTCGGCGGCGGATCCACCCAACCCATGCCGCGCAGCATGGCCAGACCAAACTGCTGTATGGGTATATTGTCGTAGTCGTCCAGCGTGGCCTCCTTGGCGCCATCGAGAGGTAGTTCGTCGGCCTTTACAGCAGGCAGCACTAGTTTTTCTGCGGTCAAGCTATCTCCATTATTTTGGCTAGCGGCCAGCAGTTCCCGAGCAGCCCTCTGTTCCAGGTTTTCTGCACCAGCCAGACCAGCTGTGACTTCGGCAACGGACTGCGCCGCAGGGGTCACCTCCTCCGGATCGGGTTCCTCTTCACCCAGCAGCACGGCCCGCCGTTTCATCAAGCTTGCCAGAGCGGCGGAGGTCTTTTGGCTGCCCTGCATCTCGATGACCAGCGGAGCGGCCTCCACTCTCTCCCTACAAGGCAAACTTTAGTTAAAACGCACATTTAGTTAGATTTACACTTACGCTACTAGCTTGATTTCCTTGCCCTCCAAACACTTGATGAGCTCCACTTTGTTTTCATCCTTTGGCTGCTTGCTGGGCAGAATGTTTGGTTTCTTGGCCACCTTGCTGAAGCCAAAGGATATTTTTTGGCGTCCATGGTCTCGGAAGCGCCTAAATTTAATTAAATTAACTAATTCTTGCGAAATTAAGAAAATGCCGAAGGTAAACAAAACGCAACAGCTGTTTTGCGCCCTGGGTAGAGATGAGAAAATATCGATGCATTAAATCGATAAATCGATAAAAAAAACCCTATTCGATGACAGAGAGCTGAGCTGCCATTTCTCCCCAATTTGAATTAAACCATTGCACTTTTAAGTTTAATTTCCCCGACTAAGTCCAAAAAAGTGGTTAATTACATTCAGCAACTGCCAGCATAAAAAGTTACACACTCCGTTTAGTCACCTATCGAAACTTCTGGAATAGTGTGTCATCGGCGAGCCTAACCTCACTCATCTTTCAAACAGCGGCAGCAGCACGAGTTCATTTGTTTTCGCGTAGAACTTATTAAATTAGCCAGAAACATGTTCGGAGGACAGCAGCCAATACTAGTGTTGAGTGAGTACATCATTTACCTCATGCTAAACCCGAAATCATGTGAAATCGGTCTCCGCAGGTCAGAACACGAAGAGAGAATCGGGCCGCAAAGTGCAGTTGGAGAACATCCAAGCCGGAAAGGTATGTGTGTGTGTGCGTGACTCACATGTCTGGGTCTGCGGTTTTCGTGTTTCCATTTTCCCGGCCATCTGCTCATGAGAGTCGTCATTTCAGGCAATCGCCGATGTGATCAGGACATGTCTGGGTCCCCAGGCCATGCTGAAGATGTTGATGGACCCCATGGGCGGCATCGTGATGACCAATGACGGCAACGCCATCCTTCGTGAGATCACTGTCCAGCATCCGGCTGCCAAGAGCATGATCGAGATTGCGCGCACACAGGACGAAGAGGTGGGTGATGGCACCACGTCGGTCATTGTCCTGGCCGGCGAGATGCTGGCCGCCGCCGAGCCCTTCTTGCAGCAACAGATTCACCCCACAGTGATCATTCGGGCATATCGCGAGGCCCTCGAGGACATCGTCAGCCACTTGCAGTCGGATCTCAGCGTACAGCTGGACGTGAAGGACAAGGTTAAGATGGCCGAAGTGGTAAAGGCCTGCGTCGGCACCAAGTTCATCGGCAAGTGGTCCGATTTGGCTGTGAAAATCGCTCTGGACGCCGTCGAGACTGTGACGCTGAACGAGAATGGTCGTCTGGAGGTGGACATTAAGCGGTATGTGCCCGATCCTCTGTAGATTCCTATTAGATGTCACTGTTCCGACTTCCCGACTTCAATTAATTGATTCCCCTTCTCTTATAGTTACGCCAAGGTGGAGAAGATTCCCGGCGGTGCCATCGAAGAGTCTTGCGTACTGAAGGGCGTGATGATCAACAAGGACGTGACGCACCCCAAGATGCGTCGCCTGATTGAGAACCCGCGCATAGTGCTGCTCGACTGCTCGCTGGAGTACAAGAAGGGTGAGAGCCAGACCAATGTGGAAATTATCGGGGAGCAGGACTTCACCCGCATGCTCCAGATCGAGGAGGAGTTTGTGCAGCGTATCTGCGCAGATATTATTGCCGTGAAGCCGGATCTGGTCTTTACCGAGAAGGGTGTCTCTGATCTGGCTCAGCACTATCTGCTGAAGGCCGGCATCACTGCCATCCGTCGTCTGCGTAAGACAGACAATCTGCGCATTGCTCGCGCCTGTGGAGCCACCATTGTGAACCGCACCGAGGAGCTGACCGAGAAGGATGTGGGCACTGGAGCCGGCCTGTTTGAAGTCAAGAAGATCGGCGACGAGTACTTCACCTTCGTGACACAGTGCAAGGAGCCCAAGGCCTGTACCATTCTGCTGCGCGGTGCCAGCAAGGATATCCTGAACGAGACGGAGCGTAACTTGCAGGACGCTCTGCACGTGGCTCGCAACCTGGTGCTGGAGCCGCGTCTGGTAGCCGGCGGCGGAGCCGTTGAGATGGCTGCTTCCCAGCTGCTTACCCGAAAGCAGGTCAAGGGCCCGTACACGGCGGTGGCCCATGCCCTGGAGATCATACCGCGCACGCTGGCCCAGAACTGTGGAGCCAACACGATCCGCGCCCTGACCGCCCTGCGCGCAAAGCACGCCTCTCACACCGGCGACAGCGTCTGTGCCTGGGGCATCGATGGCGAGTCCGGCGAAATTGTGGACATGAACGTGAAGAACATCTGGGAGCCGCTGGCCGTTAAGTTGCAGACTTATAAGACTGCCGTGGAGACGGCCATCCTGCTGCTGCGCATCGATGACATCGTTTCTGGATCAAAGAAGCGCGGCGGCAACGAGCCCACCAACCCGGCCGCCATGGCCCAGGGCCAGGAGTAGTAGCCTGCGATCAACCACGTGTATTAATAATGCTTACTATCCTTTAATACTTAATTTAACACCCAAAAGAAAACAAAAAACACACACGCCACTTTCAAATGTCTAACATTTAGCTCGGACCCGGTCGTGCGGGCTCCTCCCGCGACTGGAAACTCGCCTCCGGGCTGCCTACACACACAAATTCTGCTGCATTTGCTCTCATTAACAGTACACACACAAATAAAATTGTTAAAACTCATAGTGGCTTTAAATGTTAATTTTTAAAATTATATATTTTTGGATTCATTTGTATCCAGCTCGTATAACCTTTCGTCCATCAACTTGAGAACTTCCAAGCCAATGGATGTAAACTCTGGCTGCAGGTATCTGGCAAATAGCTCCAAACATTTGGGCTCCTTTAGATGAAGGTGTTTCTTTAGCCAGGGCAGCAGAGGCGGCTTGTGGGAGTGCACAATGCTGGGCACGCTAAGCAGCATCTCTGCGTTCCTAATTTCCTCAGCATAACCCTCATGGGCATCGACATGGCAGGTCACATAGAGCATCTCGTAGGGCTGCTTTTGGGTTACATCCGCATGCGGAAGAGCAATCAGTTGATGATCCGAGCTGAGCTTGTACCAACGTAGTTTGTGCAGCAGTCGGAGGTTCCAGCTGGGCAGGAGTTGCTGCTCCAGGGCCGTTTGATGCTGCGCTGAATTGGTGCACCAGATGGCCACCAAGGATCGAGGGTGAGTAAGCTTGGAGATTGGAATTAGCGACAATTGGTCATTATCTAGCATGGCGTATCCCAGTTCCTGCTTGGCCCGCTTTAGCCGACGGATATACTTGTTCCGCCAGGGAGGATCCAGCACAATGAGATCATAGTCGGGCAGGAGTTGGGGCAGCAGTGCTGGAAGTAGTTCTACATTGTGATTGAAGAAGCGGGCTCTGTCGGGAATGAGGTAAATCCTTCCATCAGCAACCGGACTCTGGAACCGCTGCTTTCTGCCGCTTTCGTTAGCTCCATGAAGCTGGGGTAGATTATACGGATCCTCCCAGTGTCTGGCTATGGGGAGAGTGTCATCTGTTTCCTGGGGCTTGGGCAGGAGGTCTATATATCCGTTGACCAGCTCCAAATCCTCCGATGATGAAGTGTCCTCGCCGGCTTTCCTCTTGCGCTTCCTTGACCGCTTCTCCCCGTCTTCCTGCATCTGCCTCTTGGCTTGAAACTGGAAAAGCTCAGGTCTAAGCTTATAGTCGCCATAGGATTCGTCAATTAGTTTCTTGTGGTCCAAGAAAATTGCTACTTTATTGTATTTTATTGAACTATGTTTTTTAATGCCAGCATTCCGATAGATATATATCGAAAACGTATCCCTATTTCTATCGATAGATACCTGTGGCGGCAAACATTTGAATTTACTTACTGGATTACAAATAAACTTTGTATTTTAAATAAATAATTTATCGCAGAATTTTGGAAGTCACAGTGCAGGTTTTAAGGACCCGAAGAGCTCCGGAAACTCTCATAAAAAACCTCCGTGCTTATTGTTCCTCAAATCAAAGTATTCCTTCATATAAAGGAGCAGTTCCGCTTGGAGCCTACGGTGGCCATGTCGGTTATAGTAATTCAGCTCCTCGCTAGCACTTTCGGCCACGAATCTCACCATTGTAAATTGTCCTAGATTATATTTGCATTGGATTGGATTATGCTTCTGCGCCCCTTGCAGGAAGTACAAGGCAGGTGTCGACTCTACATTAAACTTTTTAGGTGCACTTTCTCCCCGTAGGTCCATCTTGTACAGACGCACTGCCTCTTGCTTAAGGCAATCACCAAGTTTGCTTAGACTCTGCAATATAGTATCGTTGGCCTCCGTGCCATTATGCAGGGAATTGTAAAAGAACACGGCGATGTCCTCATCGGAGGCATAAATCAGTTCGTTCCAGTGGGCCAAGTCTATGTGCTCGACTTGGGTATTCCGGTTGCTGGGTTCTTCGTCTTTTCCCTCTATCACCTGCCTGCAGAATTCCCTTAGACTTTCTAGGTTTGGGGTTTCGCGTCCTGGGTCGCCAAAGAAGAACACTTCCCCCGAGGCAGTCACTCCGTAAATCAGCGGGGGCTCATCCACGGAGCAGCCTATGTCGCCACGGAAGAAGGTGAAATCCTCCTCGTTGAAGATATACGCCGCCCATACGTCATCCACGTAGAAGTCCATTTGCTGGCCAAGATCATCGGGGTCCGCCAACTGATAAGCCATCTCCATCCATTTCTCCAGGGCACCACAGTCATCGCCAAAAACATGGAGCACTATGAGCGTTGGTCATTTCTGGGATTCCCAGAATTTTCGCATTTTCCCGAAATTGGGAAGTCACTTCAGGCGTCCTTCATACTTTTCCGAAAAGAAGGTCTTGAAATTGGGAGGTGGCGGGTTATATCCGGAGTACATTCGCGACATTTTCGCGGATTTCGTTTATTTTGATAATAAAACACTTATTGTCTGAACATTAGTCATATTTGTTTATCTATTGATGGGTTTCGTGCTTTTAAAGCTTTTTGAGCAAAACTATAGATTGTCTTAGGGATGGGCACTTGGCGGTAGAATTTAAATTTTAGTTTTACGGCGGATAAACACCCTGGAAATGAACATTTTCACAAAAACCTATATAAGCAATGCTGAATCTGATTCATTTTTTTTTTATATTTTTATTTTAGCCGGAATAAGGGCTTTATAAAAAAAAAAAACAGGGAAAGTCGAAAGACCCTAAATTCAAACACAAAACATGTGCGCTGTCTTTTTTTAAATGATATAAAAGTATTTCTTAAGCTGTCCAAAATATCACTCAATAAAAACTAAGCACAATTGAAAATCGGCGCTTCTTCCTGAGACTAGTTTTATTGGACATTAAGGCTAAATTCGTATGGGACATATGGCCGCTTTATTTCTGTATTTAAATCTAATCACTTGAAGCTTAAGATCGTGTATTAACACTCTTGCTCATTGCATTTAGTATCATGGTCTCGAAGTGCTGAATGTTGGTCAGCACGGTCAGGCTGTGGGCGCACCGGTCCGCATTGGGGGCATTGCTAATCACACCGAAAAGGAAGTGCCGCGAGGTTGAGCGGCCCGAGAATTCGAGGGTCTCCTCAACAGCGGTAAAACCACCGCCACTGTCACCCTGGCAGGCCAGTGATTTGCCCTGCGTGAATATGCAGAATTTGTCCGACTTGATATCCCTCAGAGACTGTCGGCACAGGATGTTCGCTTTGGAAACAGCTGGTACAAACTGCAGTTCATGCTTGTCCTCGATGCTCCAGCCGGCAAACTTTCCCTGCCGCTCATCGGTGACACTCTCCTTTTCCGCAAAGCTTACAAATTTCACGCAAATGGGTCGGATCACATGGCTAAGTCCGAAGGGCTCGTTGAGGGTCAGTAGGGCCAAGTCTTGATAAAACTCCGTAACACGACCCTTGTAGCCTCTGGTTAATAATTAGAAAGATTTATTAAATGAGGTTTATATGTACTTTTTTACCACTCACTGCGCTATATCGATAAAGGTCACATTACGGACCTGGTCATCCGGCGTGGTATCATTATAGTTGCGATAGTACTTGGCCGCAATCACTTGGAAGGTTTCGAAGCTGTACAGTTGACCGGTACCCTCGTCGTATACGCAATGTGCAGCGGTGATGATGAGGTCCGGTGTCAGCAGCGATCCGCCACACTGGAAGTGGTAATTCCTTTCATTGTGGAACACATACCTGAAGGTAAAAACTTAATTAATATTAAAAAAATGATTTATTCTTATTAATCCACGTACAGTCCCACGTGCCAAGGCACCACAGTATTATTGATGGTGTAACCATTGGCCGAGAAGCTCTTGGTGGGCGTGGCAATCTGGCCACATTCCTGCTGGCAGCGTTGACGTTGACGATTCCAATAGCCACCTCTCATGCACTTCATGTCCGGCAGTGGACCGTCAGCCTTGAAGCCATTGGCACAGACGAATTGCACCTCGGTGCCGGGTGGATGATAGGGCTTGTTGCAGTCCACCTTCTGGCCGGCATAGGTGCACAAGGCGTTCGTCGAATATCCTTCAAACTCGCCCGTCGAATTGCAGTATTCTATGGTTAAACAGGTTTAACTGTATTAAAACATATCGTTACAATATAAAGGGGCTACTCACTCACGCATTTCGGGATCAAGGAGTTACCCCACTTCCGATTGGCACAATAGCTGGATGTATCGCCCTCAAGGACATGCCCCCTCTCGCAGGAGAATTTCACAAGTCCGTGGGTGATGGGCCCGGTTATGATACGGCCACCAGGACCCTTAAGAATGGGACGCTCATCGCCTAGGGGCAGTGGGCATCCCTCCTGAGTCTGCAAAATCTCCACGGTGACTGGAGTTGGACCTGTTATCTTCCGGGTGGTGTTGCAGAGCAGCGGGGCCTCATCTGATCCATCGAAACAGTCATTTTGACCATTACATTTCAGCGAACCGGCAATGCAGGCACCTGTGCCACACCTGAAGGAGTAAACGGGACAGTACAAGTGTCCGCAAAGATCCACGGATTCATCATAGCCATCGCCACAGTCATCCTTGCCGTTGCACAGAAAATTGGTCTTGTCCAAACAAATTCCAGAGGGGCATTTGAACTCATTTTCCCTATAAAAGAGAATTTAGAAAGTGGGTTTTTTTTTATTATTTAATGAGAATAAACTTCGGGTAACCGAAGTAAGTAACTATGATCAGTTAGTATCAATAAACATTGGGTAAATATGATCAGTAAATAACTATGATCAGTAGTTAACTATGAGCAGTAAGTAAGTATGAGCAGTAAGTAACTCTGAACAGAAGTATCTATGACCAGAAAGTATGTATGATCAGTTACTACTTTAAACATCAATAAACAATGACTTGCAACTTTTGTAACACAACACATTTCTGAGACTTGGCTGGCAGAACTCACTTCGTTCCGGGGATGTTAGAACCAGTTGGGAATCATATGCACATATGTGCGAGATGTGTTTTTGCATCAGTGAGTAACTATGACCAGTAAGTAACTATGATCAGCAATTAACTATGAGCACTAAGTAACTATGATCAATAAGTAACTCTGATCAGTGAGTATCTATGACCAGTAAGTAACTCTGAACAGTGATTATCTATGACCAGAAAGTAACTATGATCAGCAATTAAGTATGAGCACTAAGTAACTATGAGCAATAAGTAGCTCTGAAGAGTAAGTATCTATGACCAGTAAGTATCTGCGACGAGTAAGTTTCTCTGATCTGTTTCTAAATTTGAACACTAATAAACAATGACTTGCAACTTTTGTAACACAACACATTTCTGAGACTTGGCTGGCATAAGTCACTTCGTTCCGGGGATGTTTGAACCAGTTGGGAATCATATGCACATATGTGCGAGATGTGTTTTGCATCAGTGAGTAACTATGACCAGTAAGTAACTATGATCAGCAATTAACTATGAGCACTAAGTAACTATGAGCAATAAGTAACTCTGAAGAGTAAGTATCTATGACCAGTAAGTATCTATGACCAGTAAATATCTACGATCAGTAAGTATTTATGATCAGTTTAAAAATTTGAACACTAATAAACAATGACTTGCAACTTTTGTAACACAACACATTTCCGAGACTTGGCCGGCAGAACACACTTCGTTCCGGGGATGTTTGAACCAGTTGGGAATCATATGTACAGATGTGCGAGATGTGTTTTTGCATCAGTGAGTAACTATGACCAGTAAGTAACTATGATCAGCAATTAACTATGAGCACTAAGTAACTATGATCAATAAGTAATTCTGATCAGTGAGTATCTATGACCAGTAAGTAACTCTGAACAGTGATTATCTATGACCAGTAAGTAACTATAGCCAGCAATTAAGTATGAGCACTAAGTAACTATGAGCAATAAGTAGCTCTGAAGAGTAAGTATCTCTGACCAGTAGGTATCTACGACGAATAAGTTTCTATGATCAGTTACTAACTTTGAACACTAATAAACAATGACTTGCAACTTTTGCAACACAACACATTTCTGAGACTTGGCTGGCAGAAGTCACTTCGTTCCGGGGATGTTTGAACCAGTTGGGAATCATATGCACATATGTGCGAGATGTGTTTTAGCATCAGTGAGTAACTATGACCAGTAAGTAACTATGATCAGCAATTAACTATGAGCACTAAGTAACTATGATCAATAAGTAACTCTGAAGAGTAAGTATCTATGACCAGTAGGTATCTATGACCAGTAAATATCTACGATCAGTAAGTATTTATGATCAGTTTCTAAATTTGAACACTAATAAACCATGACTTGCAACTTTTGTACAACACATTTCTGAAACTTGGCCGGCAGAAGACACTTCGTTTCGGGGATGTTTGAACCAGTTGGGAATCATATGCACAGATGAGAGAGATTTGTTTTTGAACAAATTGGAGAGCAAGCTATTTGAATAAAACTATGGAGTTATTCTTTTATATAATTTTACTAGTATGTAAGTCGGAGCATGGCGAGTCGGTGGACTATATATATAGTACATATATAGCTTCTATAGGAACGATCGGAAAATTAAAAAAGAAAACCATAACTTTTCCAGTTTTCAACAGATTTTCGTTAAATATTATAAAAATCGGACTACTATATCATGTAGATGCCATACAAACGATCGTTAAAAATAGAGGAAAATGCAAAATGATGAATGAATTAACGATGTAAAATTTTGAAAATATGTCTCCTTTTTTTTGCCGGATTTGACTTGCATGTTAATGCTGATCAAGAATATACATATATGATTTATAGGGTCGAAAATGACTCCCTCACCGAGTTTTAGTCTTTTGAATAAAATTATAATACCCTGCAAGGGTATTTAAGATGTATGTGTATCCATGCAGTATATATTGCAGTTTCTTAGAAATATAATGATAAGTAAATCAAAACTAGATTCAGTTCAGTTTAAATTAGAGTGAATAAATCAAAAGATTATAGGCAGACTTTAATTATAAAATATATGTATACCTAAGATGTAAGTTCCCCAGCTTGAAAGTGTCTACTCTTATATGGAAAAATTCAAAGACCTTTCAAAATTACCAATTATTTTCACAACAATCGTATACTAGAATGTGCAACTTACTGACAATTGCCCTGAAGGCGACGTTCCAACTGATTTTGAACATCAATATTGCCGCATCGGAACTTCGTCTCATCGGATCCATCCGCGCACTCCTCAACATTATTGCAACCTGCAGTTCCTATAACGCAGGCTCCATAGGTGCATTGGAAGAATGGTTTGTTGCATTGCTCCCTCTGGGAGATGCAGGTCATTGCCGTTTCATCGGATCCATCCGGACAGTTTTTGTCACCATTGCAGACATCATAGGAGGAGATGCAGCTGCCATTGTCACACTCAAACTGTGTGTCATCACATTCGGCTAATACTGCAAACGAAGGAGTGTTAAAAGAAAGTCTTCTCTTTAGGTTTAAGGATTGTTTTTAATGAAGGAAATACCCAAGTGTAACTAATTTTTAAATGCTAATTAGCAACAATTGTAATCACAATCCATTTTTTTATATTTAAACCAATAAATCGATCTCTAAAACCTTAAATCTGTACTTCTCAAACACTTTTGTTATAAGTGTCTTTATTATAATATAATAAATCACGTTTATATTATTATTTAGTTCCGTAATCACTAGCAGTGAACCCGACTTTGACGCTACTACATATTTCCCGAGAGAATCGCTGGAGATAAACAAAGATGACTGATTCTAGTGCGTCGCGCGACTTCAAGATGAACCGGCTTGAGATACGAATCTTGTTTTGAGGGGATTCTCTCAGAGAGTAGCTTTGCTTTTATGAATACTAAATGTGTCTGTGTGTGTGTGTGAGTGTGTGGAGCCAAAAGCATACTCAATACATGTTCTGCTCCCTCCCCCCATCCAATATACATATGTGCAGTGAGTGTTTATTTTCGTCCGATTTGTATTATCATTTTGAACTTTACTCACTTGCTCCGATTCTGTACGAAATCACGCAAAGGAACAGGAGACCACTTGTTAATCCCGACTTAAACTGCATTTTGCTTGGGATAAACTAAACACTTTTTAATGCACTAGCAATGCACTTGGGGCACACGACACTCACATAGGTGAGAGGCTTAAAATTAATGCGAACTGAATGAGTCGATTGAATCGGCACCTGCCGCCGCGCTTAGAACGAGTCCGACCGAGCTCACAAAGGGAACTGAGCTGCGAAGCTGTTTGTTAAAGCTGGTTCTAATAAAAAATGTATCGCTTAAATTTCGTATATCGAAGATTTTGAAACTGTGTCGAACTTTTCAAGATTTTTGTTTTAAACATTTAATTATTAATTAATTAATATTCTAATAGCGAATCAGAATATATATGACTTTAAGCAATCACTGGCTTTTCTGGTATTTTATGCCCTCACAAAGCCCTGAAATATTGATAGAGGGGGAAAAACATTATGTTTGCAGAAAATTAACAGCCAGTTAATAAAGTTAATAAATTGAATGTTTTATTTATTAATTTCAGTGGGAGAACAGGCGCTTAAATTTGTGTTTTCCGTTTTCGAAACAACATTTTTGAAAAGTTTGTCTAAGTCAAACAAGCAGTGCTTTCATTGAATAAGCAGTAATCACAGTTGGCTGGCAAAGCAATTATAACATAGGAAAAGCAGTACAAAAAGTTGAAGCTGGGTTTGGATAATTTTTTATTGGACAAAATCGCAAAAATTGAAAGCCACATTTTTAAATTTCTTGACAAAAATGAACTAATGCTAAAACAAGCAGTTTACATTGGGACAAGCAGTGTAACATTTATTTTGATTTTCTTCCGCCAGATGGTGCCGCCACATGAGCTATCGATGGTGCAGTCTAGACAACGTCCTAAGTTCTAGCTGCTTTCATATACCGCTAGGTGGTGCTGCCACTTAAAGGATTTGAAATTTTGAAAAAATTTATCTCTTGAAACAGTGTTTTTTTACCACTAAAATTAAGAATTAAGAATCATGAAAAATAATATTAAATTATATGGCGATGCACTCCCAATTTTTCTTTATTTAAATATACAATTATTATATAACATACCCATTTAATCCACCGATTTCAAAGGCATTTCATAAATTGTTTAAATCGTTTCGTTTAATTTATTTGTTTCATTTTCCACATTCTCACTGGTTGCTGTTTGTTTTTGTGTTTTGTTTCTCATTACGTATAGTTCATATTGATAATTTACAACTTACGGAACTAACATAGAATGGCTTTAAATTAGAGTTACATAGATTAAGTATAAACGGAGCTGCGGGTTCCAATCGTCATGCGGGGGATGGGGGATACGAGTAGAAAATGTAGCTGCAAAGTATCTGTAGGTAGTTCTAGGAAAAGTGGTAATCCCAATCTCGGATCGGATCGGATCGGATCGGAGAGAGTGTAAGGTAAAAGCCACTAGCAATGTACACGTACGTAGCGATTATGGGTGCTACGAATGCACTGGTATTACGTAAGAAGTAGTAGGTAAGTGTAGGATGACGTAGTGGTGGACTCTCCACCGAATCTGTCTCTATTTACGTATATCTGTTTGCTACGATAATCCACATTTAAATCTTTAAGTATTGTATTTTAGCGTCTATTCTTGGTTTTTTTCTTTCGTGGCGATCCACGCTTCTCCTCCTGCACCTCACTCGTTATCGTCCTCGTTTCGTTCAGTGTATGTGTACATTAACGTATTTGGGGTTACGTTTAAAATCTATAACATTTAACTTATACTTATTTACGTATTTGCATCCGATCCAGATATTACTCTCTGTCTCTTATTGTTTGTCCGCTTTTATACTCGATTTCCACATATAAATACATAAATATATATCAAGATTTATATATATATATATATATATATATATATATATATATGTATATCTATATTCGGATCTTAGGCTCTAGTTACGTATACATCTTGTGCAGGGCATCGTTACGGATGGCCCCCAAACTGGGATAAGTTCGGAAACTCAACTGAAAGATCAAGTTTCGGGGGGGAGGACGTGCGGAGCACAGCTCGCTGGATCCACATCCACTAAACTAATATATGGTATCGCTATCGTTATCGTTATCTGTATCGTTATCGGTATCGGTATCGGTATCGGTATGGGGTATCGCTTTGGAGCGTACAACTTACGATCAATTAACGGAACGAGATCAAAAGCAATTTCGCATGCCAACACTCTCTCAAGCTCTCAAAACAACTCGGAACGAAACGAAAAATCGCAATGGCAGAATTAAAATAATAACACAATAATAAAATTTCTTTTTTCTCTTTGTTTTTTTTTTTAGATTTTGTTTAGATTTTTTCAAAACCAATAATTTATTTGGCGTTTTGGCCGTTTGTATCTCCTCATCGCCTCTGTCAGATAATCTCATAAACGCTTTGTCATTAAACTAAACATAATAATAATAAAATTAATCATTAATTTAATTTAAAAGGTAAACACACTACACATTACTTAAAGAAACAGCTTCACTTTAGTCGTTTTGGGGTGAGAACTAAACAAATTCGTTTAAAAATAAACAGAGTTAACTAAAATTGCATTATTTTATTCGGTAAGCACAAACTATACACACATTCAAATATTTGAATCTGAATCCGAATCCGAATCGATCCTCCTTCGACAAACTCTGGTAATATGTTTACTTTGCTAACAAATTCTATTTATATTTAAGTTAAAGTTTAATAGTTTTCAATTTCTTTTGTGTTTGTTTTTTTACGTATCTTAAATTGGTTTAAAACTGGTTTTAACCAAAAAATTCATATCAACAGAATTTTGCTTGCGTTCAACATTTTATTCGTACGTTTTCATAGTTCTTGTTTGTTTTTTTTTACTTAATTTTTGAGTATTTCTTGCGAAAATTAATTTAAACATAGCAGTAAGCAACAAAGGGGGCAGGACAGGGGTTCGATTTCGAGCGATAATGATGATCCTCTCTATAGGGTCTAAACATAAATCTTACGCTTGCGAATTTCTACATTTGTTTTTCTTTTCTTTCGTTTGGAACTAAATTAAAAATTGTTTGTCGGTTTTTACGTCTAAGTAGGTTCATTCCACTACCTTTCATTTACTTAGCCTATTTAATTAGTTTGTAGTTTTGCCTTCATTTACGTATTTTCGGTTGCTGCTCAAACGCTTCGTGAAATAATTCCATTAGGTTCGATTTAGGTTAAGTTTCGTATTCGCACAAGTACCATCAAAATATTTTTAAATATTATTCATTTAAGTAAATAGTGTTCATTTGTTACAATATATAGTTGCTTTGTATCTGTATTCTGTATCTGCATCTGCATCTGCATCTGCATCCGTATCTGCATATGCATATCTGCATCCCAATTCGTCCTAATTCTGATCTAAATGTCCTCCTTGGACCGCCGCCGCCGCAGCCGCTGCCGCCGCCGCCTTCTGGGCCTGCGCCTGCTTCTCCTGCTCGTTCAGCTCCTTGATCGCCTGGATCTCCTTCTTCAGCTTCATCCGCCGATTCTGGAACCAGATCTTGATCTGCCTCTCCGTCAGGCACAGCGCGTGCGCCATCTCGATTCTCCGCCGGCGGGTCAGATAGTGATTCGTGTGGAACTCCTTCTCCAGCTCCAATGTCTGGTAGCGGGTGTATGTCTGACGGCCGCGTCTTCGCAGACCATTTGTGCCTATAGAAAATAGAAGATAAAATATATAATTAATAGGTAATTAAAACAAGTTTTTTTTAGTTTAAAAATTGACCTGATATTAGGCCATATAAGGTGGCAAAAGGATTTACCAATTCTAACTTATTTATATTCATTTTAGCAAGTATTTAGTGAATTCATTTAAACAACAAATAGGATAAAAGATTATATAAAATACAGATTCTTTAAGGCAAAGTGTTTAGTTAACTTTAAAGATTTAAAGAGTTGAATAAAAGCATTTAAAATATGGCTTAAATATTATATTAGACCTAGCATCCACTTGTTAAAAATACATTGACAAAGTATACCAGAAGTATATTAATTTTACTTTTAATAAATAAGCTAAAATGCCTAACAATTTTCCAGTTCATATCCTATCATACCATATATGAAAATCTGTTAATTATGCTGGAATTGTACAGTAAGAAAAAACATACACCGCAGTATTTATATTTTGGCCTTTCATCGTTGAAATTAAATTGAAAAATTGCATCGATCTGCTCAGCATTTGTTTGCTGTTCAACGTTGTCTTTTTTAACCAAAAGTCATAAATATGAATTCTGCTGTTTTTTTGCCAGCAATCATCAAGCAGCTTGAACGTAGGCCGGAACATGAACCAAGGAAAGGAAAGGCAAGGCAAGGAAATCTCCAGGAGTAGAGTACAACCAACCAACAAAAAAAGAAATACATTTCATTTTTACGAGTATCGCCATTTGCCATTTGCAGTTGTGGTTTTTGTTTCTCCGCCGAGATCGAGATCGTTACTTTAAATTGATCGTTTGCCGCTGCACCGCAAAGAGTGGATGTTGGATGTTGCTGCTGCATTGCAATGTTGCTGCTGCTGTGTTGCTGCTGTCATTGCAGCAACAAAACATTAAAATTGAAAGGAGAAACGTGCGAGCATTCCCGGCACTGTGGAGATTTCGAATGTGGCTACTTAAATAGCAGTTATGCCAGATAATGCCCCTTTAATTGGCAACACGAGAGGCGCAGAGCAGGGCTCACAGCAACAGCAGCAGCAGCAGCAGCAGCAGCAGCAGTACAATGCCGTGTTTAATCTCTGATTTTAAATATTTATGAAGTTTAATTTGCCTTCAAGTGCAATAACTCAATTTCGTGTGTGCACTCCCAGCTCCCATGTCTCTCCAAGCCCTCCACCTGATGCTTGAGCAGAACCAGACGATGTCTGATTTTATCGCCATGATGCCACACATCCATGTTGACTTTCGCATTTCGGTCTTTCTCTCTCTCTTACCCAGGGACTGGGCACAATGTTAAGTTAAATATTATGAGCATTTATTATGTTATAAATTTGGCCTAAAGGTATTAACAAATTTATGCCGACACGAAAGTCATAAAGTGAAAACGCATTTATCTTTCACTCGCACACAGGTACTCGTACCGTTATTACCAGTTTGCAATTGTGTAGGTGTGTGCAAATAAATGGTATAAAAAAATATGTATATATTTTATAGTCTATAAAAAATGATATGCGAAATAAAATGGTCAGAGGATCTGAAAACAAAGAAATTATCATCTATATGTGCAGTCTCCGTACACAACATGCCCCCGATAAATTCACTTAATGGGGCTTTATTTTTATAAATGCCTTGCGAGAATTATAAACACCGATTTAATGTGCAAGAAAATTGGCCAGTGACAGGTCACAAAGATTTGCGTTGCCGTCAGTTTTGTGGCAATTTGTCGGAAAATGGAAATGCAGAAAATCTTATCCAGTAAAACAATAAAAATAAATGTTTAATTTGAAGGAGAACTATTTGTATGGGAGTCTATTTATTATAAAAGAACTCTTGAAATCCTAGAATCCTTTTATCTCAGTCTTCCTGTACTTTCTCTCCCCTAAAAAGTCCTTATTTCAACCTGACTTCCTACGTCTTAAGGGGTATTATATCCAAAATTATTTATTTAATCTGTTATAGGAATTTCAATTAAACCAAGATGGTTGCCTCCAAAGAATTCTCAAGTTAACTTGGAATACCCATTTTCCTCCCTTCCTCACAACACTTGTGAGTGAGTAAAAAAATAACAACAAAATAAGCGCAAAAAGGGCATAAATAAATTTATTTAGCTCTAAACCTGTTTGCTGATTAACTTAAATCCCCGACAGAGTCGTGCTCCCTTGTGCTCCTGGAATACATCACGCTGAGGTTTAGCGAAAAGTTTCATTTTATTTAGGAGTTTCGCCAAGAAGGAGGAAGGATAAGGGAAACAGGATTCGTACGCCTTGAGGAGTGGTACGTGAACGTGAGCTTTTGCTTGGCAATTTTAAATGGAATTTGTCACTCGGCAGTCGACTATTTCAGCTCCTTTCCATCCTTTTGCCGCTGCTTTTGTATATGCAAAAATACAACTTTTTAACGAAACTTTGCTTTGCCTGGGACACTCTTTTTTTAGCTTGGATTTTTTTCTTCCAGTGCTGGCCAAGTTTCTAAATTTATTATGCGAAAAAGTGCGAAATTCATTTTGCTGGCTCGCTTTCTCCCTCTCTCTCTCGTTGCTACGTCCTGCTGTGTCCTGTGCCTGTTCCATTTTCTTTTGTAGACTTTTGGAAAATTTTTGTGTATTTCTAAGTACATAATTTAAATGCTGGTATGTGCGGGGTGTGTGGATGCGGTACAATAAAACTTTGTATGGCAAGGCGCGAAATTTCTCGTAGATAATTTAAACGAGTCAAAAAAAAAAAAAAAATAATAAGGGGGGAGTTGAGAGGCTGGAAGGAGGAAATCTTTTTTTCTTCTTTCCTGAATATTTATTCTGTTCCAGTTGGCTTTCCATGGGGGCCTTGCCTGGTTTTTCTTCGGCCCCGAAGATACATTTTCAAGGTTTTGTCGTCTCTTGTATATATGTATATATTTTGGGTAGCGCAGCTGTGCCCAAGTCCCCAGTACGTGTTATATTTTTTAACTTAAATTCCTCAGGGATTTAAAGTTTTGACAGTTTACGTGTTTCCCATTTGCAGCGAACTTTGAACCGAAACGAAGCGATATCTATGTATACTTGTCTCGCTTTGGGTGTGTCTTCCCTCTCTCTCTCTATCTGGACAACCCCCATTTTCGGAGCGTTGCAAGCCAGGTCATAAATCTCCAGGTGACGCCTGAGACTCCATGTTGCATGCGGCACAATGTGTGATCTATGCTTCTATTATAATAGAATATATATATGTATCTAGGGAATATATATGTGTATATATAAGTGTGTGTGTGAGGCAACTACTTATATCTAATTCGATTTTGTTTTTTGGCTTCCCCAAAAACTCTTTCTAATTTATGTTTTGTTTTTGTCATCGTCACGTGCTATCTAGATGAGATTCTGGTCCCAAAATGGGGAGCTCTCTCCTCCTTTTTTCTTAAACTGGAATTTCAGGGAGCACTCAGAGATACTTTTGGCCTATTCCTGGTATCCCTAAGGTACAAATATTTAGAGATCCTAAGATTACTGGGAATTTTAGTGAATGTACAAAGTATATAGAAAATTTTTAAGAAGAATAATATTCTATATTAAAATACTTTACAACTTTCCTTTCAGTTTATAAACATAACTAGAAACCACTTTCTTACCTCCGATTTATGGGTAACCCATCAATATGGTCTCCAGGTCAACCGGAAATTAATTCCCTTTTCTAAGAAATACAAAAAAAAGGACACCAGGCAGGAAACCCTTTTTTTGGTGAAAGTTGCCGAAAATCGGCAAAAGAAATCGATTGGCCATCGATTAATTGGTTGGCTTGGCACACACATGTGTTCCCAACTTCCCTCCCTCCTTCGCGTTAGCAAACTCACGCATTTTATTCGCAATTTAATTAAATCTATTTTCGTGCGTGTTTGTCAGGGGCGTGTTCCACCTTGCCCCCGGTATGATGTACACACACCCACTCGCATCTGCCGGATACATAGCTGCGGCATATATACAACTAGATAGATAGATAGATAGATAGGTGGGCTTTGTACATGGCAATGGGATTCGAGTGTCTATAAAACAATTAAATGCGACGGCGCCACAGAAAGTCAGTCAGGCTTCTGGGGAGACGGAAAACTAATTTTCCGCACTGCCAATCGAGCACCACTAAATCTGTCAATTAAATTGGCCGCAGGGAGTAAGAGAGTTGAAGTCTCCAGGGTGGGGGATGGGAGTGGGAGTGGCATCAACCTCGCCCGGATTCCTTGGCTCCGGAGACGTGATTATAGGACTACATGCCTATGCCAGATATTGATGCTTGCGGTGGCAAATGCGCAATTGAGTTGCAATTGCCAAACGCAAACACGAACGCAATCTTCGTTGCATACATCCCGTATGCAACCTGAAATTGCAGCTGCAACTGCAATGGCAAACTGACACTGCCACTGCCAGTGCCACTTCCAGTGTGGTTATCAAATTTTGAGATACACGTTTAGGGTGTGCACCCCCAAAACTTGGGCAGTATCTTATGTCTGTCGCAAGGCAGGAACTGAATTTTCAATTTTTTTTCTCAAAATTCAAATTCAAATTCAGGCACACACAGAGGCTTTCCAACTCCACTTAGGCAATCAGTGTTTAATTGCTTTTCGGAGGCTGAGAGAAAATCACAGTCTGCATTTCCTTCTGGGGTTTTAAAGGAGAATTCTACTACGCAACTTTAATTGAAAGAATATTAATATTTTCTCCCCTAAATATATTTTTAACGTGTGGTAATTGGGCTTTTCTCTCTGTCCAAAAATGATGTGCCAAATGGAATTATTCGCACGAGGAATCGGTTGCCTTGATCGCGGAATTCGTGGCGCGTACAGCCTCCCAAATTGCAATTCAACGTAATTGTGGCCGAAAAGGAGTTCTTTTTTTATTTTTTGGGTAAAAGGGCACCTTTTTGGGGAGAAATTTCTTACAGATCGCCGATAAAATCCGCTTAACGAACAGTCTTAAGCCTCACGCACGTTTCACTTACTTTATTATATTTTTTGTACCTGTTTTTTTTTTTTTTTTGGTAA